GGAAAATTGGAACATTAATTCATTGTTGGTGGAGTTGGGAACTGACCCAACCATTCTGGAGACCAATTTGGAACTATGCCCAGAGGGCTATAAAAATGTGCATACCCTCTGATCCAGCAATAGCACTCCTAGGGCTGTACCCCAAAGAGATCCTAAAAATGGGAAAAGGACCCACATGTACAAAAATATTTATAGCAGCTCTTCTTCTGGTGGCAAAGAATTGAAAATGGAGGGGATGCCCATCAATTGGGGAATGGCTGAACAAGTTGTGGTATATGAATGTAATGGAATAGTATTGTGCTATAAGAAATGATGAACAAGTAGACTTCAGAAAAACCTGGGAAGACTTATATGGACTGATGCTGAGTGAAGTGAGCAGAACCAAGAGAACATTGTACATAGTAACAGCCACGTTGTGCAATGACTGATACTGATAGACTTAACCCTTCTCAGCAATACAAAGATCTAAGACATCTCCAAAGTCCTCATGATGAAAAATGCCATCCACATCCAGAGAAAGAACTATGGAATCTAAATGCAGATGGAAGCATACTATTTGCTTTTTTTCCCCCTCCTGTTCTGTTTTGATTCTTCTTTCTTGCGGTTCCTCCTATTGGTTCTAAGTCTTCTTTACAACATGACTAATGTGAAAATGTTTAATAGGAATGTGTATGTGGAGTCCATATCACATTGCTTGCTGTCTTAGGGAGGGGAGGTGAGGAGGGAAGAGGAGAAAATATAAAACTCAAAAGCTTATGGGGGCAGTTAGGTGGTGAAGTGGATAGAGCTCTGGCTTGGAGTCAGGAGAACCTGAGTTGAAATCCAGTCTGAAAAAAAAATATTTTTTTTTAATATAAATTTATTTTAGTTTTCAATATTCACTTCCACAAGTTTTTGAGTTCCAAATTTCTCCCCCCTCCCCCCACCCCAAGATGGCATGCATTCTGAATACCCCTTCCCCTGGTCTGCCTTCTCTTCTATCTCTTCCCCCTCCCTTCTCTTATCCCCTTCCCCTTCTATGAAAAAAATATTTTAAAAAAATTTTTTTAATTAAAAAAAATTTTAATTAAATTAAAGAAAAAAAAGAAATCCAGCCTGAGACACTTGACACTTACTAGCTGTGTGACCCTGGGCAAGTCACTTAACCCTGAATGCCTCACCAACAACAAAAAAAGAATTTTAAAAAAGCTTATAGAAGTGAATGTTAAAAACTAAAAATAAATTACTTTTGAGGCTGCTAGGTGGCGCAATGGATAAGCTCTGGCCTTGGAGTCAGGAGGACCTGAGTTCAAATCTGACCTCAGACACATGACACTAGCTGTGTGACTCCAGGCAAGTCTCTTAACCCCAACTGCCTCACCAAAAAAAAAAAAGTTAATTTTAAAAAATAAAAAAATTAAGAAATTAAGATATATGAACAAAAAAGATAAGAAATTTGTTTTACAACCCTCTGATTTTTAATATCAAAAGAGGAATAAAACAGGGAAACAATTAATCACCAAAGGTTTTGCCAACACCATAGAGATATCCCAGAACAGAGTCTGTGAGAAGTAAAAGAATGATTATATTTCCATTTAAGAAAATAGCTCTGGGTGAGGAGCTCCAAGAACCAGCTAAAATCGGGTGAAACTGGTAGTGTGGTTGGGGAGGCTGTAAGTAGGGCAAAAGTTAAGTTTTACTTAGACTGCACATGCTTAATAGACTCTTGAATACTAGCTTCTCCACCTCCGGCAGGGTTAAGTTGCTGTCTTCTAAACATACAATACGTGAAGTGGGGAGAAACATACTTAGGGGAACATGTGGTGGGCATTTTGGGAAGTCAGTGACCTGTGTAGACCTCTTTTGTTTTTCTTTTTAGTGAGACAATTGGGATTACGTGACTTGCCCAGGGTCACACAGCTAGTAAATGTTAAGTGTCTGCGGCTGGATTTGAACTTAGGTCCTCCTGACTCCAAGGCCAGAGCTCTATTCACTGCACCACCTAGCTGCCCCTCTGTGTTGACTTCTACCAATGAAAGTCAGGTAGGAGGAGCTTGCATCCAGAAATAGGGATATAAAGTTTGCTCTGGCTTCTGTAGGGTTTGTGTGCTCTACTTTAGTTCCACACCTCCTTCCTGCAGAAAGCATATTAAAAGTTTCAACTGCTTCACTCATCCTGAGTCTGTCTAACTTACTGCGTCTATTTGGGCACCAGAGGTTATTTCCAACAAGTGCTAGTTGAGGAAGGATTTCCTGTGATGGAGATATCCTAGGTAACCATCTGAAGACTATGCTGAGTGCATCAAGTCTGGGTACACTTAGAAAGCTTCCTGAGACTCATAATCATTCAAGAAAATTTGGCTTAACTAAGTGAATGAAGAATGCTTATTGTCTAGGTAAGTATCTGGATAGACAAGACAGATTCTATCCATCAATCTACATATACATACACATAGGTATGTATATGTATCTATAGATATCTATATGTATGTATATATACACACATAATATATGATAAACACAGCAGACAGATAGTGAATTAAGACAAAAATTGAAAAGGAGAATAGGTTGATTGGGGAATAGGGAAAAAGCATAGTTCTTAACAGAGACTCATATTTTTAATACCAGTATTTTTCTGATAATACATGGCTATAAGTCATGGAATACTTTATTGTAAATTATATATATACACTCTTTAACCCACCTGACAAGGTCACTGTGGTCATAAAATAAAACATCAAGTGGTGTTTAAGTATTTGTAATAGTAAAAAATGTTATTTAAATATTAGCAAGTTTCTGAAGAGATTAGAGATTTCAAATACTCATTACATTCAAGACTAATATTGTAAATTTAGAACTGGAAAGATTAAGGAATTAAGATTATATCAATTTACAAGTTTAAAACTAATGCAGCATCAAGTCATGCTTTTAAAGTACTGGGAACAACCTCAGTATGATGATTTTATTAGTTAGATGTTTGGTTTGCATTTCACTCAAGGATATGGACAAGGCATTTAACTTGTAACAGATTTGGAGCTGGTCAAGTGTTCTCAGAGATCATCTATCTAAATCCAACCACTTCATTTTACAAAGGATGAAACAAAGGCCAAGCCATGACTCAATAAGATGAAGTGACTACCCCAAAGTCAAGCAGGAAGTAAGTAGTATATATTTACCCACCTCATAGAAAAGTTGTAATCAGCATTTTAATGCATTAAAGATGACACTACCATTCAAAATATGATCATTGTCATGCCACAAACTGACATTCCTCATTTCTTGGCTGCCATTAGCATTCATTAAGCAACCTAAAGCTGATTTCTCAGAATACATTGTTACATAAGATATGATTCATATTCAGGATTCCTAAAGTTCTAATACAAAACCAGCATTCTTTTCTCTGACTGAAACCTGGTAAGGGCTTAATTTTAGATTATGGTTTACTTAATCAAATAGATAAAAACAAACAAACAAATGAACCTCATTTCTATCCCTTTGAAAAGAATTTAATGCAATTTCCTTGGTCCATGGTCACCAATGATTCCTAAACTATTTATCAACACAGTTAGTTAAAATAAACCACAAATGCATTTCTGAGAAAAATATACTTCTTGGTGTCTGCCTTACCATAAATCCCTTGCTCATAATATAAATTTTATCTGCTTACAATATGTATTTCTCTATGTAAGAAAACTACAATTACCATTCAGGATATTTTCCACTATATAATTTTAATATTTTGAAACTCAAAATTCTGGAAGGTAGTTATATTTTAAAAACCATCATAGCAGTGTATTCTTATCTAGGCATGTGAGTTACTACTGCTAAGTTTGGTGATTTATTCCTAGGGAACCAGGGACATTCCTAACTTCATAATATTTAGGGCTATATGACAAGTTCATAAAGAAATAAAACGGGCATTTCCTCTTTTATAAAGCTTATTATGCTTCTGCTTAGGAGAGATATACTGCATGCAGCTGGGTTTGTTTGGAGCATGCAGGTAGTCTCATACAAGTTTTATCAAAGCCATTATTTCTGCTAAATGAACTTAGATTCTCAACATAGCTAATCTTTACACAAAGGACAGAGTCCAAATCAAGTAATTCTGTTTCCATGATGGTTTTTTTGTTTGTTTTTATTAGACGGGGTTAAGTGACTTGCCCAGGGTCACACAGCTAGTGTCAAGTGTCTGAGGTCATATTTGAACTCAGGTCCTCCTGACTAAAGAGTTGGTACTCTATCCACCACGCCATCTAGCTGCTCCTCCATGATGTTCTTGTTCCTGCAGAGAGGTCTCTATTTGTTACCTTCAGCTTCAAAGCTCCTATGTTCAGGCAGTTATTTTAAAGAAGAGTCATATGCCATATTTTTTTTTTACTCCATTAGTATTTCACTTTCAGTCTGGTTCCACCCTCTATTTCAACCTAATTGAATTTTCATAAGTCATATAAAGATTATTGCATAGGTAACTGATAAGGCAAGTTATAATAATCTATTTGCATAAATTAACCATAATGGGTTAGATCAGGAATGGGGAACCTGCAGCCTCGAGGCCAAAGGTTCCCCACCATTGGTTAGACCCACCATACAGACAGGAGGACGCTTGCCTGGCAGGTGTCACTAATCAGGTCAGACCTTCCTTATCTGGCTGCCCCTAGCTACCATAGGACTTGTTAAGCAGTGAGGGACAAGTAAACTTCTACATGATCTCCCTTCTCCAAGGTCTCCTACCAAATCCTTTTCAGTTGATAGCTCTCAAATAGGCAAAAAAAATTTTTTTTAAAAATACAATTACAGAAATCAAAAGACAACATTCCTAAAGTCTCCCACCTCACTACCATAATTACATAACACACAGTAAATTCCTGAAATGTTTTATAACAGAAGTAGGCAAAATAAACATTTAGGTCAGATGAATAATTCAAAAGCATATTATGTTAGCCTCCCTTCCTTATTTTTAAAATTCTGTATAAACAGGAATATGTTTAAATTTCTAATGTAATACAAAAACAAAATTCAAATCATAGGGAACTCTGGTAAAGTTTTTATTCGTGTTGTCTATGAATTGAACAGAAACCAAACAACTTCGGAACATTTAGTCTGAGGATATGCATTTGTGCAATAACCACTGCTACAGAAATGCTTAATTATCTATGTAATCAGTCTCATAAAATGCTAACTGGAAAAATCTCGTTCTTTTGTTTGTTTACAATTTCAGAGTTTCTGAGATAGGTCAATTCCCATTTTCTAGTTTTTTCATTTCTGTGTAATAGGAAAAGAATTCTGGTCCATTAACTCTCCCACTCGCTCCTGGAGGAAGTTAACCAGCTCTGCCAGTACGAAGACATGGGTGTCATCTATGTCTTGTATGATGAATTTCTTCCCTAGGGCATTTGACTCATCCAAGTACAGCAGAAATTGCTTCATAGCAGGGTCACTGTAGAGATAAACACATTACCAAAAGATACCATGGCCATTTTATATAGAACAAATTAAAAGAGCTCTAACATATGGAAGTTTTAGGGCAAGCCATGTTTACTTTTATTCTCCCCTCAACATTTACACCTTTATAACTAAGATTTAACTCGATTACATTTTATAGGTAAACATGACAAGATTTTAAAAATGGCCAGGTTACTAACAAGTAGTAGAGATTAGAAGCTGTGAAGTTACTGGGGTCAAAATCATAATCTCCATTTTTGTTGACAAAACAATTTTTAAAAATTGCTAGTCAATAACTTAAATTGCATATTTTTCAAATCGATTACGGAACAATTAATTCTGCACCCTAAGAACTTCATAACTTTTAATCTTCACTCATAATCCTTAAAGGAAATCTAGAAACTTGACATATTATAAACTATAATCATCAAAGAAGACTAAAAAATTTCCCATAGATGGTATGAAGGAAAAGAGAGTCATCAACCCTTATAAGTGGTAGAAGTTTAATTCCAGAAACTTTCCCCAAATGATTGAACCAGACTCTTTCCTTACTGTTGGTTAGGATTTCAAGCAAATGACAATTTTCTGAGCAAAGCCCAAATCATGCAAAATCAGTAGAATAATGACAAGTATTAAATAGGTAGCTTTTTTTTGCTCTTAAGCCATTTAATGGTAGATTCATACTGCTGCTCTTTTAGTTCACTGTGAAATAGTGAGATTTATGAATAGAATATTAAAAGTTATATGGAAGATAAAAAAAAGTGGTAGGATGGTCACAAAAGGTAAATATAATAAAGTCTCACTAATCTGGATAAAATCTGAGGGAAATTCAGACTAATTACTGAATCCATTTTACTCATATGCTAATTAAAGAAATACAACTACTACTTTCACATATATCCAGTAATCCAAACTAGGTTAATAAAGGTTTTCTCCAGGAAAAGTACTTAAGAAAACTCATTTTAAAAGAAATGAACAGTCATTAAAATATCAACTAATATAAACTGGTACCTAACTAAGTATACAACATTTAAGAAAGCTAATTTTTCCAAGTACCCTCAAATACTTAATTCATTCCCCCTTCACACAATTTACTCAGGAAAGTCCTCAAGTAGTTTTTAAAATACAGAGGTAAAATTCCAGATTTATAAATATGAACAATTGGGGTTTATTCATTCAGCAAGCATTTATAAGGCACTTAGGTGCCGAAGTGCCAGACACTATGCTAGATGTTGAGGACACAAAGACAAAAAAGTCCTTCAACAGCTCACATTCGGGGCAGCTAGGTGGCACAGTAGATTGAGCTCTGGCCTTGGGGTCAGGAGGACCTGAGTTCAAATCTGACCTCAGACACATGACATTTATAAGCTGTGTGACCCTGGGCAAGTAACTTAACCCTGACTGCCTCACCAAAAAGCAAAAAAAAAAAGTATATAGTCATAGAATTAGATATAGATATAGGTATAGAAAAATATCTATCTAGACAACAACTCACATTCTACTTGTACTGTATGACTTTGATGAACTACTTGGAAGTGCACATTCAGAAACAAACACATTTAGGATTAGAGATTTTTAGCTGAAAGGGCCATTTGATATCATCAAGTCTAATCTCTGCATTTTACTAAGGAGGAGACAAAGCTAAGAGAGGTTAAGTGACAGATCCAAGGTCACATAGGTTCAGAACAGTTAAGTAGCAGAGTGGTAAATCTGAATTCCCATTTTCTTTATTCCAGCATTGCTAGGGCTAATATGTTTGTAAGTAGGTCCAATTTTATTCGGAAGATACACAGAAACTGAGCATTGGAAGGGCAACCTTAAAGTTCAACCCCTTGTAGGTAGTCTTTCTACAATTCTCTCTCAGCACAGGGGAAGCTCACCAGAAAGTCTATTGTACTATTTAACTAGATAGCACTATTCACTAAACATTTCATTTAAAGCAAATGATACTTTTAACTGTATTAAACCCAAACTGTCAAGGCTACAAGTAGTGGGAACTATAAAAATATAACCACCTATAGTTTTTATTTGAAACATTGTGCTGCTTAGAAGATTTCACTTTTCAGTTTCCAAAACTGTTTAATTCTTACATGAGGACTGTAGAATGAAAGAAAATCCATTGCTGAAAACAAGTAAGTCTGAACAAAAGGTGCTGGTACTGAGCACATAATACTATTCGTAAAAAACAAAACTAGGTGAATGAAGCTATATCATTTACAAAGCACACTCAACAAAATGGGACTTGAATATTGATTGAGACTCGTTTTTCTAATACCTAAAGTAGAAATAATACTGAGGTGAAGGTTTAACAAGGTAGTTCCTAGATGATTTTGTAGGGAGAAAAATAAGTAGTGAAGACATGTTTCAAGTTTATTTGGTATCATTCCATTTATTTGCATTAGAGAAAAGTCTGATTCAAAAACTCTTCCTGCCTCTGTCTTTACAGAAGGGATATAAAGAAAAAAAAAGGGCACAATTATGAGCAACAGGGTGATGGTAGGAAATAGGAAGAATCCAAATGAGATTCTCAACTAGGGACAGTCAAAGAAGAAAAGTCTATGCTTAGGGCTTTAAAACTTAGTTGGTTCCTGTATTTGTCTCTTCCTATCAATTCCTATCTCCCAAAGGATGTTGAAAAGCCTTAGTTTTATTCTTCTGGGATTGTTAACCTTGGCATGAACTCTTCCACTCCTATATTTTGTTTTCTCAGTTCTCAAAGTAATATTTTCCGAAAATTTTTTTTTAAAAAGGCACTTAGAACTTAGCTTCAGGTGAACTTTGCAATACAGAATGAGGCACTATGTTTGTCAGCATCTTAAGGGATTGGTAAACTAAATCTAAATCTATGATTAAGAAACTAGGCAGCACAGGGTTGAGGACAAAATGAGAATACAAAAAATATTGAAATGCAAACTAGTATAACATGCTGGTAGCTCCAGTAACATTACACTGTATTTTTTTAACTATTAAAAAGTGCTTTCTCAGATATTATTTCAACTTAGCCTCAATAACAAAAGATTCACCAAAACATATTGGGATTAATTGAGCATATAGGTCCTTATCTATACATTTTTTATCTGAGTAAATTCAACTCAACATTTATTATGTGCCTAGTTTGGCACTTAGATAATATAGGGGGATACATAGCTGGAAAAAAATATAACACTCCCTGTTCTCAAATGTGCACATGGAGAAGAGATACATAAAACCATACTATGTTAGAAGAGAAATATTTAGAAGTATAGAGGATATGTAGAATACACACACACACACACACACACACACATATGATAGTGACAGGGATATGAGAAATTTGTGGTAAAGGGAATCGTCTAGTATTAGGGGAGAAGAAACCAAGGAATGAAGCCTGGAGGTGGCACCTGATCTTTGCTTTGAAAAGGAGGATTTTGATCTGTAGAGCTAAAGTTCATTCTAGGTTGTAGAACTGAGTAGCCAACAGCAGTTGGAAAGAGCAAGCAAAGCTCAAGAAACAAGGACTCCAACATGGGCAGAATATAAAATTTGTTAAGACGTGTAGTGTGGCAAAAAAGACTAGAAAGCTAGGTTAAAATCTAGCTTTGAAGAGCCTGGAATGTCAAATAAAGATATGTCTATTTCACTCCATGGGTAATATGTAACCAGTGAAGATTTCCTGAGCCAAGATCTGATTTATGCATTAGGAAGATTGCTTTCCCAGTAGTATAAAGGATGGATTGGAGGGGAGAAACTGGAGACAGGGAGATCAGTTAGGAGGAGCTACAATATTCCAGGTGAGAAGTAATAGGGGTCTGATGGATGTGAGATATTCTACAAATAGAATAGGACTTGGCAGCTGACTGGATAATGGGGGCTGAGAGAATAGAAACAAAGGTGATTCAGAGGTTGAGGGCTTAAATGACCAATGGGAGGATCAACAGAAAAAGGGAACTTAAGAAAGGAAGAGAGGTAGGTTTTGGGGGATGAAAATTATTTCAGTTGAAGCATGTTGTTGAGTTGAGCGGATATAGCCCGTGAGCAGTCTGAAATGCAGATCTGGAACTGGAAACTGAAAAGTCATCTGAGATAGTAAATGAAGCCATAGAAATAAATACCAATAGGGATAGAATACATGGTTAGAAGAGGAAAAAGGACATATTAGGGGAAATTCACACTTGCTAGGTAGGAAGAACACCCAGGGAAAGAGACAAAAGCAATACCTAAAAAGGTAGGAGAAAAAATAGGACAAAATAGCATCACAGGAGTCAAAAGGGATAATAATATCAAGAAGAATGGAGGTGATGAACAGTGTCAAATACTGTAGAAAAGTCTAGGATGAGGATTGAGAAAGAACTACTGGATTTATCAACTGGGAATTTACTGGTGGCTTTGGGGAGAGTAGTTTCAGTATAGTGGTGGGGATTAAAGTGTTTGTTGAATGATGGAAACTACATTGTCGTGGGTGCTGGTGAGGATGTGTATACAGAAGCGTAGGCCTTTTTTCCTAGATGATCATCTAGCCCAAATACACCCAGGAAGCTAAAACTAGAAAGTGGTGTGTCTAGGCACATGGAAGATCCTTTCATAATTTTCTCAATATGTTGCTAATCTCTTACCCTTTAAGAAAGTAATGAGATCCTTTAACTGTCCAGTATTTTCTACTTCCCACTTCAAAAAGTTACTCAAATACTTCGAATTGAATAGTGTTCTTTGCTTCTGGGAAATAAGTTGAGTAAAATATTTGCATAATCAAGGTATCTGCATCAATATGTTAAGTCTGTACAACTTGTATCTTTTTTTTTTTAAAGCTTCCATTCAAGGATGGTACAACTGAAAGAGCACTAAATTTGTAATCAAGAAGATGTGGGTTCAAATCCTATCTCTAATATCTATTGGCTGTGTGACCTTGGGAAGTCAGTTGCCTCTTTTGTAAAATGGGGTAACAGCTGAAATACTTGCCCTAAAGGGTTGTTGTAAGAAGAGAACTTTTTAAAACTTAAAACTCTGTTTAAATTCACTTGATGAATTTTAGGGTATGACAAGCTTTTGTTTGGAACTTTATTGTATCTTCCAGAAGGCAGGTTAGCATATTCATTATCTTTAAGATATCTACTTCTATTTATGGGTAGCTGGGTGGCACAGTGGATAGAGTGCTGGGCCTGAAGTCAGGAAGACTCATCTTTCTGAGTTCAAATTCTGCCTCAGATACTAGCTGTGTGATCTGAGCAAGTCACTTAACGCAGTTTCCTCATCTGTAAAATGAGTTGGAGAAGGAAATGGCAAATCACTCCAGTATCTTTGCCAAGAAAATCCCAAATGGGGTCACGAAGAGTCATACACAACTGAAACAACTACTACTCCCATTTATAGAGAAGAGATTGAATGGCTGTAGTGGTGGTATTCTAGGGTGACAACACCACCAGAAACATTCCAGTGCCAAACAATTAATCTCCAGTGCTGTTTAAAAGACAAAGCCTGTTTTCATCCTCAACCCATTAAACAATTGCTAGTTTTTAAAAAGAGACCTAAAGAATATACAGGGAAGTGTCTATGCTCTTCAGAGAAAGATACAATCCAAATCCAAGACTCTTCCATCCTGTAAATGCATCAAGTTGATTAGGGAACTCCCTTGATTTAATATCCCTACAGATAATATGAATTATGACTTATTGAATATACAATCAGGTCAATTACCCAAGCATCAACATAAACTTTCAAGACATTCTAAAAAAAGGTATAATTAGCCCAGTTTAAAAAAAGACATACAATTGTACTTTGAAAGAGCTTTCATTTTTCTATATGAACTAACAATAAATCACAAGGTTACTTTTTCTATTTTGCTTTGGCCTTTAATGGAAACTCTTTGAGGGCAGAGACTTATTATATACCAGTGTCCCCATGGTGCCTTCCACTTGGTAGTTGCTATTAAATGGAGAGAACTATAAAGCATAGTTCCTCAAAGAGTCAGCCATTTAGCAAGGGAAAAGGAAAAGTGTCAACTGGTAGTCCTACTTCCTCTAAAAAGGTATGATTCTAAGTACCAAACCAGAGAGCAGAACATCTAAGTTCAATGGTGATTCAAAGGAAATGGAAAACAAAAAAGGTGTGGAATAGTCAGGGAAAGCATCACTGAAGTGGGACTTAGAATCATAAACTCTCAAAGAGCAGGAAGTGGCCTTAGATATCACTGAGTCAGACCAGCTAATTTATAAATGAGTTAACTGGTCTAGTGGGCTGGGTAGGAATACTGCTAAAAGCAAGAGAGAAAATTAACACTCAGATGTGAAAAGTACTCAAACTACTAACCATTCTATAAGCACGCCTTTCAAGACATTCACCATTTTCTCCAAGTTAGAAGAGTCAAATGTTGTCAATGATGGCAAACAAAAGGGATGATGTGAACTAAAATAAAAAAAAATCAATTTCAATAATCAATTTTAACATTTTACCAAAAGATCTTGATATTAGAGAACACACAAGAAACATAAGGATAATGAAAGTGATGGTATTAATCCTTAAAATTCACAAAAAGTCACTTTCAACTGTTCTGGTTTAAAGACTTTAGATAAAGCATATTTACAAAGAAAATATGGCTTAAGTTGTCACCATTAACTTTCCCTTAAAATTTAACATACTCATCAAATATAACTTTGTTCGCTAAATTGCACACATTAAACATCTGGAATACTCAAAACAAAATTCTAAATACTCATTCTAGTAAAACCTGGGACATTTTGAATAGGAAAAAACACAAAGCCTTTAACTATTAGGAATAGTCAGGTACTCTAGGGTTTTTTTTTTTTCCAAACAGTGCAGGGCCACATCCAACTCAGTACTTGTTGGCACTTGGACACCTACACAAATCTAGGGATGATGCATGTGTTTCAGGTTCTGAGCTAGGGACCCGGTAAGGTAATAGATAACCCAGGGCGAGATGCAATCAATACTTAAGAATCCATACACAGGGAGGGGGTAAAGTAAGTCACAATAAAAAGGAAGGAGGGAGGAAGAGGGTTCATCGCAGCACGAGGAAGCTGCTTTAAGTATGAGACATCAAATGAAAGGCGTTAACATGTAAAGCGCTTGGCAAACCTTAAAGCGCTACATAAAAATTAGCTCTTACTACTATTATTATTCACACTCCCGGGCCCTGCTCTGGGCACCCAACCCGCCGGGGACCCAAGATCCTACACTGGAGGAACCAGGTTGTCCCTTCGCTCTGCTGCCCTCGAGAAAGGCCTCGGCCAGTTTAGGGTCTACTCTTTTCACCTCTGGGTCCGGTAGCTGCACCGCCCACCAATTCTACCCCCATCACCCCTAACCCTAGCGACGCACCTCCAGGCAGCCAGCCCCCAGCTTCAGCTCTGCCAAATTACCAGCGGACTGCGCCTGCGCCTCAGGCCCCTGCGTCGGGTCGGGTCGGTTACGCGAAAGGGGGCGTGGCCACGCCCGTGGGAGGAGCGGGGACGGGGTCACGTGCCCGCGCCGGTGGCGGAGGGCGCCGGGGCCCCTGGAGTAGATCGGAGTGGGTCTTTCCCCCTATCCTCCTCCTTTCCCTTCCCCCGCCAACCCCAGGTCCCGTTAGGCTGGGGGCGGTAACGATCCGCGAGCCGTGGCCAGGTAGGTAGGCAAGGGGGGTGGGGCGAGGAGGGCGTCCGCAGTGCCTCCGCTGGGGGCCGAGGGGGCCGGGGCTCGGAGCCAGTTACGTAGGGGCAGGTTGGAGCGGGGTAACCGGAGCACGTCAGTTTGAGGAGCTGCGCGGGCCCTCAACTGCCTCTCTGAGGCTGGCTCTGGCCTTGCCCAGCCCTGCCTTGCCCCGTCTTGCCTTGCCCTTCACTGACTGACTGCTTAGGCTGGGGGGCGTGGCGTGTTCAGCTGTGAGCTGGCTCGTGAGTGTGTGTGTGGGATTGTGTTTGTGTGCGCGCGCGTGCGCCTTTGCCTGCTTTCTTTGCTTCCTCCCTGCGTCCTCCATCTATAGAACTCCCTCTTACAGCCAGGCTGCTAGAAGAAAGCTGTCTACACTTGTTGCACCATTTTCTCGCCTCCCTTTCACTTCTTATTCCCGTGCAATCTGATTTCCTCACTCACCCTTTACTGCAATCCTCTCTCTCTTGCTCTCTCGGTCTGACTCTCTTTTTCTATTGCTTGTCTGTCTCTCCCTCCCTCCTTCTCTATGGCTGTCTCTGTTTCTCTGGCTTTCACTTCTCCTGTTTCTCTTTGTTTGTCTTTCTCCTTTCTGGCTCTATCTCCTATCTCGTCTGTCTCTGTTTCTGGTTCTCTCTGTCTCTTCCCTCCCACTCCCGCCCCGTCTCTCTGTCTCTTTGTTTTTTCTTGTCTCTTGTCTGTCTGTTCTCTGTCTCTGTCACTTATCTCTCTCCCCTTCCCCGTCTTTCTCTGTCTCTTTGTCTCTCCTTCCTTCTCTGCCTCTGTTTCTGTCTCTTTCTATCTCTTGTCTGTCTCTTTTTCTCTCCTTGTCTTTTTCTATCTCCTCCTGTTTTCTCTTTCTCAGTCTCTTTTTTTTCCCAGGTCACCAGTTAATCTCTAATGCAGATATACTAACTGTGTGACCCTGTGCAAGTCACTTAACCTGTCAGTCATTCATTAAACATTAAGTCCCTACTATGTGCCAGGAATTGTGCTAAATGATGAGGATGCAAAGACAACATTGAAACAGTCCCAGCCCTAAATGTACATTTTAATGGGGAAGACATGTCCGTATATAACTATTTACATAACATATACAAAGTGAATAGAAGATAACTTGGAAAGGAAGTTTCTACCAGCTGGGAGGATCAGGAAAAGGCTTCATAGTTAAGGTAACATTTGAGTTGACTGGGAATTCTAAGAAGTGGAGGTGAGGAGGGAGTTCATACAAGGCATAGAGGACAACTAACCTTAGTATGCAAAGACAAAGAGATGGGAAATTAACATGAAAGATGGAATACCAGGTGTGCAGAACAGGGAGTAGGCCAGTATGACTGGATCAGAGTGCATGCAGGGGAGTAAATATGTAAGAAGAATGGAAGGGCAGAAGATTGTGCCAGATATGAATGCCAAACAGAGGAATTGATATTTGATCCTGGAGTTAATAGGGAATCACTGGAACTTATTGAGTAAGAGGATGTGGGGTAACATTGTCATAGCTGTCTTTTAGAAAATCATTTTGATGTCTGTATGGAGGAGAGATTGGGTTAGGGAAAGGTTTGAGTGAGAAGTGATAGGAGCCTTGAATGGGGATGAGGGTGGAGATGGCTGTGTGAAGGGAGAGAAGGAGGGATGTATAGCAGCCTTGTGGAGATAGAAGTGATAAATTTTGTCAACTGGCAGGAGAGATGGGATGAGTGAAAGTGAGGAGCTGAAGATGGCATTGTGGTCTTGAACCTAGGTGACTAGAAGGCTGGTCATACCCTTAACAATAATAGGGCAGTTTGTAAGAGAAGTGGGTTTAGGGAGAAAAAATGAATTCAGTTCTGGGTATGTTGAATTTGAAATGCCTATGGGCAGTCAATTTGAAATGTCCAGTAACGTAGTTTTGGACATCACCTGCATAAAGGTGGTAATGGAACCTATGGGAGCTGATTTAGGTCTTCAGATGAAGGAGTATGGAGAGAAAAGAGAAAAGGGTTTTGCACTGAGCATGATAAATTAGAAAAGGAAGCTGAGAGGGATCATTAAAAATTGAAATGATCCAAAACTTCTAATAGTTGAAAAATCATTTGTTGACCTAGATAAGTTATTGACCATTTAAAAAAACAAACAAACTAACCCAAGGAACAGAGTTTTCATCTATTTTCCCTGAAGTGTGAGGTTTTTTTGCCAGTAGTCTTTAGGGTCATTGGGCAGCATTTATTAGTTATAACCAAGGTAGAGTACTGTACTAAGTGGTGTGGAGGGCTGGAGATGAAAACAACAGTACAGTGAATATAATGCATGCCTTTCAGGACTTTACTTATATCAAAGGGAGTCTGATGTCTGTAGCCTTCTATTCTTTAACTACAGATTATTACAGAATTGTAGTCAGCAAGTGGAGCAATGCCAGGGAAGCTTTTAGGATAAGTTTTGTTTGGTAGGACATGTGAAATTTAGAGATAATCATTAAAAATGAACATATAAATATGCAGTATATACATATAATGATTCATAAAGTTATATTTATTCTTATTTTCTGGTATTTATGAAACACAAAGTAAATAATTTTATCAGAGTCATTTAAGCGAGAAGTAGGTGACTTATGGTTATTATGTTTTCTGCTTTATCTGTAATTGTGGTGTTTGGGTATCTTCTTCCACAAAACCACTCTATCTTCTGATTTCTTTATTTTTATTATTAGTCCTACCTCTTCCCAGTCAGCTTCAAAGCTCACACATCTTTGATTCCTCCCTCTATTCTGTTACTTAGTCCATTGACAAATACTATCCATTGTTCAGTTAGTCAATCAATCAAATATTTATTAAGTGCCTACTGTGTGCTGGGCACTGTGCTTTCCCTCCAGCGTATCCTTAATTAGGTGCTCGTTGCTGGTAGGCAGTCTTTCTACATTATCCCACTCTCCACTGTGTTTCTCCCAGAGCTTTTCATCCCTTCTCAGATTTTTTTTTGCCATCCTTTTTCTCCCCTTTTTCTTTTTTCTGTTTTCCTCTTCCTCTACCTTTCCATTCTTCTTTTAAGATCATGAAGATATAATAGAACCATTCCTGAGCCTTCTGTCTAATTAGACTCCCTCTACAAACCCTGACAATAATAAGGTTTAGAGGGGATATATATCATCTCCCTATATTAGAATGTAAATTTTTTCTCTTTGGTTCATTATAATTGTTTGCTCATTTTAACTTTTTTTATGTTTCTCTTAACTCCTATGTTTGTACTTCAAAGTTTCTATATGGTTCTGATCTTTTCATTAGCAATGCTAGGAAGTCCTTAATCTAATTAAAAATCCTTTATTCCCCCCTGTAGGATTACACTCCATTTTAGTGGGTAAAGTTATTCTTGGTAGTAAGCCAATATTCTTTGCCTTCTGGAATATGGTATTCTCAGCTTTCTGCTCCATTATTTTGTTAGTTTCCAAGTGGTATATGATCCTGATTTGAATTCTTAGTATTTGAATTCTTTCTTTGTGATTGCAGTATTTTTTCTTTGACCTGGTGGGTCTGAATTTTGACTGTAATGTTTCTGGGAGTTTTCATTTTAAGTCTTCTTTCAGGAGATGACTTGTGGATCCTATTTCCGACTTCCCCTCTGGTTTTAAGATATCTGTGCAGTTTTATGATTTCTTGAAATATTATATCTCAGCTCTTTTTTTGGTCATGGCATTCTAGTTTTTCCTCTTTGATCTGTTTTCCAGGTCAGTTATTTTTACTATGAGATACTTTATATTTTCTAATGTCTTTTGATTTTCTTTTAATATTTCCTGTTGTCTCATGGCTTCTATTTGGTCTCTTCTAATTTTCAGGGAGTTTGTTCTTTGGGCTAGGTTTTGTATTTCCTGTGCCGAGCTATTAATTTCCTTTTCATTTCTTTCATAGCTCTGATATCTTTTTCTTTTACAGTTTTTCCCTGTGACACTCTTGTTTCATTTACAAATATATTTTAAACTTGAAAAAAAACCTCCTGCTTCATCGGTTTCAGGAATTATAGTTGAATTTGTGCCCAAGCTGTATTTGCCTTAGTGTCTTGTAGGGTTTTTGGAGTCATTCTCTTTTGTTTGGGGAGACTTTTTTGCTCATTCTTCCAGCCTCCTTTCTGACTTTGGACTTGATATTAGGACTAGACTCTGCACACTTCCGGAGGGAAGGTCTAAGCTGACTCTAGGGCTGTTTTCTTGGAATATTGAGCATTTTGATATTCCAGGATCTCAGGACAGCTCAGGTTGGGGACCTACAACTTTTAATGCTTCCTTAGTAGTTAGATCCAGGGTAAAGGGTGTTTACTGCAAACCCCCTTTTCCCCGGAACCCTTCCCCAGCTCTACAGGTTCCTAACCTGGGTTTGGGTTGATTGCCAGGTGATGCAGTAGATAGAGTGCCTAGCATGAGGAAGACCTGAGTTCAAATTTGGCCTCTGACATTTGCTATATGACCCTGTTCAAATCACTTAACCTTTATCTGCCTCAACTTCCTCGTCTGTGAAATGGGGATAATAATAGCAACTCCCCTTCCCTCTGTTATGAGGATCAAATGAGTTATTTGTAAAGTGCTTAGCACAGTGTCTAGTATATAGTAGGTGCCATATAATTACTTTTTCCCTTACCATCCCCTTTGGGTCTGAGTAATGGTAGACTTCTGTTGGGGTTAGCCACGCTCAGCCAACTGGGAACCTCTGCTGGTTCAGAGTTAAAGAATTATAGGCTTCCCATTCCTGACCTGGTATTTCTCTACCATGACCGTGCAGGTTGGGCTAGAAGCTAGAACTGAGACCCTGCTCTGCCCCTTTTGTCTGAGCCACACTGCTTCCTTGAACTTGCTAACTCTTTTCCTATTACCTAGGACCCTGTGGCTGCACCTTACCCCCAGAATGCACATTCTGCCCTGGACCTGAGTAGTAGGTGTCAAAGCTACCGAATGACACCTGTTTCTGGGTGCCCCTATTCTTGTCCTGGAGCTTAGCTTCTCCCTTGTGCTAGTGTGCTCCATGCAGTATGCTCCTGGCGAGACCTGGTCTGCAGGTCTGTAGACCTCTCTGTCTGTCTTCATATGCCAGCTGGGGTGGAAAAATAACTCACTGTGACTTTTTCTTGGATTTCTTCATCAAGTTTTGGTCCAATGCATTTTCTACATCTGTTTGGAGGAGTTTTGTGGGAGAGCTGGCTGTGGCTGCTTCCTGCTACTCCCCAAGTTTGACTCTGCCTCCTGTCTTTGCTTGGTATCTTACAAGTAAACACAATTTGAAGAAGACTGTGCTAGAAAATAAGCTATTATTCTATGAAGTCTGTCTTGATTAAAGAAGGAATTTTTTTCAGAGGAATGGATGCTTGAGGAAAAAGGTGTTTTTTTTTTTCCCCTGGTGGAGAAAAATCAAATTCCCTTAATTCAAAAAGGATTTGTCTTTATCATGATAATATTGGGTTTTAGTTTTAGGAGAAATGATAACAAAGTATAAATTGAATAATCTGTGTCACTTATTCTGTTTGCACAGAATGTCTCTGGCAACTTGTTGTATAATTTGTTGCAGAAGGATAGGAACCTCTACAACCCCTCCAAAAAGGGATCTGTGCTGGAAAGATATCCGTGAGTACAGTTACAAAAATGTAGCTGTGTGGTTACACCTGGTCCTCAACTTCTGCGTGTTTGCTTTGTAAGCCAGTGGCTCAGAGTTTGGAATATGGTACAATTCCACGTAGAAATAATAGTGTGCAATGTGATTCTCTCAAAAGCTCATTTAACTTTGATGTATCTGAATAATACTATATATTCTAACCTCCATTTCTAATATTCTGTCTATGGGAAAAATTCTTTTGTGTTCAGGTTTGGATGCTAGGAAAACAGCTCTTCCCAGTGCAGCCCTGGCACACAAAGAAACCGGTTTCATGGTGTCTGGGGTTTGGAGAGAAGGGAGGAGGGTCCCAGGTTTTTCCTGCCTATTTCAGATTGTCTTCCACCAGCCTATCCATCAGTTCAAAGCTGTTTGGACATTTGCTAAGCCATGCTCCTTCCCCCTTTGTCGGGAATCTTATTGAAGAGATTCCTTGTGTTGGGTAGGAGATTGGAATAGATGACCTCTAAAGTTCCTTCTAATTCTAAGACTTTATAATTCTCATTTGAGTTTGTGAATCCGAGGGTGTTTAGCGGAATGGTGGTAAAGAGATGAGGGGGCAGCTAGGTAGCACAGTGGATAGAGCTCCACCCTTGGGGTCAGGAGGACCTGAGTTCAAATCTGGCCTCAGACACTTGACACTTACTAGCTGCATGACCCTGGGCAAGTCACTTAACCCCAGTTGCCTCACCAAAAAGCAAAAAAAACCAAAAACAAATAAAGAGGTGAGGAATTGCTATGTGGGTAAGAATAGAATCTGTGGATATTTTAGACATATGTATCTACTCTGTGGGTTAAAGATTAGGAGGCTATGTGCTGATGATGTCAGCTCATGCTACTAGGGGAAGATGACAGAAATCCTTACCCATTTAGATCCAGTATCGATTGCAAGTCATACTTCTGTTTGTATTCAGTAAATTTTTATAATTGTTAATAATCTTTTTTTCTTTTTCTTTTTAAAGGAAATATTATAAAATTTACTGGACCACTTATTCTAGGGTAAGTATTAACAACTACACATTGATTTTGCCTGTACTAGTATTTTAAATCATTATTTTCTGTAGAAGTAATTCATAGGAATAATGAGCTTTAATACATTAAAGTTTTAGTTACATGCTATATTTAGCATCTTTTTAATATTACTTTTTAAAACTGATGTAGCAATATCTTTCTCACAAGCTGAAAGTAATGGAGATGAAAATTTTATATCTGACTAAAATGCTTTCTTTTCTTATAGTTAGGAATATGACATGGAAATATAAGGCAAAAAGTTGACTTGCTATTTGTTTTTCCTTGCCTTATGAGGCAAAGGACAGGGCCTTTACATATTCTATAGCATAATGTCTCTTTATGGAAAGGTGTTATATTCAGGAGTGTAGCAAAAATAAATGGAATCATTTGGTAAGCATCTTGTTTTCCTTGGGAGGAAATAAAAATAAGAGGGCAACCTATTTAACATTTTTAGTTGCCCAGTCAAAGGACTCCAAGAGAACATAAAGTTCTTTTATGGAGTCTTCACTGACTGTCTTGGTCCTGGAAAATAGGATGTCAGCATAGGCTAGTAGAAAGAACTCTGGGTCTGGAGTCTGAACCTGTCTTTACACCTCACCACAGATGTTACATATGTCATCTGGGGCAGTTTCTCTGATCTCCTTATGTAGTGCTTAGACTGAATGACCACTTTTCCCTTTTGATCTTTGATCCCATGAAGTCAATTAATACACCTGTCTGCTTCACCTTTAAGGTAGAGACAGAAATTGAGGAGCAAGACTGAAGCAATGGAAGATGTAATTTAAATTCTGAGCCTGTGCTGGTTGGGCTTTCAAGTGATTCCTGGAATGACCGTAGACCATTTTAAACAGTGGATATACCCTTAGCTCTGAATGTTCATTGATTTAAATGCCATCTCAAAAAGCATAGCTTTTTTATGCTTAGATACCAAGTTTACATCAGACTTTTTTTTTGTTCTTTTTAAGAGGTTCTTTATTTATTACATATGAAGTTCTGGCCTTGAAGAAGTCTATGACGCTAGATACTCAAGTTGTTGAAAAGGAAAAATTGAAATCATATATATATTTAGATGCTGTTTCTTTAGATAAAAGAGAAAATCAAGGTAAGTTTATGGGAAAAGTATGTGTGTATTTAAAGTACTTTTAAATCAGTATTATGATAGCCTTTCTGGAAAATGTAAGGTAGCTATTGAATTAGATTTAGAGACTATTTGAAGAATGATGTTATTAATAAATCCACTAGGATGAGTGTTATCTAATCTTTGCTTTCAGAATCTGTATTGAAAGAGCTCATTATATTTGTTCTGTGCAGTTTAGAACCAAGCAAAAATTCTTACCCACTTCTAATCTGGAAAAGGTGCAAAGTCTACATATAATAGCTTAAGTTAGGATGGCGCTTCAGACTGAGAAATAATTGTTTCTTCTCATCCTGGACTGGGGGACAAGGAAGAGAGTTCCACTTATAGTGTCAGCTTAGGATAGGGAAACTGAACACCTTTTGTGGATGCTTTTGAGTTCACCAGATTTAAATGGAAGTTCAAAACATGTTCCAAAGCAAATCTTAAGTAAATTTTACACTCTCTACCTTTTGGGACTTATTCATCTAAATTCTTAATTCCTTACCCACTAGATACTTTAGAAAATATATTAACTTCCACAGCTACAGTTATTCATGTTAAGATTAGTTTGCTTAGATGTGAAGTTATTTGCTAAATATTAGAAAGACTGTTAATTAGATGTGAATTAACTCTTTGTTGATATCATAGTTTTATTTTGTTCACACCTCCTAGGATTGATTTTTTTGGTGTAGGAATCTCTAATAGAAAGCTGCACATACCTGTGCAGGTTATAGTTTTAGAGAGTTGCCCAGGGGCACTGAGAACTTAAGTAACTTGCCCAAGGTCAAACAATTGTCTCTGAGGGTGTGGTGAACCTAGGCCTCCCTGGCTGAGGCTGATGTATTCACTATACCCACTGGTGTGGTGGAGCCATCTCAAGGAGGCTGGAGAGAACTAATTATTAAATTTTCATCGTGAACCTTGGCACCTTGGAAATGCCACAGATCAGGGCTTGATTTATTATTTTGCTGGTTGTCTAGACTTAAGGAAATGATGGAGAAAATGTAATATTGCAGATTAATCTTTTTTAAAAATTTTGAATTTATGAAATAAAACAAGCATTTTCATAACATGATAGAATAAAAAAAAGATGATTGCATATGAAATTGCAAATCTATTCTGTACAACTTGCTATTCCTATTAAATGTATAATTAAGTTGTCGTATACATTTCTTTTTTCTCTCTCTCCCTACTCCCTATCAGTAGACACACATATAGACACGTACACATATATGTATACGTTTATACATGTACACATATATGTGTGTATATGTATAAATGTATACACACATATATGTATACATGTATACATATATACATATACACATGTGTATGTGTATATATGTATATATGCACATATATACATATATACACATGTATGTATGTATGTGTGTATGCAAATGTGTGTATGAATCTATATCTAGCTATCTATCTCAGTTCTTTCTCTGGATGCAGATAGCATCTTCTTTCATAGGACCTTTGTAGTTAATTTGGGTATTTATAATAGAATGACCTGGTCGCTCAGAGTTGTTCTTAAGACAATATTGCTGTTACTGCAGACAACACCTTCTCTTGCTTCTGCTCATTTTGCTCTTCATTATTTCATGCAAGTCTTTCCATGTTTTTCTAAAATCATTGAGCTCATCATTTCTTATAGCAGAGCAGTAATCCAATCACGAATATATACCACAACTTATGTAGCCATTCCCCAATTGACAGGCATCCCCCTGATTTCCAGTTCTTTGCCATCAAAGTTATTCTTTTTTTTTTTATTTTTTAAATTTTTTTGGCTAGGCAGTGGGGTTGAGTGACTTGCCTAGGGTCACACAGCTAGGAAGTGATATGTGTCTGAGGCTGAATTTGAACTCAGGTCCTCCTGAATCCAGGGCCGGTGCTCTATCCACTGCGCCACCTAGCTGCCCCCATCAAAGTTATTCCTAAAGCAGTATTGCTGTTATTGTGTACAATATTCTTATGATTCTGCTCATTTAGCTTCTCATTATTTTGTGCAAGTCCATGTTTTTTCTAAAACTAACAAGCTCACCATTTCTTATAGCATAATAGTATTAAGTATTAAGCAGTATTAAGATTAATATTTTTTTTTGTTGAGATAGTTGGGGGGTTAAGTGACTTGCCCGGAGTCACAGAACTAATAAGTCTTATGTGTCTGAGGCCTGATTTGAACTTAGATCCTCCTGACGACTCCAAGGCCAATGCTCTATCCACTGCACCACATATCTGTCCCCATTAAGATTAATGTTAAAAGTATGTTGTATGCACTCCCTCCTCCACTTCCCCTTTGGAGAGTTCTTAAACATTTACCAGTATACCAAATATATTGCTTTGCTGAGGCATTTTATAAAATGCCTTTCTAGGGCTTTAAATGAAATGGTAGTCTAAAGAGTTAATTCAGTGTGAAAGATGAGCAGATGAGCTGCTCATTCTTTTTTTAAATAGTATTTTATTTTTTTCCAATTATATGTAAAGAAAAATTTTTAAATTCATTTAAAAATTTTTTGAGTTCTAATTTTCTCCCTCCCTCACCTCTACCCTCCCTAAGACAGTAAGTGATATAATATAGGTTATGTATGTACAATCATGGAAAACATATTTCTATGTTAGTCATGTTGTGAAAGAAGGAACAGACCAAAAGGGAAAAAAAATAAAGTAAAAATAGGATGCTTCAATCTGTAATCAGATGCCATTAGTTCTTGCTTTGGATGTGAATAGCATTTTTCATCATGAGTCCTTTGGAATTGTCTTGGGTCATTGTATTGTTGAGAATAGCTAAGTCATTCATAGTTGATTATTGTACAGTGTTGCTGTTACTGTGTGTAGTATTCTCCTGGTTCTGCTCTTTTCACTTTGTATCAGTTCATGTAAGCCTTTCTAGGTTTTTTCTGAAATCCACCTGCTTGTCATTTCTTATAGCACAATAGTATTCCATTACATTCATATACCACAACTTCTTCGTCAATTCCCCATTAGATGAGTCGCCCCTCCATTTCTAATTCTTTGCCACCACCACCAAAAGAGCTGCTATAAGTATTTTTGTACAAGTAGGTCCTTTTTCCTTTTCTTTACTTGTTTAATCTCTTTGGGATACAGATCTAGTAGTGGTAGTGCTGGATCAATTGCAGTTTGATTGCTCTTTGGGCATAGTTCCAAATTACTCTGCAGAATGGTTGCATCAGTTCACAGCTCTACCAACAGTGCATTAGTGTCCCAATTTTCCTACATCCCCTCTAACTTATGTAATTTTCCTTTTCTGTCATATTAGCCGATCTGATAGGTGTGAGGTGGTACCTCAGAGTTGTTTTAATTTGCATTTCTCAATAGTTATTTAGATAATTTTTTCATATGACTATAGTTAGCTTTGATTTCTTTGTCTGAAAACTGTCTGTTCATATCCCTGGACCATTTATCAATTGGGGAATGACTTGTATTCTTTTTTTTTTTTTGGCTAGGCAGTGGGGTTAAGTGACTTACCCAGGGTCATACAGCTAGTAAGTGTTATGTGTCTGAAGCTGGAGTTGAACTCAGGTCCTCCTAAATCCAGGGCCGGTGCTGTATCCACTGTGCCACCTAGCTGACCCATTGACTTGTATTCTTACAAATTTGACTCAGTTCTCTATATATTTGAGAAATGAGGCCTTTATCAAGAAACATTTGCTGTAAAAATTGTTTTGCAGCTTTCTGCTTTTCTTCTACTCTCGGTTGCATTGGTTTCATTTGTGCAAAACCTTTTAAATTTAATATATTCAAAATTTTCCATTTTATATCTTGTAATGCTCTCTATCTCTTGTTTGGTCAGAAATTTTTCCCTTCTCTATAGATCTGACAGGTAAACTATTCTTTACCCTCCTAATTTGCTTATGGTATCACCCTTTATGTCAAAATCATGTACCCATTTTGACCTTATCTTGTTACTCAGTGTAAGATCTTGGTCAATACCTAGTTTTTGCTATACTGCTTTCTAGTTTTCTCAGCAGTTTTTGTCAAAGAGTAAGTTCTTGTCTCAGAGGCTTGAGTCTTTGGGTTTATCAAACACTGGATTGCTATGACTATTTACTACTTTGTATTGTGTACCTAATCTATTCCGCTGATCCACCACTCTATTTCTTAGCCAGTTAACAGATAGTTTTGATGATTAACACTTTATAATATAATTTCAGGTCTGGTATGTCTAGGCCACCTTCCTTCGCATTTTTTTCTCATTAATTCTCTTGATTTTCTTGACCTTTTGTTCTTCCAGATGAATTTTGTTGTTTTTTTTCTCGCTCTATGAAGTGATTTTTTGATAGTTTGATTGGCATGGCACTGAATAAATAGATTAAGTAAAATTGTCATTTTTATTATATTGGCTTAGCCTACCCAGGCGCAATTAATATTTTTCCAGTTGTTTAGATCTGACTTTATTTGTTTGAAAAATGTTTTGTAATTGTGTTCATATAGTTCCTGGGTTTATCTTGACAGGTAGATTCCCAAGTACTTTATAGTGTCTGCAGTTATTTTAAATGGAATTTCTCTTTCTGTCTCTTACTGCTGGAATTTATTGGCAATATATAGAAATGTTGATGATTTATGTGGGTTTATTTTATATCCTTCATCTTCACTCAAGTTGTTAATTATTTCAAGTAGTTTTTTTTTTGATTCTCTGAGTATACCATCATATCTGTAGAGAGTGATAGTTTCGTTTCCTCATTGCCTCTTCCAATTCCTTCAATTTCTTTTTCTTCTCTTATTGCTATAACTAATATTTCTAGTATAATATTGAATAATAGTGGTGATAATGGGCATCCTTACTTTGCCTCTGATCTTATTGGGAAGGCTTCTGGCTTATCCCCATTATAGATAATGCTTGCTAATGGTTTTAGATAGATACTACCTAGGGGCAGCTGAGGGTTCAATGGATAGAGCACAGGCCCTGAAGTCAGTAGAACTTGAGTTCAAATGCGGCCTCAGACATTTGACACTGTGACCCTGGCTGAGCGAGTCACTTAACCCTGATTGCCTTGCCCCTCTCCCCCCCAAAAATAGATATTATTTATCATTTTAAAGAAAGCTCCATTTATTCCTTTACTCTCTAGTGTTTTTAATAGGAATGGGTGCTGTATTTTGGATGAGCTGCTTATTCTAAGGGAATAGCGCTCATAGGACCTTCTTCCTGGAAAATGGCTAACAGTCAAAATTTAGGTCTTTTACGTTTACCTCAAATATGTGACTCCCTAACATAAAATGAAGACAAGTAAGATATCTGTTTGAGGCTGGATCCCAGGGTAAAGTGTGGAAATTTGATTTGTATCAGTTTACCCAGTGATGATCAGGCTCTGGGAATTGGTTTATAACAACCAAATTCACAGGACACTGATTTCTAAAGTAGAACTCCAATTTATTAAGCACAATGGAACGTATCTGTGTCATGAAGATTAGAGTACTGTTGTCAACTGCTTAAGAGTAGTAGCCTTCCCATCTAGGTATATCAAGGCACTAGTAATCTTAATTTGGTAGTCAGAAGGTTTCTTAGTGAATATAGAACATTGGAATAAAAGAATTTAAATATTTTAAAGAGATTTAAAAAAAATTAAATAGCCTAGTGAAGTACCTATGTTAACTATAGGACTGTGTCTGCTGCAGTAGACCACAATATTCACTACTGTTTGATTATCCACTTACTTGCTCCTCTGCATTTTAAGGGCTTGATTGTTGCCTAGGACAAGAAGTTTAAGTGACTTGTCCAGGGTCATGCACCATCATGTTTCAGAGATAGGTTTGAACTCAAGGTTTCCTGATTGAGTCTTGCTTTCTACTATGTCACGTTGCCTTTCCATGATTTCTGTACTAACGTTAATTCTTGCTTAGGTTTTTAAATGTGTAATTTACCCATTTGAGGATGTCATTTGGGACACCTTTTGTTGTTTTCTTATTCCATTTCTGGTATTTTAGCTGATTTCAGTTGGTTTGTAATTTTTTTTTAAATTAGCACTGTTTTCTTAATTTTAAAATTTGGGGGTTTTTTAGTCTATTTTTGGTAGCCATTTTTCTTCTATTTGTGGGCTTTTTTTCTGGAGGAGTGTATGAGGAGACTGGCTCCTTTTTAATAACTTTGATTCCTTCAGCTTGTTTAGAAAGCCCCAAAGTATAAAATTATTATATGTAATTATACATTTAGTTAGTTGCTTTCATTGAAAAAATATACAATCGGACAATTTTTGAAATGAGAACTGGGATATATATTGACCTAAGCGTAGTGTAAATTGAAATACTTAGGATTATAGATTTAGAACTGCAAAGGACCATAGAGGCCAGTTAGTCTGATTCTTTAATTTTACAAATGAGGAAGATGATTCCAGAAAGGTCAAGTCTCTTGCCAAAGGTGAGAGAGGCAGTGGGTGACGGCAGGGATTCAAACAGCATTTCTTCCTCTGTACTGTGCTCCCTCAAACAATGTTGAATAAACCTGACACATTTTTAGTTTCTGTCTTTTCCTTTTGTAGCTACCAAATAGACTAATACCCTTTTGTTGTGACATATTAAAATTCATTAGGTTACAGTTATCTCACATGAGGTATAATTCTGTTTGGTATTTCCTTAGACATTTAGATAGGCAATGACATAGTGGATGGAATGCTGGATTTAGAGTCAGGAAGACCTATGCCTTTCACACTTAATAGCAGTATGATCACAGGCAAGTCTTGGCACCTCAGGCAAATCTCTAAAATTTTAGATTATAGCCAACCATGGTGGTACATGCCTGTAATACCAGCTACCTAGAAAGAGGAGACTGGGGGATCTCTTGAGCTTGGGAGTTCTGAGATACAGTGGGCTATGCCAATCAGGTGTCTGAACTAAGCTCAGCATTAATATGGTGAGCACCAATATGAGGCCACCAGATTGCCTAAGAAGGGACAAACTGGCCTAGGTCAGCAAGTCTAAGTTCCCCTGAAAATCAGTAGTGGAATTGGACTTGTGAATAGCCCCTGTACTTCCAATGTGGTCAAGATGGGGAGATCTAGTCCTTTAAAAAAACAAAAAAAGCATAGGCTATAGATGGGCTGGATTCTGCAATGATGGAAGGAATTCCCACACTGAGAGAATCACAGGTCATTGGTGTATTGATATCTTCTTAGTAAGTTTGTGAAACATTCTCATCTCATATTTATAAATTATTTTTTAGGTTGCTAATTTCATCTTTTTTATGTTGATTCTTCTACCTGACTCCAAATTCTGGCGATGTTCCTTATTTGGAACTGACAGCATCCTGTACTGATTATACTTAAATTTCATCTGTTAACTATCTATAAATCACAGTGTAGAATGGGTTACTTCTAGGAAAGCTTTGTATAGACAGTCAATCCTGCCTTTGGTGTGGAAATTCTCATTAACTTTTATCTAGATTTTGGGAATCTATCTTATTTTTGAGCCTGTAGCCATCTGTCCTCTAACTGTGATTTCAGTTGGCATTAATGATCACCTTGAAGACAGTGATTGTTTTATTTCTTCTTTGTGTTGGTTAGCATAGTGCTTTGCATGTATAGGCATGTAATACATATTTATTGAATAGAAAATGAAGTGAATAAAATAGAAAAATTATAGTCCTTTACATTAAATGTTGTTTATTGGAGTATAATTTGTGTATTTTTCTTTAGTGTCTTATTAATTATAATGTCTTATTATTGGACATAAAATTTCAAAAGTGCTTAATTTTTATTAAATCTATGATTTCATTCAGGTATCACATACCAGGCAAGGAAGGAACTTCACAAAGCATTAAGAAAAGTATTGGCAACATCAGCCAAAATATTCCGGAATCCTTTTGATGGTATGTGCTTAATACTTAATTCTGTAATATTAACTTTGCTAATTTTTACTAATTTTTTTGAAAGAAATATTTGAAAAAATTACTTGTTTAACATTTTTGAGAGATAGTATCTAATTTTTAAAGTCTGAAGCTTTGGAATATCTAGTTTCCATTTCCAGGGTTGCATTATCATCAACATACAATTATCTACTCTTAAGGAAAACATATTTATTAACACAAGTAATTGAAAATTGCTAGTAATATTCTGTTATGGAAAGTGTGTTCATAGCCGTAAGCCAAACTGAGATGAGAAGCTCCATGAGTAGCATTCCTATGTCTCTGACAAAGCCCTTCGTAACTTAGCTGTTGGGACAGCCATATCAATAATTGACTTGCTCCAAGGAAAAGGATCATGGTCTTCTTTGTTTGTAGTAAAAGCCGGAGCATGAGCACTACTATTGAAGAGAATGACAGTATACCTTTCCAGCAAGATTCTAATGCTGGCTAGGTTGGGGGCTCTGGTCCTACTTCCTGAATTTTGAAAGTGGTGGTGGTCAAAAGTATCCCTTTTTAACCTTGCAGAACACTTGACCACTTAGGACCATACTTTATATCTTCCTGATTTGGCTTTTAAGCTAAATGGATTATCTGGTTGTGAATATCAAGAATTGACTGTATATATTATTGGATAAGAATAAATATATACAAGTGGATCTTTTAATTGCATTATCTTTCTCTTGGCCTCCTATGTTGAGTTACCTTTGAGTCCTTTTTTTTGTTTGGCCCACCACAACCACTTACCAAATCCATTCTCCCTTTGGAAATGTCAGTACCCCAGTTTGTCTTTGGGAGCCATACCTGGACAGGCCTAGATTACATATGCATATTGGAGAAGAATCCCAGTATTCCTATGAGCAAGTAACTTTCTATCAGTACCTGTATCATTCTGTTTCTTTGTGTTCTACTTACCTCTAATTGAATGTCTAATAGTGTTCATGGCTTGTTCTGTGTCACCTTCTCTTGTTTTCTCTCCTAGCTTTCCTGTCTCTTTTTCTGTTTGAAGTCCTCAATTTTGGAACACATCCATCATCTTCTTTAATAGTTGACTGCCATGCTGTACCATCACTGATCTCCCTCTAAGCACTTGAACACATCCTGCGACTTGCCTCCTCTGCTGCAGCAGTGGAAAAGCATGACTCTTGATTCCATGTTTTCCCCTTACCAATCCTATTTTAACCACCTTAGTAGAGGTACTTAATGCCTATCATCTGAATTTCCATGTCACTAACTTTGAAATTCTGTCATCACAACCTGTTTTCATTTTATCTCTCTCTCTGCCTTAATCCCCAAACTGTTTTCTATTCCTCATTGTGACCTCTAAGCCCTTGAGCCCTCAGTTCCTTCCCAAATCATTACCCATTGCACTGGCTATACTCGATTGTCTTTCTCATCTTGATCTCTTGGTAAAACAGTTCAACTTTACACTATCATCTTGAGACATAGTGGAGGAGCTAGGTAGAGAAGTGGATAGAGAGCTGGGACTGGAGTTAGGAAGACCTGAGTTCAAATTTGGCCTCAGACACTTACTAGTTGTGTGACCCTGGGCAAGTCACTTGATTTCTTTTTGCCTTAGTTTCCTTAACTGTGAAATGAGACTAATAATAGTACCTATCTCCCAGGGTAGCAGTGTGAGGATGAAATGATGTAATATTTGTAAAGTGCTTAACATAATGCCTGTCACATAGTAGGTGCTATATAAATGCTTATTGTTTTTCATTCTTTCTTGTCCATCTCCTTGGGCCCCCCCCCCTTACCTTCTTTATCCTGTGCTGATCTTCTCCTCCCAAACTCTAGCCTTGTATTGCTCCCACCAGCCACTGCCTTCACTCTTATTCATATACTGCTGAACTGATCTGGAGAAAATCATGAAACTGTGTTGACTGAGTCCACTACAAATTTTCGTTTAATAATTTCAACTGAGTCTTCACTGCTGCAAGGCATTTTTACACCTCCTTAATCAGTTAACTATCCCACTCACCCCTGTAGCTTTTCCCTGCCTTTTCATCTTTGGTCACCTGTGTCTGCCTCCTCTACCTTCTTAGCTGAGAACCTTATCTCCATTTCACATTTGCTGAGAGCTCTCTTTTCTCCCCTCTTCCTCAGCTTATATAATTTATATGTCTTCTGCCACTCTCTTTCATCCTGTCTCACGTGAAGAGGTAACCCTTTTCTTGCCAGGACTAACTCCTCTACATGCACAAATGATCTCATTCCATCCCATCGATTTGCCCCCTCTATCATTTCCGCTTTATCTTCAATCTTTCCCTATATAGTGGCTGCTTTCCTAGTATCTACAACATACCCATGTCTCCCTCATTCTCAAAAAACTTTTCTTTTTATTCATCCAAGTTTTCTATATTTGGTGTCTCCACTTTCTCTTCTCATTTTCTTCCTAACATTCTGCAGTTTGGCTTCCAACTTCATCATTCAACTAAAACTATTCTCTCCAGAGTTAACCAATAATCTATAAATCTAATGGACTTTTTTTTTAATGCTCATCCTTCTTGACTTCCTTCCAGTCTTGGATGCTGCTGATCCCCCTTTACTTCTGGATAATCTCTTCTCTCTAGGTCTTCATCACATTGCTCACTCCTAGTTCTTCTCCTAGTTGTCTGACTGCTTCTTCTTACTCTCCTTTGCTGGATCTTTATGCATGTCAGGCCACCTAACCTTGAGTCTTCTCCAAGGCTCTGCCCTGGGAGTCTTCTTCTCTTTATGTACTGTTTTGCTAGAAGATCTCATCAGCTCCTGTGGATTCAATTATGGGTTTTATGCTGATGATTACCAGATCTACTTTCTAGCCTTAACATCTCTCTTAACCTCCAGACTCATATCTCCAGCTGGATGTCCTATAGACATGTTCAGAACTGAAGTTACTCCCCAACTCCTTCTGTCTTCCTAATTTTCCTCTTATTTTTGAGAATATTATCATCCTTTTATTCACCCAGGATCACAAACTGCATGTCACCCTCAACTTCTTTTTTTCACTCCACATATCTAATCAGTTGCCAAGTCCTATTGCTTTTGCCTTTGTAACATCTCTTGTATACTTCCTTTTCTTCTGACATTGCCACCATCCTCATGGCATCCCTCCTGACTATTTCATTAGTCTTGTTGTTCTCCCTGCCTCAGGTCTCTCCCTCTTATGGTCAGTTCTCTACTGAATTGTCAGATTGATCGTCAAATAGCTTTATCCACATCTTATTGAACTTTCATGTTCACGTTATTGCACGTTGGACCAAGTGTAGTTGGATAACTTGAGGCATTATCTAAAATCAGTAGTGCTTTAAATACAGTATTGTTATCTTTGTAATATTTTATAACAGCTGAGCTAAAATTGAAAATCAGTTGTTTTTCTTGAAAATCAATTTTTAAAAGCACCTTTAGACACCCTTGCTTTATTGACCATCAAAGGGCTGGAAACAATCCATGGTTGTAACCTCTCAGAGCATGAGGATTTTGAGATGTTAAACAAGCATGGGTTTTAATTTAAAATTCCCTTCTGCATCATCTCCTAATAAAAATGTTAGGCAATCCTTAATTGCTTTAAATCTCAATTGAGTTTTTCCTTTCTTAATAATAAAAGTTCTAGAAGGCATCTTTTTCTTTTTTTTTTGGCGAGGCAATTGGGGTTAAGTGACTTGCTCAGAGTCACACAGCTAGTAAGTGTCGAGTATCTGAGGCCAGATTTGAACTCAGGTCATCCTGACTCCAGAGACAGTGCTCTATCCACTGTGCCACCTAGCTGCTGCAGGTATACATATTTTTAGAATAAGCCTGTTTCACCCACCTTAAAATTTGTTGATCAGTATATCAATTTTCTTTGATTATTTTCTTCTAAACTTCAGGATACTTAACTACCATGTCCTCATCTGCACTGACTGCCTCTCTGGTCATTTTAACATTATGCAATAGAACTTAGTGTTTTGGTGACTTGACCCACCAGCGCATGCAGTAAAAGTTTCTTCACTGTCGACTTCGTTTCTCTTTTTTTTTTTCATTTCCTTAAACAAAAAACTGTTGTCTTAATGACTGCTCTGCTAAGAGGATTGCAGCCTTCAAGCTGGGCATCTAAAAGAGACTCCATTTCTGTCGTCGTAACATTTTGTTCTTGGTAGTTGTCCACAAGCCACAAAAAGCTCATGCAATTTTGCCTTTTTAAAAATTTCACCTGCATGGATTTATAATGTTCTTTACTGTGGATTCAGGAGTTCCAACATCAACTCATTAAGACTGCTTTTAACTGAAAAAAGCACATGTATGTTCTTGCATTGAGAAAGAGTCCTTCAAAAACTTTCATTTTTGATATTTATAGATTAATTTTTTTCACTAAGAGAGTATGAAGAAAAATGTTTTCCAATCCTTTGACCCTTTCTTATTTTTGCTTTGCAAAGACCACTTCAGTGCTGTTAATTTAGAAGATCACGAATATGGCTTGTGGATGTTGCTGAAGAAGAGCAAATCAGAGGACAAAATGGTTCGACTGGAGGCAGTGAAAGAGATGGCAGCAAACCATTATTGGCATGGTAATGTTTCCTTGAAGACCTCTACCTCTGAAAAGATGGCAGTGTTGTCATCTAGATTTTTACACAGCTATTGTGAAAACAACAGCAGAGACTAATGGTTAAGGAAGAAAAAGAATATAGGCATTTTTTCTCCATAAAAACATACACTTAAATGTTAGTGTTAAAAATATTAGGAAAGGTGAGTATTCACTCTTCATTATAAATGGAACATTTTCAGACTGGCTGCTTCCATGATGAAAACTCTTGATCTTGCTTGTTAAAACTTGATGCTGCTCAGGCAGCTAGGTGTCGCACTGGATAGAACACCGGCCCTGTAGTCAGGAGGACCTGAGTTCAAATCCGGCCTTAGACGCTTGACACTTACTAGCTGTGTGACCCTGGGCAAGTCGCTTAACTCCATTGCCTTGCCCCCCCCCAAAAAAAACCATAGGAAAACTTGGTGCTGCCATTTCCTTGTGTGGAAGGTGATTAACTCGTTTCAATATAATAAGATCTAGATTTTGTGGCTCAGTGTATGTATTGAAAACTATTTAAAACCTTCTTCATGGTGTAAAGGATGTGTTTTGTTTTCTTTTTTTGAGCTCTGTTTGACAGAGTTTGAATTCAAGGCTACTATTCCTTGAATATTCTAGTCAAGGTGATTAGAATCACCTTTGAGACAAGCCTGAGATAAGTTATAGCCAACCTCTATAATTGAGATACTGACCTAAAGTACTTTGACCCTGAGCAGTCTTGAAGGTTGATGATGGGGTACCAAGAATTATCCATAGGATCATAGGCTTTTGACCTAGAAGAGATATTAGAGATCATTTTCTCCAACCCCAACATTTTACAAGTGAATGACAGACAGGCTATGTGACTTAATCATACTGGCAGCCAACAGCAGGCCCAGGGATTTGAACCCAAGGCCTCTGACTCCAAAACCTGCATTTGACTTCATGCTAAGATTGAAAGTTGGTTGATTTTTAAAAATTGAGAATTATTATGAGAAGTACTGCACTATATCCTGCGTATTTATTTCTTTTAGAAAGCTGCTCTAAAAGCTATTTCTTTCTTACTGTTTGACGTGGTTTTCAGTTGCTGGTTGAGTTTATTTTTCAGAGGTAAAACTTAAAGCGGTCAAGTGAAGGTGATGAAGTCAGAACGTCACCATTTCTTACCTGCCAAATTTTATGTTTATTCTAAGTTTAAAACATATTTAGCTATGTGCCTGGTAGGTAGATTTATTTGGTGATAACTATGAAATAAAATCATGTAATTTTTGAGGTCTTAGTATTATAGATATAGATGTATTTAAATAGTTTTAAATGAATTTGTGTATCATCTTATAATTTCCTAAATGTTTTCACATACATTATTTTGTTAATCTGTACGATTACCATAGACTAATTTTAGGATATTTGATGTGCTTTTACCATAGATTACCAGTATAGGACAGTTGCTCAAGCCTGTGATGTGAGGACTGTTATTGGCTTGGCCCGAAGCAAAGAAACAGACCTTCGTTTTTTCCTACCACCACCTCATTTACCCTCAGTAAAAGAAGTAAGTTTAAAAAGAAATCTAGAACATGGAAAATTAGCTTAATATGTATAATTTTTACTTTGAATACAGTAAATCGAAACTGAAAAGATTTTAGAAAGCCACTATTGACTACATTCAAAATTTTACACTTCCAGCAGGAATATGATGATAGGGTACAACCCAGTACATCCACTATTTATTAGTGCTTACTATTCATACAAGACACTAGGTATACAAAGGCAGAACTTAAAATAGCTTATATTTTTTTGAGGGTAGAGATGCAACATATAAAGAGTAGGCATAAAAGTAATTGTTGTTGTGGTGGTTTGTCCTTTGTTTTCAAAGAGGAACATGACATCAGGGAGATGACACTCCCTCCTACAAAAAGACTCCTAATCCATTTGGTAGGGATTTTCTTTTCATATTATTTTATTCCCCCTTTGTGACTATGTGCCACTACTATAGTCTTTTGAGGTAAATTTCAAAGAGAATCAGACTCCTTTGAAAATTATCTAACTTCTTTGGATTACTGTGAACAGCGAAGCAATATTTTAAACAAGTTTTATTATAGTTATATTAACTTGTCAACAAAACATTTCAGATAAACATGCTAATTGAGGAATGAAATCTTATATAAAATTCTTAGCATTTAGTGAGGTAGAAGGAGACGAATTAACAAACAAGTAAATTGCTTTTCTTCTGTGGCTTCTTCAAGGTCTGTCTGAAATGCCAGTATCTCTGCCTTTGTTTTGGAGGGAAAAAAAGTAGCATTTTAAGACCTATTTCCTGATTTCCTGTTTTTTTCCAGGACATACTTGAAAAACTAGAAGACTTCTAGAAATCTTTAAATTCCACATTAGCTAGTTGGTATATGAAATATATGAAGATGAATAGAATATATGGGAATTAATTTAGAAGATATGGCATACTAATGAGTGCTGGAAAACAACAGCAATAGACAAGCCAACTCATTTAGAAGTGGGCTAACTCACTTTATTCCAAGGTGAAATGAAGTACAAATCTAGAACTTCAGTTAACAGCAGGTCTTAGAAACTGGATGTAGCCACGATTCAAAATTTAGTTAATAATATATGGAATGAATTGTAGCTATGTCTCATTATTAATTACACCTACACAAAAGTAACGGTGTCTTTATTCTCCATAGCAGTATCTTAAACATGGAAGAGATATACACCAGTATGAAGCAGAGTATTAAAAATAAATGCCAAAAATTTAAACCACAACATTTATGGTTTTTAGTTTACTTTTTAAAATTACCAAACATTTTTTTCCTCTTCCTCCCACCTACTGTCCCCTCTTGAAAACCAAAACCCTTGTAACAAGTATACAAAGTCAAGCAAAACAAATTCCTGCATTGGCCATTTCCCAAAAAATGTATATCTCAATCTGCACTCTAGAACCATCACCTGTCAGGAGGTAGATAGTATATGTATCATCATCAGTCCTCTGAAGTAATGGTTGTTCATTATGAACACTTTGAAAACTAATCTGCCCTCACTGTTCTAGTAGATGTAAATTCCTTGAGAATAGAGACTTTTATTTTTATTATTGTGTCTTCAGCACTGCCTAGTATCTTATACGTAGTATTGCTTGTGTTATTTAGTTGAGTTGAGTCCCATTGCTACCACACTATTATTAGCCCTCATTATTATCCATCCAGGATTATTGAAATAGATACCATCCCCCCATCCCCCCTCCACTGCCCCTCCCTCCTCCTCCCTCATCTAATTCATCCTTAACCCTGCTGCTGGATGTCTCTGGCTCACAGATCTGCTTGTGTTTCTTCTCTGCTCAGAAATCTTCAGTGATTCCATGCTGTCTATAAAATTCCAAGTCCTTGGATGGAACTCTCTTAGAGCTCTATTGCTTCATTTATTCAACTTTTGTAAAATGGGGGAGAAAGTGTGGTAACCCAGAACACCATTTTTGGAAGCATGAGGGCATGGATTCTGGTTACTCATACCAAGTTAGGCACTTACTAGCTGCAAGCCACAGTTCTAGGCATTAGGGACACAAAGACAGAAGTAAAGCAATACCTGCCTTCATGGGGTTTATATTCTACTGTGAGAATAAAACATATAGATTTATAAGTAAATTTATAAGTAAAGGGAATTTGGGGAGTGAGAGGATACAACTAGGGAAATCAGAGGAAAAAAATCAAAGAGGAAGAACCTGGGCTTGAGGCTTGAAAAAATAAGAGGGATTCTGAAAGGTTAAAGCATTATAAAATGATACTCTGACATTAAGCCCTTGGGCTAGATGGGGCCTTTGCTCAGACCATCTTCCACAATTTATTATTAGATCTTTCTGTATTCACTATTATCCTAGGTCTCTTCTGCCCTTTGTGGCTAAACTCTTTGAAAAGGGCATCTATAATAGGTGCCTCCACTGTCTCTCTTCTCTTTTCTTAACCTCTTACAGTCCAGCTTCTGACCTCATCATTCCACCAAAACTACTGTCTCCAAAATTAGTGATCTCTTAGTGGCCAAGTCCATTGGCCTTTTTCAGTCCTCATTCTCCTCAGCCTCTGTGCAGCCTTTGATACTTTTCATCACCCTCTCCTCCTTGATAGTCTTTTTTCCTGTAGGTTTTTCAGGATACCACTCTTTTTTTTTTTTTAAGTCAGTTGGGGTCACATAGCTAGTAAGTGTCAAATGTTTGGTCTGAGGCTGGATTTGGACTCCGGTCCTCTCGACTTCAGGGCCGGTGCTGCCCACTGCACCACCTAGCTGCCCCCAGATACCACTCTCTTGATTCTCATCCTACCTATTTGACTACTCCTTCTCAATCTCTTTAGCAAGATTTTCATCTAGATCATGCCCTCTAATCATAGATATCACAAAGGGTTCTGTCTTGGGCACTTTTCTCTCTCTATACTGCTTTACGCTCATCAGCTCCCATAGATTTAATCACCATCTCTATGATGATGATTTTTAAAATATCTTTTCATTTATTTTGTTAAATATTTCCCAGTTACAAGTAAAACAATTTTAACATTCATTTTAAAAAAATTTGAGTTCCAGATTCTCTTCTTCCTTCCCACCCCTCCCCTCTCCTTGAGAAGGTAAGCCATTTGACATTGTCATGTGAAGTCATGCAAAGCATATTTCCGTATTAGCCATGTTGCCAAAGAAAATGCAGAAGAAAAGAAGAAAAAATGTTTAAAATAGTATGCTTTAATCTGCATTCAGAGTTCATCAGTCCTCTCTCTGGGGTTAGATAGCATTTTTCATCGTGGGTCCTTTGGAATTGTCTTGAATCATTAGTCTTGATCAGAGTAACTAAGTCTTTCGCAGTTGATCATCCTTACAGTATTGCTCTTACTATTTAACAATGTTCTCCTGATTCTACTCACTTTACTTTGTCTATGATGATGATTTTGAAATCTCTGTATCCTGCCTCAGTCTCTCTGCTGACCTCAGTCTTTCATCTCCAGAGGCCTTTCAGACATCTTGAACAGTATGGCCAGTAGATGTCTTAAACTCAGCCTTTCCAAACTGCAATCATTATATTTCTTTCTAAATTTTGCCCTCCTTCAGCCTTCTCTATTCCTATATAGGATGACATTATCTTCCCAGTCCTTTAGGCTCTCTGTTGCCAGGACCTGTTGACTTTGCCTTTGCAGCATTTCTCAGTTATTCCTCTTTCTCTGCTCTGATGCTGCCACCATGCTGGTACATGCCCTTACCACCTCATGTTTGAATTGTTACAACAGCTTCTTGGTAGATCTGCCAGCCTCAGGGCTGTCCCTACTCCCTACTCCAATCCATTCACCATTCAACCACCAAAAGTAATTTTCCTAAAATACAGGTTCATTCATGTCACACACACTCTCCTCCCCCTCCCCGCCCCCCGTTCAGTAAACTCCGGTGCCTTCTTGTTGTCTCCAGGAGCAAACACAGAATACTCTGTTTGGCATTCAAAGCCCTTCATAACCTAGGTTTCCCCCCCACTCCCGCCTCCAACTTTCTAGTATTCTTACATCTTGATCCCTGCCACATAGCCTTCTGTCCAGTGACTCTGGCCTCCTTGTTGTTCCACAAACAAGACACTCCATCTCTTGACTCCAGTCATTTTCTCTTGCTGTCCTCCATGCCTGGAACACTCTCAGTCTCTGCCTACTGCCTTTCCTGGTTTCCTTTAGGTCTCACCTAAAATTTTGTCTTCTGAAGGAAGCCTTTTGCAACCCGTCTTGATCCTGCAGCCTTCCCTTTCAATTATTTTCTTTTTATCCTGCATGTAGCTTTTTTATACATGTTTGTTTGCTTGTTGTTCCTCACCCCCCCCCCCGCCCATTTAGATCGTAAACTCCTTGAGGTAGGGACTGTCTTTTGCCTCTTTTTGTATCCCCAGCACTAAGTACAGTGGTACAGTGCCTGGATATTCTTAATAAATGTTTGTTGATTAACCAATTCTCTGTCCTACTGACCACAATTCCAAATCTTTTCTCCTCAAGCCTTGTAGAGCATTTGCGTCTTCTCAGGACTTTGCCTCACAGTTGCCCAAAAAACTTGAATCCATTTATTGCAAGTTTCCTCCTCTGCCTTTCTTCTCATCTTACATCCTCCTTTATCTCTTCCTTCACTCCAGTTTCTGATGGAGAGCTGGTCTTTCTTGATGATGTGTACCATTGATCCCATCTTCTTCTGTCTTCTTAAGTGGATTTCCCTCACTATCATGTGTTTTTCCCCCTAGTAGTCGATCTCACCCTATATAGAGTTCCTCCCATGCTACCTATAAATACTTCTTTCTGATCCACCCTCTTCCATCACATGTATCCAATCAGTTGCCAATTTTATCAGTTCAGCTAATTCTTCAGTCAGCTGTCATTTTATATTTGTATCTCTTGTACGTTCCTCCATCTCTCCTCTGCCATGAAAGCCAAGAAGGAGCAGGATGGTTGGTAATATCAAAAACTACAGGTAAGGTCCAGGAGGATGATGACTAAGAAAATGCCATCAGATTAACAGTGGTGACCTTTGAAAGAACAATTTTAGTAGAGTGATTTCTAAGAATTGCAAGTGAGTGGGAAGTGAAGAGAAGAAATGAGACAGGATGGCTTTAAAATGAGGATGGATTGGCTGTGGAAGGGAAAAGACATACAGCACTTTCAGTGGGGGTGGGAGGATAGGGGAGTAGCAGGGCCAAGGAATTTTTTTTTTCTTTAAGGAAGAGGCAGACTTAGGAATTATTAAAAGATTAAAAGTTTAAAAGTAAGAGTTGAAGGGGATGGTTGAAGGGGTAAGCTCCTAGAGGAGTGGAGGAGTAGGATCAAGAACACAGGTAGAGGGGTTTATCTGTGGCAAGGATAAGGCACACTTCTTTCTCAGAGGTTGTAGAAAAGAGAGAATATTGACAATTTCAGGGAGTTTTGAATTGTGGAGCAGTGACTTTCAACTTTCTCAGTAATGTACAAGAAAATATCCTTTGCTGAGATGGAGAGGGAACATAGTAGGTGAAGGTTTAGAACAGTTTATACCCAGAGTATTATAATATCAATTAGGAAAGAAAATGATCACCATGCATCCATAAGGATCTAGTTGAATTTAGATCACGTATATTTATGGTGGAACTAATTGGCATAGAAGTAGGAGAGGAGAAGGCACATTGAGGTTTGGCAAGGTATGAGAGACCATGGAACAAAGGTGCAAGGATTAGATAAAAGACCAGTGTATAGCAGATGTAGCTAAGCCCTGTGCTGTCCGTTGTGTCTATGTCTTTGTTGTTCCTTGTACCTGTAAGATCTTTCTTCCCACTTTTTTTTACTTGTTGAATTCTTAACCATTCTTTAAAGCCTAACATAAATGCTACTTTCTTCATGAAATCTTCCCTGGTTGCCATTATGTGTCAATTAACTTTCCCTCATAGAACTAACATAGTACCTTTTCTTCAGCTTTCTAATGCACTTTTGTTTTTGCATCATTCGTTTCCCAACCTCCCTTTTCTGTCATGGAGTTTCCCACTACGACAAGATAAATCAATTAAGCAAAGCCATGGAGATATTATGACCGTCTCTGCTAACTGTATATAACATTCTGTGGCTATGATCTCCAGCCTCTCTAAAGAAAGGAGGTTGGTGCATTTTATCGTCTAACCCAGGACCAAGATTGCTCATTGCTCGTTAAAATTAGTCAGCTTTGTTTTCAGTGTTTTGTTTACGTTATCGTAGCCATTGTGCATACTGTCATCCTGATTTTGCTTCCTTCTGTCACTTTGCCTCAGTTCATATAAGTCTTCCCATCTTTTTCTGTATTCTTCATATTCTTGGTTTTATACTGCATTATAAAATTCTGTTACATTTATATGCCACAGTTTGATCAGCCAGTCTTCAATTGATATGCATTCAGTTTGTTTCCAATTTTTTGCTATCACTAAAAATGTTGCTATTTGGTATGTATGATACCCTCCTGTATCAAACTTCTTTAGGATGTATAGATATTGATCTCTATGTTTTTATCTATAGGTATATAGATCTGCATCTATATATCTCCCCAGTAGCAGAATTTCTAGGTCAAAGGCTAAGAACAGTATAGTATCTTTTCTCACATGATTCCGTGTTGTTTTTTTAAGAACTCTTAGGCCAAGTCACAGCTGTATCAACAGTGAACAAAGTTTTAGTGTCTTTGTCTTCCTACAGGTGTTCTGGCATTGACTGTTTTGTTTCTTATCATCTTTGGTATTTGCTTGGTAAGAAATAAAACCTCAGTTTTGCTTTAACTTGCATTTCTGTTCTTAGTAGGAATTAAGCCTTTTTTCATGTGAGTGTTTATAGTTTGTAGTTCTTTTGGAAACTGTATCATTTGACTACTTATCTATTAGGGAATAGCTCTTGGTTCATCCTCTACATAAAACTTGGATATCAGACTTTTAGAGATACGATTAGGCTTTGTACTGGGTGGTCTGTATCATGGGATTGGGCTGCTTCAAGACCCTCATCTCTTCGCCCTCCTTTCCCTTTTATTTCAGGATTACTCCATTGAAGAGGAGCTTCGACAGCTGCTGGCATCTTTACCTCAGACTGAGATAGACCATTGTATCCAGTATTTCACATCTTTGGCTCTGAGGGAAAGTAGTCAGTCTTTAGCTGCTCAGAAGGTGAATGCATTTACACATTCATTCAACAAATATTTATTTGGCACTTAGTGTTGCTAAGGCACAAATTGTGATTTAGGTGCTTAGTGCCTGTAGTAGGAAAGGTACAAAATTATTTTAAAGTCATTTATAGAAGAAAGGAGTTCTCTGGCGTCAACTTCAGATGAGTTCAGTATTGGCGTCCCTGAGTCATGAAGGATCCGATACATAGGAAGGTTCAGTTAAATACTGCTCCTCCCTTTACTCACCTATGTGGTGAGTGCTCACCTGTGAGCACCAAAGCTGCTTTGCTTTGAAGGGATACTCTGTTCATCACCTTGCTTTATATGAGGTAGCACTGAGTTATCCTGGGTTAATGGCACTTTGTGACTAACACAAAGTGTTAGTCACTTGACTCTTTCTCTTGTATTATCTCCTTTCTTCTCTCTTGGGGGCATCATTTTGCCCTTTCCCGTTATCTTTCACATTTAAAAAAAAATTACCTCAGGCAACCTCTTTAACAGTCAGATAGAAACATTGTTAACCCACTTTCTCTTTCCCCTTTCCAAAATGAACCTAATTAACCTAATTGATAAGAATAAGAAAAGTGATATTTTTGAGTGAGGAATAAGGAATTCATAAGTTTCAAAATTAAGTTAGAAATATTAGAGTATTAGTATTACCAACCTTAGAAATACTCCAACATGACCTTAAGAATTTTAACACGTCTTTTACCTCTGTGTCATCCTCTAATTGGGCAGCTAGGTGGCACAGTGGATAGAGTGCTGGGTCTGAAGGAAGACTCATCATCCTGAGTTCAAATCTAGCCTCAGATACTTAACTATAGCTCTGTGACCTGAGCAAGTGACTTAATCCTGTTTGCCTCAGTTTCTTCATCTGTAAAATGAGCTGGAGAAGGAAATGGCAAACCACTCCAGTTTCTTTTCTAAGAAAACCTCACATGGGGTCACAAAGAGTTAGACACGACTGAAAAATGACTGAACAACAACATCCTTTAATTAAACTTGCTTTTTCTGAAACACAAACATTCAAAGTATTTTTTTATTCAATTTTGGTGGGTTTTTTTAAAAAAGATTATTAGTATTACAATAGTATTGTTTCAGCTACATTATGAGTGATGTAGTGTTTTTAGGGGAAGGGGGGCTAGTTTGCAAGGCTAGCTATCATTTCTATTTCTGTTTGTGTGTGAAAAATCTATACATAAATTTTCAAAAGATAACTTAGAGGTGAACTTTTGAAACATGAAAGTTATGAATCTCCTAAAATGGTGTTTCAATAAAAAGATTTCACCCAACCCAATTTCTCATACATAAGGACGTTTCTGTTTCACAAAGAATATGGATCATCATATTTTTGTGTATATTTGAGTCAGATGATTACTAGCATCCAGATGAATACTAATAGGGTTGAAATATATTTGGTTAACAAGTATTAATTTTCTGTGACAGCTTGTAATCCTTAGGAAAATAAGAAAGGTAGCCTAGGGTTGCTAATATTCTGACTTTCTACTAACAATTGCTGTCATTTCTTATAGAATAGTAGTTGCCTGATATGTCTCTGAGAGTGCCAAAAAAATGTATTATTATGCATGTTGACCATAGTTCTCTATTCTCTAATCTTCCTAATGGCTTCTTTATTAGTCAAAGGCTGGAATACATCTCCTATATTGCTTTTTTTTAAATTTTAAGTTTTTTATTGATGTCTTTGTTTTTACGTTACCTTTATTTCTGAATATAGTCCTCTCCCTTCCCCTACCCAGAATCATCCCTTGTAGCAAAGAATAAAAAAGAAGAAAAAAAGAAAGCCATTCAGCAGACCTAACCAAGACATCAGTTGAGTCTGACAGTATATGCAACGTTCCCCACAGCTTCAAAGAGTGAAGAGATACATTTTCTGCTTGATTATTATAATTACAGTATTCAGTTTCTTGTTCTTTCATTTACATTGTTGTATTCAATGTTTTGTTTTCCTCATTCTGCTAACTCTGCATCAATTTGTATTAGTGTTCTCATCCTTTTCTAAATTTTCTGTTTCTTAAGGTAATGTTCCAATAAATTTATATACTCTAATTTGTTTAGCCATTCCCAGGAAATAGGAATCTACTTTGTTTCTAGTTCTTTGTTACTACAAAAAGTTCTACTATGAATACTTTAGTATATTTAAGACTTTTCTTTCTATTTTTGACTCCCGTAGAGTATATCCCTACCTGTGGTATCTTTGGATCAAAGCATATGGACATTATGCACATCTTAGTCATTTTTTGAGCATGATTCCAAGATGTCGTTCAGAATGGTTGGACCAGTTCACACGTCCACTAATAGGACTTCAATAGCTAGCATTAGATAGTGCTTTAGAGTATTTGTCTTTCCATAATCCCTCCAGCCCTATTTCTGTCTTTCTGTTTTCTTGTTGTGAGGTAAAACTTCAGAGTTGTTTTGGTCTGAATTTCTCTTATTATTGGTAATTTGGACCAATCTTAAAATTTACTTGGAATATTTGAAAGTATGACTTTACCTTTTCAATATTTTCATGGAAGTTAAACTAAGGATATAGCTAGGTTTTTATCAAGAAGGTTTTTATTCGGTCACTTTCCACTTTTTATCTTTTGTTTCAGAGATTGTATGTATATGTTTGAATTTTCTTGAAGTTAACTATGTTAATATTTCTTTGTGACTTGATTTTTAGAAATGTGAGTCTTTTTTTAAAAATTAATTTTTAGTTTTCACAATCTCTTCCAAAAGCTTTTGAGTTTTAAATTTCCTCCTCTCTTTCCTCACCTCTTTCCCCATGACGGTGTGAAATCTGATATAAGCTCTACATTCCTATTAAACATATTTTCACATTTGTCATGTTGTAAAGAAGAATTAGAACCCGTAAGAGGAACCACAAGAAAGAAGAAACCAAATGAAACAGAAGAAAAAAAAAGAGCAAATAATATGCTTTGATCTGCATTCAAACTCCATAGTTGTTTCTCTGGATATGGATAGCATTTTCCAGCATGAGACTTTTGGAGATGTCTTAGATCCTTGCATTGCTGAGAAGAGCTAAGTCTATCGAAGTCAGTCATTGTACAACATGACTATTACTGTTCACAGCGTTCTACTGGTTCTGCTCCTTTCACTCAGCATCAGTCCTTACAAGTCTTTCCAGGTTTTTCTGAAGTCTGCCTGCTCATCATTTCTTATAGCACAATAGTATTTCATTATATTCATATACCACAACTTGTTCAGCCATTCCCCAATTGATGGGCATCCCCTCTATTTCCAATTCTTTGCCACCACCGAAAGAGCTGCTATAAGTATTTTTGTACATGTGGTCCCTTTCTCACTTTTATGATCTCTTTGGGATACATACAGCCCTAGTAGTGATAATACTGGGTCAAAGGGTGTGCACATTTTTATAGCCCTTTGGGCATAGTTCCAAATTGCTCTCCAGAATGGTTGGCTCAGTTCACAACTCCACCAACAATGCATTAATGTTCCAATTTTCCCACATCTTCTCCAACATTTATCATTTTCCTGTTTTGTCATACTAACATGACAAAACAGGAAAATGATAAATGTGAGTCTTATTAAGAGAGTTAAATGGCACAGTGGATAGATTGCCAGGCATGAAACACTTACTAGTTATGTGATCCTTTGTCTAAGCCTTAGTTTCCTCCTCTGTAAAACGAGCACAATAATAGTACCTACCTCCCAAGGTTGTGAGAATCAAATGAGATAATAATTGTAAAGCACTTAGCACAATGCCTGGCACGTAATAAGTGCCATATAAATGTTAGTTATCATCTTCATCAACATCTTTATTAAGAGGATAATGTGAGACAAAAATATCAGGTTCTAATTTCTGGCACCCAATTTTCAGACAAGTTGTGTATATTTTACAAAGTAAAACTTGCTGAAATGAATGAGTTGTACTGCATTTACTCAGATATTCTGACAGTTTTTACCAAGCTGGAGAGGTGTCAGATACATACTTGGAAACAGACTGTGTCTCTATTTTGGGGTCCAGACTACCTAAGATTGGAGCAGCAATTCACCAGAAAGTTGGCTTCCAGGTGATTAATTCTTTTGGACACAGCAGCTCATAAAGATTGTCTACTAAATATGGAATGATTGCGCCTTTATTGATGGAAAAGATACTCTCCACACTTATGAAAAAAACCCAGATTTTTTAAAATAACCCTGTGAAGCAATTACTATCAAGCAGTTAATCAGTAATCATTTCTTAAGTGCCTTCTGTGTTCTAGGCACCTTGCTAGGCACTTGGGAATACAGTGACAAAAGGGAAACATTCCCTACACTCATGGAGCTTACTTTTTACTGGGAGATACAATAGGTACATAGATAAGTAAATATAGGATATGTGTAAAATAAATAATACATTGATGAGGGCCTAACAACTAGGTGGGATAAGAAGAGGCCTTCTGAAGGAGGTGGTACTTGAGTTAAACTATGAAGGGAACTAAGAGTTTCCAGAAGTAGAAGTGAGAAGGGAGAGTGTACTAATCATGGAACTGGGAGATAAAATGCCGTTTACAGGGAACAGGAGGCAGGCCAGAATGACTGGAACACAGAGTGTAGGAGTGGGAGTAATTTGTAATCCTTTAGAAAGAAAAGCTGGAAAAAACAAATCTTGTGTTCTTTGCTTTTATGCTACATTATGACTAAACATTGCCTGTCTATGATCAACCATATTTTAAGTTGTGTTTAAAAAAAAAAGAAAGAAAAATTGAAACCAGATTGTAAAAGACTTTAAACGTCAAATACACGAGTGTGTATTTTAGCCAAAACTCAGTGGGGAGCCACTGATGCTTCTTCAACTGAGCAGTGACGTGGTCAGACGTTTGTTTTAGGAATATCAATTCAACATTTGTGTGGAGAAAGGATTGGAGAAAAAGATTAACTGGTTATAGAGAAGGTAGCTAAGAGACTATTGCAGGAGTCCCAGGGAGTGGCAATAAAGGCTTAGACTATGGTGGTTATGGTGTGAGTGGAAACAAAGATGCACGTGAAAGAGATACTGAGAAAGCAGGATCAATAAAACTTGGCTTACTGGTTGGATATGGGAGGGCGGAAGAGTGGAGAGTGGAGAATGACTGAGGTGGTCATCAGCGTCTATTTGTTTATTGTCTTGATTGACTGTTATTGAGGTTTTATACGTGAGAAAACTCGCCTGAGGACGTTAAGTGACGTGTCTGAGGATCCATGGTTAGCAAGAGACTTGGAATATGAGTCCGTCAAAACTGTTACTCTTTCCACACATGCTTTCATAAAAGCAGACGTGAAGAAGCACTTTTTCTTAGCCTCGAGCTCTTTTTAGGCACTTGAAGACCTGTCATTTGCCAGGATTAGTCTTGTTCTGCTGGGTCCCAAGGTAGAACCAGGAGCAATGGTTGGAAGTTGGAGAACGGCAGATTTTGCTTCAGTGCAGGGAAAACCTCCCCAACGGGCTGAAGGATATGCTGCCTCCAGAGGTAGGCAGCAAGTCTCTGCTTAGGAGAGGCTTTCAAGAGAAGGCTAAACGTACTTCAGGAAGTACTTACTAGCTGCCTGCGGAGAACTTGTTGATGATGTTTGAGAAGAGATGGCTATGCAATCAACCAGCAAGTTATATTAAACACCTACTGCTTGCCAGGCTCTATGAATACAAAGGCAAACGTGAACTAGCTCTTGAACTCAAGGAGCTTACATTCTAACTAGGGGCACAACATGGACATCTATAAGCATATAGAATATATACAAAATGAATACAAGGCAGTTTTGTGAGTGACAGCTCTTGGCAGCTGTGCGGATCAGGAAAGGCTTCCTGTAGAAAGCGGTGCTTGAGCTGAGTCTGGAAGGAAACAATTCTAAGAGGCTGAGATGAGGAAGGAGAATGTTCCAAGCGTGAGGATAGCCAGGCCAAAGGCACTGAGATGAACCATGGAGCTGTGTGTGGTTGAATTATAGAATATGGTATGTTTTAGAATAGATGACCTTGGAGATTCCTTCCAATTTTGAGATTCTTTTATTCTGATAGTTTTTATTCATGGTACTAGTACATTTGAGATGTTCTTAAATGTGTTTGATTTTCTAGCTATAAATTGGATCACAAAAAAACAAGAGTTATGGGTTTGAATGAGAAATATCCATCCAAATTCTAGGCTTAAGGTACATGGATCTTTGATATCCAGGTTTCTTTAAATAGAGGAAAATCCTGCCTCATAAAAGGAAGCCAGGTTGCTTAGAGAAATAATCAGATACCTTTTGGGGTTATCCGGTAAGTTTCAGAAATAAATAATCTGATGAATTAATTAAAAACTCAGGAATACATTGATTAAAAGTCTTTTAGAAAATACTATTGTTCAAATTATGTAAGTCTTTTAACACTTCATTTACTGTTCCTTTCTGCCATTATATGATATACATATGTACATTTATATACCCTCATCTGTTTTAGGTTACCAGTTTTATGTTACAGTGATATCCTTTTTTTTTTAAACTAAGTTTTTTTTTTTAATATTTTCTGTCTCTTGCATCACCATAGTATTCCAGGTATTCCTTCCTTTTCCCCTCCCAGAGAGCAATCCTATATGACACTTAGTATTTTTTGGAGAGGACAACAGAAAACAAAGTCATTAAAACTAAACATTGAAAAAGTCCAAAAATATGTCAGTGTGTAACACCTATGATCTCCCACCTCCATGAAGGGGTAGGTTGGGGATGTCTTCTAATATCTCTTCATTTGAGTCCCACTTGATCTTTATCATTTTGTTAACATTTACTTTTGATTTTTTTGTGTCATTCTATCCATTGTAATTAGTATGTATATTCTTTTCTTGGCTTTGCTTACTTTATTTATTAATTGTTTATATATCTTGGATACCAAGCCCTTATGAGAGAATTTGGTACAAAGATTTTTTTCCCCATTTGACTGCTTCCCTTCTTATCCTAGATGCATCCTAGATGCATTAATGTTATCCATGTAGAAGCTTTTCAGCTTCAATTTCCCTCTTCTGTTGTAAACACAATATTATGTTCCTTCAGTTACTTTACTTTAATCTTTTTTTAAGGCGTCCCTGTTCCCACTGGCTTTCTTCCCTTCACCCCGATTGACTCTTTTCATTTGGTGTTCCATCTTCCTCTCCTCTCCTTCAGCTAGTCCTGTTCTTTAGTTTTTAAATTTAATTTTTTGGGGTCCCTTTCCACAAGGGATTTCTCTCTCTCTTCGTTGTCCATCTTCTCTTTCTGTTTGCTCAAGAACCTCATTTTCTGATTCATAATCCCTATAATTACCTAGTCTCTCTTTTCTCAGTACTTTTCATGCAAGCAAAGCTTCCAAGCTTTTTATTCTAGGCTCTCCCCGTTCTCTAGGTGTTTTATGCCACTGCCTTATAAGATTTACTTCGTGGATTTACTTCTTGAATTCCCCTTTTCCATTGTGTCTTACTCCCAGAACAATACCAATTGCAGTTGTCAGAGAGAAAATTGCCCCATGGCAGGGCTCCTGCCCTACCACTGATCTATACCCTCTCTTGTTGAGCTTTTTCCTACATTTACCTGGAAATATCTTCCTTGGTTCCATGCACGTCCACTCGCCCAGGTTTCACTTACTCCCAGGGGTTCCAACTCCTTTCCTCCCGGGACAAGTAGACTTTTGAAGCCCCAAATCCCTCTGGACTTTCCTGATCCATCTCACTTTCACATAAATCTTTTTTTTTTTTAACAGTATCTGGTAGCCTACTTCTATGGGTTATATCTAGTTGCTGAACAGAAACCATGGGGTAACCTTTTTTTCCCCAATAAACTTTGTTCATTTTTTCTGATTATAGGGTGGCTTATGGTGTTTTGGTGGAAATGGACTTCCTTATGCTGAAAGTTTTGGCGAAGTTCCTTCGGCAACAGTAGAGTTATTTTGTTTGCAGGCTTTAGTGAGGCACTCTGAGGTAATTTAACGTTTAAAATTTCATTTAAAATGTAAAAAATTCAAATTGATCATATTTCTACATAAATTATATCCTATAGCCATGATTTTTAAACTTGTCAAGTCTGGGAACTCTTAGCATTGTTTCTCATACCTACTGAGGAACACTAATGAGTTGTTCAAAGAAGGCTGGGCTGGCAGGTCATCAGATGGAGGGACACATGTTAAACTTGCCAACTGAAAAAGGGCTATGTAATGTGGTGTAGGTCTGTATATTTTTACAGCATCCAATTTTAATACATTTATTATGTTAGATTGCCACACATTGTGATAAAATTGAAGCAAATGGAGGCCTGCAACTACTCCAGCGGATATACCAACTTCACAAGGACTGTCCTAAAATTCAGAGAAGTATAGTTCGTATCATTGGAAATATGGCATTGCACGAGCATCTTCATTCAGCTATAGTCCATTCAGGTAATAAGTTAATGTGTTGAAGTACTCTAGGTTTGGTGGGGTTTTTTGTATTGCCTTATGATTTTAAAAGATAACTAAAATTGGTGGTGGGAGTTTAATTATATACCTTGAAGCCTAAGACATGTTCTTTTCAGGACAAGAATAATACAGCTACTGGTAATTTGAGTTTCATAGGTAGACTTGGAGATATAATTCTGTCTCAGGCTTATGTTCTTAATTTCATCAACTTATTGCTATGTGCCTTCTGCTAAAATTCTGCTTTCTAATATCTCATGAGGGTATGGAGGTGACCCCGAGTTCTTTTGAGCATGTACCCAGTTGATGGACTTTTGGTTTGTTGTCTGAGGACCATCCTTGCTAAGGTTGTAGAGCCTCTTTTCATAAGGAAAAACTCTAAAAAACTAGATATCCCTCTGCCAGAGTTGGAGAACCTTATAGAAAAATTCAAAGCTGAAATGTCAACACATTTTGAAATAAGCCATTAATACTATCCAGTGTAATTTCTTCCTTGAACAAAGCAAAATTAATAAAATAGTGAACCTGTTAGAGGATTAACTATCAGTCTATGATTTTTGGTATAGTAGCTTGTCAAACCATACACTAAAGCAAAGGAAGATGATGATTGTTTCAGCATAAACACAAATGAAATCACAAATCCTTGAAATATGATTGATAGAGGTGCTATGTTTTGATTCTCTATAAAGCTATACATTTTGAATTGTGTCCCTTTTCTTTACATTTCTGATTTAATGGCTACTTTATCAGTTCTTACTTGCTAAGCATTTGGGATATTGGAAGGTGTCCTTTCATTTTTTTCTTATTTAACAAAATAAAAATTTTAGTATTTCACTGTCTTTTCTGTTGATTACCCCTTCTTAGATTTCTGGTGAGCTTAAACACTATGATTTTAAATTTCTTTATTTTTTATTTGTTTTATCCATCTTGCTTTTCTAGGTAGGGATAGTACTTTTTGGGTAATTCTAGTACATAATATAGTTAGATAGTAGATAATATGCTGGTAGATAATATAGTTTACACTATCCATAGTGGTAAGGTGATTATTTATAACAGTAAGGAGAGCACAGATAAGAAAACTTAAATCTAATAATCATCTGCCAAACTATATTGAGACCATTGTACCCACTACCTATAGACAATGAATTAATGGGTTTTTTCATTTATTTTTATTTATTTATTTTTAGTTTTCAGCATTCACTTTTATAAGATTTTGAGTTCTAAATTTTCTCCTCTTTCCTTCCCGACCCCCTCCCCAAGATGGCATGTAATCTGATATAGGCCATACGTGTACAATCATATTAAACATATTTCCATAATTAGTGAGTATTTTTTAAGTACCACCTTTGTGCCAGGCACTGGGAATAAAAAGAAAAGCAAAAGATGGTTTCTGTCCTTGGGGAGCTCACAGTCTAGTGGGAGAGACAACATATAAACAAATGTGTACAAACAAGCTAAATACAGGATAAATAGGAAACAATCAACAGAAGAAAAAGGCACTAGAATTAAGAGGGACTAGGAAAGGCCTACTATAAAAGGTAGTTTTATAGCTGGGGCCTGAAGGAATCTAGGAAACCTAGAAGAATCAGGAAGGAAAGCATCCCAGGTATGAGGGACAGCAGAGAAAATGCCCAGAACCAAGAAATGGAGTGCCTTGTTTGGGGAACAGCAAGGAAGCCAGTGTCACCAGATTGAAGAATACGTGGAAGGTGGAAGGTGTTAGAAGATTGGAAAGGGGAACCTGTGTTTGAGGAAGATCACTTTGGCACTGAATGGAGGATGTACTGGAGTAGTGAGAGACTTGTCTGACCAACCAGTAGGCTAGGCATGTGGAGATGAGGGCTTACCAGGGTAGTGGCAATATCAAAGGAGAGAAGAGGGTGTATTCAAGAGATATTGCAAAGGCGAAAGGAGCAGGTCTTGGCAACAGATTGGATATGGGGGGAGGTGGGGCAAGAAATAGTGAGGAGTTCAGGATGACACTCAGATTTCAGGCCTGGGGTATGGGAAGACAGTGGTGCCTAGAGAGTAATAAGGAAGTTTGGAAGTGGGGTCAGTGAAGGGGGAAAGATAATGAATTCAGTTTTGGATATGTTGAATTTAAGATGTCTGCTGGACGTCCAGATGTCTAAAAGGCAGCTGGAGATTTGAGACTAGAAGTCAGTAGAGGGATTAAGAGGAGTAAGTAGGGGCAGCTAGGTGGCGCAGTGGATAGATCACTGGCCCTGAAGTCAGGAGGACCTGAGTTCAGATCCGGCCTCAGACCCAACACTTGACACTTACTAGCTGTGTGACCTTGGGCAAGTCACTTAACGCCAATTGCCTAAAAGCCAAAAAAAAAAAAAAGGAAATAAGAGGGGTAAGTAGATTTGAAAGGCATCAGTATAGAGACAATAATTAAATCCATGGGAACTGAGAAGATCACTAAGTGAAATAGTATAGAGAGAGAAGAGAAGAGGGTTCAGGACAAAGCCCTGTGAGGGATAGTCACAGTTAGTGGGTATGGCTTGGATACAGATCCAGGGAAAGGCCATGTAGTAGATAAATACTTATTGCTTTTCAACTCAGATGGATGTTGCCGTTTGGAGCTGACCTGGTTTTTGTTGTTGTTGTTGTTTGTTTTGTTTTGTTTTTTAAAGAGGGTTTTAATCTTCTGCAGCTACTATATTTCCCACCTGGATTGGAATCAAAGCCCCAGATCTCCTTGGTGCAGTTAGTTTGTGGCTATGGGAAATGAGTTTATGACCCTGACTCAGCTGGGTATGAAAGGTGGGACGTCAGGGAAAAGGGAACAGCTTGAGATAAATTGCTATCATCCTTAATGAAGATAGTTGATAGGTAGATAATCAGGAAATGAGTATAAATTTTTTTTTGCCAAGGTTGTTGTCCTTTTCTGTATAAAGTTAAAAAAAAATCAAAGACAATTTATGTAAGTAGGAAGCATATTCAGGCTAAAAAGAGACCTCAGTTAAACCAAAGATACTTTTTCTATGTTTATTTCTCCCTTATTTTCTATCCATTTTAAGTCATTTGCAAGATTAATAGCACCCAAAGAGAAAAGAATAAATTATTTAAATTGGAAGACTGGAAATATAAAGGTTTAAGACCATAAAACAACAGTAAAAAAAAAAGAATGAATTTCACTGATATTTAGTTTAGCTTCTTATTGAGACGATGGAGAAATCCCAGCCTTGATATTACCCCTTATAAATAGTAGAGCTGAAGACAAGCCAATTAAATTATACTTTAATAATTTATTGGATTCATGATCTTATAGTTTAACACCTCCAGTGATGAAGATTGCTACCCATTTACTTTTTCTCATCTTATGCATTTCTTATCCGTGTCCTTCCTACAATCAAAGAAAAAATATTAATACTGTCCTCTGCACATTAGGACACAAATTTTCCAGAAATAATTTTATGTAATTTATTAAATTTAAGCTGTTATTTAAGCCATTTGTGGCTTAGAGAGATGTCCAAACTAGCGTAGTTCTCCCATGTCCTGTGATGTATTTCTCAAGTGGGCAAGTCACTTAACCTTGGTCTGCCTCAGTTTCCTCATCTATAAAATGGAACAATAGTAGCACCTACTTCCCAGGGTTATCATTAGCATAAGATGAGATAATATTTGTAAAGTACTTTACAAATCTTAAAGCCCTATGTAAATGCTAGCTAGTTATTATTATTAATATCATCATCATCATCATCATCACCATGACCACCCAAAGATGAATTTAGGCTACATTTAGAGGAATCCTGAATAAGGAAAAGACTATAGCGTATTAAAATGCATTTTGGGGTTAATATAACAAGAGAAAGGGTTACTGTGAAGTTACTCCTGAAGTTCTCCTGAAGTACTCAAAAGGGTACTGAAGTACCTGAAGTACTCCCTTGCTTCTCCCTCTCATCAATAGCTTAATCTTTTCTCTTTGCAGGAGGATGGGTCAACCTCTTCAAGGGATTGTGATTATTTAAAAAGTTCTAAGACACATAATTTCTGGGTAGTTTAGTCATTTTATTAATAAGGCCAACACATTTATTAATAAAAAATTTGTCTGTCTCTCTTAGACCAAAGACCCCTAATGGCAATGGGCTCACAGTTTATAGGCCCTTGGAAGAATAGGTGTTCTTACTTGGAAGAGTAAGCAATCAACTCTGATTGGTTAACTATTAATGAGAAAATTACAGTGAGAAGATGGGCTGTGTTGTACTGACTTGGATCATCCAAATCTTGGTCAAAGAGACTTATCTATTTCCATATCACCTGTTTGACAAAAATGAGGATCCACATTTTCCCAGCAAACACAATGAGAAGGAATGCACTCGTTAGCCCAAATTTAGAATTTCTTTTACTGTCTTTGATTAGATCTCCACTATCTTGGGTGGATATATCTTTTAGAAAGATTTCCCACACTGATTGATTTCTGATGAGGAAGTAGAAAAGGGGAAAAATCTTGATCCTAATACAATAATTAATTATTAAATGCAAGAGAGAAATAATCATTTCTCACAGGATAAACTAAGATGAGATATCTCTTAGATGGGTCAGTAGCCTGATCACTTTTGGGGTAGGTAACTAGAGTTGCTTGGTTATCACCTTCAATCCATTTCCTTAAGAAGGACCTAACATTTTGACAGTAGCTAATATTCAGGAAGCTCTTATGATATGCAGAGCATTGTGTTAAGATAGATATAAAGCTTAGTGAAAGCAAATTTCCTGCTATCATAAAGCTTACAGTATGGGGGAGGGGAGGGCAGTGGCTAAGATACAAGCATGATATATGCACCATGATAGATGAGTGAACTAGAGAGGTGCAAAATATAGTCTGAGGTACAAGGTTGTCACTATTAGCAAATCATGGAAGATTTCCTAGAGGAAGCAGACTTTGGGTGAGCTTAGAAGTATGGCTAGGAATTCAGCAGGCTGGTAGTAGAGGAAGACTTTTCCAGTATAGGGAATGGCTTACCCAAGAGTGTGGACATTTTAGGGCATGTTTGGAAGATAGAGAATGTAACCCAGCCTAGTTGAAGTATACAGTACATGGAAAGAAGTAATATTAGTTAAGGCCGGAAAGATAAGATTGTAGAGAAGGACCACGAGTTCTAGGCAGAGGAGTAAAACTTAAATAAACAGGAAGTAGGAAGCCATTGTATTCCAGGGAGCGCAATGAAATTTTCATCACTTTGATCGAGAGCCGATTTTGATAGTTAATATTCTTATCTTCATACCTTTATGGTATTTTGTTTTGATCCTCTTCAGTATTTCTGCCGATTTCTAGTAAACGAGTCTCAATAAAACCCTTTCCTCAAACTTTATATAAGCTTAAAATAGCTAAATGTAGACATACTAGTGGAGATCAACTCATCTGGAATATAAAGTTATAGGGAGTTGACTTGTCCTGAATCAGCCAGCCAGTGTGTAAGAGGTGGGACTTGAACCCAAGTCTTAATGATTCCAAGTCTGTTCTCCATTCATTATGCCAAGCTTTCTTTTTCAATAGTTCATTTTAAAATTCCAATTTTTAAAAACTTTTTTTGTTATTTAGTAATATTTAAAAGTCTACTTTTGTAATACTTCCATTGTGAATGACGTCTAGGTTAACTTGTTGAAAGTGTGGAATGATAAACTTTAAAAAAAAACACCTTTAGTTATTTCTTATGTAGTTATGTCATTTTATGGTACATGACTAATGCCAATAGTAATGTTATAAAATACATATTAGTTTATGTAATTATGTTTTATATACATTTTAATTTGTCAACATTTTATCATTTTTTTTTATCACATCTGTGATTTTGTTGGTATAGGACATTCTCAGTAAGGAAACTCCCTCTACCAATGCATTTGGCACTAACTCTACAACTTTTTAGTTTCCTAGAGGGAAACTTAAATCCAGGTCTTCTTGACTCAGCCCTGTTCTCTATCTGCTGCTTCTTAACAAACATTAAGCATGTATTATATTTGAGGCACTATTTCTAGATTCTGAGACTACAAAGTTAAATAAGGCATGGTTCCTGTCCTTAAGGCACGTAAAATTTAATGGGACAGAGGAGTAGTCAAGATAAGATATTTCTATATATAATAGGAGGCCAAGTGTATTAGGTGTAAAGGTTAGGTCCAGTTCTGCGAGAAATTTTAGGAGGGAGAGAGGGATGGGTGTGACCAAAGGTGTAGAAATTGGGGATGGTGAATAGTCTACTTGTCCTAGAATTGTTGTTGTTTGTCCTTCATTCTCAAAGAGGACCATGGTTTCAGAAAGGTGATGCCATGACTTGTGAGTGAATTGGATTTAAGTGAAGGACAGCTATTTAAAGTCACCAGCCTCGTTTTCTCCTCTGGAGCCATCTGGGTCTAGTGGTGAGCTATAGATGAGTACAATTGGAGATGGCCCTGGATGCAGTGAGAGACCTTGACCTTTTTAAGCTAAGGTCTTTAACAGGTCTCAGTTTGACTGAGGCAACATCCATTTAGTGGTTCAGGCTAGGTATGAAATGAGGCAAATAATGACCTCTTTTACCTAAGTCAAAAAACAAATCGATCTAGGAGGGGAAGACCCTCAGGGTTTCTGGCCAAAATAGAAACAGTTGTTATTTACTTGGCTGAGAGAGAGAGAGAGAGAGAGAGAGAGAGAGAGAAAATGTATAGCACTGGACAACCAACAAGGTGTGGGTAGCTGGAGAGGAAAGAATTAAAGAGTGAATTTTTAAGCCTCAACAACTTGGTCATGCCATCATCATAAATAGAAAAATTAGGAGTGGTAGTTTTGAGAGGAAGGTGCTGAGTTTAGTTTTGTGCATGTTGAATTTGAAGTGTTGATAGGTACAGCATATAGTATGGAATGCTGGACTAGAGTTGTAGGGTGGAGATAGATTTGACAGTCATCTGCATAGAAGTAACAATTCTAGTCATAGAAGTGGAAGGACCAGGAGAATGCACTGTTATGGAAATCAAGGGAAATAAGAAATTGGTGTGTGTGTGTGAGGGGGTGGGATTATGTGGGCGTGAGGGTGGGGAGGAAATTGCTGCAGAGAGGTTAAGAAGGATGAAGACTGAAAAAAGGCTTTTTTGGTAAGAGGTGATTGTTGACCTTGGACTGAGCAGTTTCAGTAGATGGGGACAGAAGCCATATTAGAGACTACTCTTTTTAGAATTTTGCTAGTGAAAAAGAGGAAAGCGCTAATAGCTTGAGTATTGTTGTAGAATCGTGAGTGGATTTATTTTGAGGATAGATACAGTAAAACTAAAGCGTTTTTGAAGAAGAGAAAGAGCTAGCAGAAAAGGAGAAATTGAGAGAGGACATGGAACCAGGGATAGAAATGGAAAGTTAGCTTTGGCGAGTGCGTCTGTTGAAACTGCGTATATCTCTTTTGAGATAATATTCCTTTGATCATTTTGTCTTTAAGAAATACTGAGTAATGTTTGGAGCCAAAACGGTTTGTTGAATGAATTTCTTAAGGTAACAGGAATAGGATAAATGACAGTTTCACTGTGTAGTTTGATGTTTAAAATTTTCCCTCAGATGAAGATTATTCTTACTAAGATTATTCTTACTAAGACTTATACAAGTGTTAGTAAACCAAAGGCGAAGGTAAAATTTTATACTTTTTAAACTGGGTCTTACACTGACACCCACACTGGATAAAAATACATATTTGAAGGCTTTAAAAAAGCCTTTTAATGATCAGTTTCTAAATTAAGTATAACATTTTTAGAATATCCAGGTGGCATCAAGGTCAACATAGTAATAGTTAACATGTCTTTGAAATATGAAGATTTATTGAAAAATGAAAGGCCATAATATGATTAGCATAATATAATTTCTCAGTAGACACTGACCAAAAATTAAGGTTACACTTGATTTTTAAAGGATAAACAAGAGTTTTCAAAGTGTGGTTTCTGCACAATGAGAAGTAAAAACATACTAAGGATGTTTCTGTTATAAAAGATGAATTAGATATGTACTTTTGAAAGAGCTCTGTAAAAGAATAAAGGACTAATTCTCTGCTCCTATTTTCCATTTCTAGAAAAAGTAATGTAAGAGAACACTTCATAAAATTAAAGCCATACTGTTTAGAATTAATAAATGCTATGCTTCTCTACTTAGCTAGTAATTAACTTGCAGAATGCTGCTTTAACTGTGCTAACTAGAATTTTTTTAAAGGGCTTTAGGTTTTTATACTGTTAACTATTCATAAGCTGATTTTGAAGAGGAATTCTTTGTTAAAGGTAGAGGCTCAAATAGTGAAAAATAATTTATAGATTTGCAACTTGTTTGGAAACATTTAGCATTAACCAACCACTGTCATACGTGCCTCTAGACTCATTGGATCTTAGAAATCTTAGAAAATGACTATGTTAGAATTAACTGGCCTCATCAGTTCAGGAAAAGCCTTGTCTCAGGAGAGAGAGAGATTTATGGTTTGCTTTCACTATCCTTCAATTTAAAATCTCTCCCCAGCTTAATTTTCAACAATATGAGACTTGGCTTTATAATAATTGAAGAGATTTTTTTTTGTACTAGGCTGGGTTTCCATACTGGCTGAAGCAGCGAAATCCCCCCATGTCGTTCAGGCTTCACATGCTGCCAGAACCCTGGCTAACCTGGACAGGGAAACTGTGCAAGAAAAGTACCAGGATGGAGTGTATGTGCTACATCCACAGTATCGCACTAGGTAAGAAAGCAGCGTGGAATAGAATTACTTCCTTTTCTTGGGGCATGTAAATTGTGTTTTGATCTTCTTTTCATAAATTAAATACTATTAAGTATAGGAAAATCAATCAGTAGGAATTTCTTCAATTCCTTAATCAGTAGGAATTTCTTAAAATACTAATTTTGCCTCCCTACTCAAGAACCTTCAGCAGGTTCCCTCTTTCCTACTATGCGAGGGCCATACTCTGCCTTTTTCTAGACCTTTTGTAATCTTAGCCCACCTTGCAGTTCTAACTGTGTTTCTCCTTTCTCCCCAGCATGCATAGTTCCCTCCAGTCATGTCTGTCCTTTCACTGTTATGCATGCATTCCACATTCATTCCCCCATTGCCTGTGCTCGTTTTGTGCCCATTGCTCCTTTCTCTTCCTTTTTGTGTATACAAGTCATTCGACTTATTCTTCAAAACTGAGTTCAGTTCCAGTACCCATGAATTCATTATCTATCTACTTTAGCTTATGTCAATCTCCATTCTTAGAGTTTCTGTTGTCAATTCCTTATAGTTTTGTATTTAATTTTCCAAATTTCTTCTTACAATCTCATGTGTATTAGCTTTCCCCTTATATAGATTATGCTAGCCTTGGGGGCAGGATTTTATATTTCATTGCTTCTCCTATAGTACTGGTTACATGAATACTTATTACTTGATTGATTGATAATATTTTATTAAAAAAATTCTTTTGAGTCACTATTGAGACAGTGGTTGGTTTCATGATTTGAAGATAGTGATTGAAAGCCAGCATTTATTTAAATAAAATAATGCTTTATCTGACTTCATTGGAGAATGAGATGATTTGTCGAGGCAATTTTATAGGTAGCTGAAGTACCCCCTCCCATTGCTGAAATGTTTTCCTTCTAACCATTTTTGATGAAAACATTTTTATTCTAAAATACATTACATAAGTTCTTAACAGGGCAACTAGGTGGCACAGTGGATAGAATGCTAGGCCTGGAGTTAGGAAGACCAGAGTTCAAATGTTGCCTCAGACACTTACTGACCTTGTTTACCTCACTTTCCTCATCTATCAAATGAGATGCAGAAAGAAATGGCAAACCACTCTAGTATCTTTGCAAGAAAACCCAAATGGGATTACAAAGAGTCAGATACAACTGAAACAACTGAACAACAACAAATCCTTGACTTGGTGAACAAGAGTAGATAAAATAGAATTTAATTTTTTCTGATAATTAGGTGTCATCACGAACATCAGTTACCATTCTACACTGAAATACAGTGATACCTTACAAGTAGTCAAGGCGCATGTCAGGTAGTTTGCCTCTATGCTAAGTGGATCCATATTTGTTAAATTGGTGTTTCTCCTGTATTTTCTTTCACTGTTGGTGGTTTCAAAGTATATGGCAACCTCTTAATTCCTTACTACTTATGATTTATTTTTGGTTATAACCTAAGAAGTACAGAAAGTTTCCAGGAAAGAACAGATAGTCAAAACTTACTAAATAAGTAATTTTAATTTTTTTTTACATTTTGTTATATATATATATTAGGCAATTGGGGTTAAGTGACTTGCCCAGGGTCACACAGCTAGTAAGTGTCAAGTGTTTGGTCTGAGGCCAGCTTTGAACTCAGGTCCTCCTGACTTCAGGGCCGGTGCTCTATCCACTGCACCATCTAGCTGCCCCATATATATATTTTTTTGGCTAGGCAATGGGGTTAAGTGACTTGCCTGGGGTCACACAGCTAGTAAGTGTTATGTGTCTGAGGCCAGGTTTGAAGTCAGGTCCTCCTGACTGCAGGGCTGGTGCTCTATCCACTGCGCCACCTAGCTGCCCCTATTTTTTATTTTTTATTTGATAAGAATATTAGGTTGTGCTCTAATGGTTGTACTCCTACAAACCCAAGAGAATGGGCTTTGTGACAATTCTCTTCTTACCACTGCCAGGCACTGTTTTTTGGCTTCATGACTATTTGAGATTACTGAGGTTGACAGAAATCTGACTGCTAGATTGCTACATATTCAGCCATTCAAAGTGGACCCAGGATACTGGGACCTGGAGAAAATTGTGATAATGTAAAAGAAATTCAACAGTGACAAGAGTTTTTCTACAATTTGAAAGCATTACTTGTACTAGTTTTTTAAGTAATTTATGATCACCACCATCAGATGTATCATTGCTGTGGCAGTGAGTATAGAAAGGGCCATTGAGATTTAACGAACTGGTTAAATTTGGGGCAAGTTTTTGGTTTTTTTTAAATCAATGGTTTGTAAATATGTATGTGTTCCCAGGGAGAAATGGAGACTGCTTTTCAATATGAAATCTTAACTATCATTTTAATTTCACTTTGTAAATGAAATTAATTTAACAGTGTTTCATATGTATAAACTTCGCCACTAAAATACCAGCCATATTTCCTCCTTAGTTTGCCTTCCCCCAGGAAGTATGTAGAAATAAATTCGTTTTAAATCTCCTTTATTTCTGATATAGATCATTTTTACCCTGGATAAATGTCACTTTGCAAGGCTTTATCTGTTCCCCTTCACATATAAAGACTATGGAATGACAACATATTCTTTTATTATTTTTTCATATTCTGTTATTGGTTCTCTGGAATATATAACTCTTGGGATAGGATATGAGGGTAATCTAGTTGTATTAGCTGTCACCTCATTCTTTACTATGTTTGATTTGGCTGACCTGAAAGGTTAGATTTGTATCCTAGCCATCACTCACTTAAGAATATAACCTTCCCTGAATATATATACCCATGAACTACGTAATAATCAGATTTCACTGTGTTTCAGATGGAATTGGGGTAGCAACAGGAAAAGGAAGGACATTAGAGATTCTCACTGGTGCAATAATGTACATATTCTGCTTCTTTTAAAACTCTTTCTCTTATTAGTCAGCCCATTAAAGCAGATGTCCTTTTTATTCATGGCCTTATGGGAGCAGCCTTCAAAACTTGGCGTCAGCAGGACTGTGATAAGCTTGAAATTGGAAAGGCCTCAGATGAAGAATGTTATACACAGTGTTGGCCCAAGGTAAGGAAAACAGAATAGTTCTTTGGAGATCATTTATTCAGGGAACGCTTCAGAGAGAATATGATAGCTAGTGAACTTATGATATGGTAAGAAGAATGCTTTTTTTGTCCTGAATCCCCTTTTCTCTGTACTTTCTCTTACTTTCTTATCAATATCCATGGATTGAATCATCACATTTATGGAGATGGCTCCCAAATCTATATATTAAGCCCAAATCTCTCTCTTGAGCTCCAGTTCTTGCTATCCTGTTGATATCTAAAACTTCTCAGTATGTCCAGAGCAGAACTTATATTTTCTCCCAAACCTGAACTTTCTCCTCTAGACTGTTTCTCTTTTGCAAACTTTGGTTTGCATGTTTAGTCACCCTTGACTCTTCCTTTTGTCCCTTCCCTTGTACACCTAATCTGTTGGCAATTGTACCTCCATAATGTCTCACCTGTGTCACCTTCTCTCCAATCACATGACCTATTTCAGTTTCTCATCATTGCAATTGCTCCTTAATTTGTCTCCCTGCTTCTAGTCCCTTTCTCTTCTAATGTAGTCCCTAAACAGTTGCCTAATTGATATTATCAAAGTATAAATCAGACTATATCATGCCCCTACAAAACCAAACTAAACCTTCAGTTCCACATCAGCTTTGGAGAAAACAATGCAATCCTCAGCTGACGTTTTTAAGGCACCTCATAATCTGATTCTTGCCTTTATTTTTAGTCTTTTTTCCCTTTATGTATGCTACATTTCAGTCAGGCAGACTTGCTAGCTGTTCCTTTGTACGACATTCTTTTTCATGCCTTTCCAAAGGTGCTTCTACGTGCTTGTAATGTATTCCCTTTTCACCTCTGCCCTATAAAATCCCTAGCTTCCTTCAAAATACAGCGCATGTATCACCTTCTACAAGAAACCTTTCCTGACATCCTGTAACCCACCAAGTTGTTATTGCTGTCTCCTTCTTGAAATAGTTTGGTATATATTTTATGTTTACTTATCTGTGGATGTGTATTTCCCTTCCCCCGATAGAATGTAAGTTCCTTGGAGGCAGGGGATTATATCCCCATTGCCTTCCGCTTGTTAGACACTTAATAAATGTTTATTGGAATGAAATAGTAAAGGACACTATAAATGTTTTTCATCAGTAACTGTACGTCCTAATAATTTTCATATTTGTGCCATTAACATCAGTCTCTTACCTACTTAGTAATACATGTTGTCTGATGTCTTGCATGAGTTAGAGTACTGTAGTCTGTGGAAAGTAAAAAGGGGGAAGAATTAGACCTTTTAAAGAAATAGAACATTACTAATATAAATGAAAATTATTTCATTGGTAATATAATTAGACTATAGTAATCATCAGTATTCATTTAATGGTTGGATATTGCAACTATTCATTATCACAATATTAAATTTATGAGAGCTTGAAATAGAAATTCCTATAGTATCTATAATCACGAGAATTGTCACATGAATATATTTATTTGTCTTAAAAGATCCTTTTTACACAACAGTAGTGTTGTTTATACTTTGTTTGCTGGGGCACTGAGGCATAGAAATATTATAACATGCCCAAGATCATACTGTTCCAGAACTGAATATGTAAATATTATTTCTGGTCTCCTGGTACTAAACTTTAATCACCAGGCCTTCTACAGAATCACATTCATCCATTTAAATTCAGCAAGTAGTTATTTGGAATTCTGTTTAAAATGGCAGCATTGGGGGGCAGCTAGGTGGTACAGCAGATAGAGCTCCAGCCTTGGAGTCAGGAGGACCTGAGTTCAAATCTGGCCTCAGGCAGTTGACATTTACTAGCTGTGTAATCCTGGGCAAGTCACTTAACCTCAATTTCCTCACCAAAAAGCAAAAAAAGGGAAAAAAGACAGCACGGAAGGGCGCAGAGAAGCCTGTCTCTCTGAAATACCTTCTAGCAATGCTCTGAAAAGGGCGGCACATTGCAAAATGATGAAGAAATCAAAAGGGAAAAATTAGTAAGCTTATTCATTCAGCTTAGCATGACATAAAAAGATAGCCAGTAGCCACAGCAATAGAAGAGTTGAATCACCAGGAAAGCCAGAGCAGACTCAGGTGATTAAGCCAGACCACTGCAGCAGAGATTTGACAAGTAATGGTCGCGACCCTTAACAGAGGATAGAAGACCATAGCAATATCCCTGTAGGGGAGTCCTCAAGAGGGACACTGAAGCCTGCCAGCACTGTGAGCCCATAGGTACTGGAGTAGGTGAAAACCAGTGGCAGGAGCTCAGGAAATTGAGGTTAGAACAAAACGAGGCCTGACAGACTTATCTAGGCTTGTGGGAGGGGACAGGGCCTGACCTTGGCACAAAGTCCCAAATCGCAAACTTCAGCGGAACATGGAAGTAAACGGAAGAAGATCCTCGATATCATGAAGAAATATTATGGATCAAGAGCTGTCCAATAGGAAATCCCTGGAGAAGAGAGTAATTCCACAAGCATAAGTCATAAGTATCAGGAAAAATAAATGGTTTGGCCACATGAATACCTAAAAGAAGAAAAAACTAGCAGTTTTTAAAAAATGAATTAGGAAAAATTTTAAGGAAACAAACAGATTAGAACAGCTTTTCCAGGTAGAGATATGAAACATGACTGTCCTGGGCCTATCCCCAAAATGGAGGCCCCAGAAGAAACTCACCAATATAGGAACATGACATGATGGTGCTCCAGGATGAGAGGCAGCCTAAATCATGGTGGCAATGTCTGGAGAGCCACATACACAGCTGAGAGAAAAATTTTAACTATTTGATTGTGGTTTAAAGAAAAAAAGAAAAATTGGTAAGTCGGACAGATTAGGAGTATATAAGATCCAGTAGCAAACAAATATAGTAGTATATTTTGTAGAGTCTTTTTACTCAAGTTATGGGGTAAGGACTCACTGTTTGGCAGTAATTGTTGAGAAAACTGAAAAATAGTTTGGCAGAAATTAAGATTTAGACCAAGATCTCATCCTATATGCCACAATAATCTCCAGGTAGAGGACTAAGATATAAAAAGTCATATCATAATTTGAGTAGAATAGGAAATATCTTTCACAAGTCAGTTAAGAGTCAACGGGCACTTTTTAAATATAATATACCATGCATTGTGCTTAGTGCTAGGGATACAAAGAAAGACTCTTCAAAGATCTCACGTTCTAGTGGGAGATGATATTCAAACAACTATGTGCCTACAAAATATATACAGTATAATGGAGGTAATCGCAAAAGAAATGCCACTGTGGGTGATGTGAGTACAGAATGAGAGCCAGAAAAGTCCTCTTGTAGAAGTTGAGACTTGATCTGAGTCTTGAAAAAAGCCAGGAGGCAGAGGGGAGTAGCAACAACATTCCAGGTATTCTGGACAATCATCAAAAAGGCACAGAGTCAAGGATGTGGAGTATCACGTACAAGGAACCGCAAGAAGGTCAGTGTTGCTGGGTAGTAGAGTGTTTGGAGGGGAATAAAGTATAAAAAGACTTGAAAGGTAAGAAGGGCCCAGGTTGTGAGGTGCTTTAAAAGCCAAACAGAGAATTTTATATTCGATCCTTGAGGTAATAAGGAGCCACTAGTGTTTTCAAAATAAAGGGAAGGGAAGACCTTTTGACTAAACAAGAGGATGGACAGTTTTGGTGACCTAAAATTGAAATGCTTTTTTACAGACAAAATCAATGCAACCAAAATCAAAAGGGAAACAGTTAACTGAGAAAATATTTGCAACAGTTTTTTTCTGATGAAGGTCTTGTATCTAAGATATGTAGAATATATTCAAATATACAAGAACAAGAACCATACACAGCAAATTAAATCATCAAAGAATATGAACAGGCAGTTCTCAAAAGAAGAAAAGCAAGCTATCAAAAACCACATAAAATGCTCCAACTCACCAATAAGAGAATAACTAAGTTAGCAATAATAACTAAAAGAAAATAAAATTTAAACAATTCTGATGTTACATCTCATACCCAGATTGGCAAAGTTGAGGAAAAAAGGAAAATGACAAGAGATGGAAGGGATGGTAGTACAGGCACACTAATACACTGCTTGTAGAGCTAGCTGTGAATTACTATAGTGATTCTACAAAGCAATTTGGAACTCTGCCCCCAAATTCACTAAACTGTGCGTATGCTATGATCCAACAGTATTGTTAATAGATGTTCCCCAAAATACAAAAGAAAAAGGGAAAGAGCCTATATGTATAAAAATATCCATAGCAGCATTTTTTTGTTATAGCAAAGAGCTAGAAATTGAACTGGCTGCTCATCAGTTGTGGGATGCTTCTACAAATTATGGTGTGTATATGCAATAAATATTATTTTCGTGTAATAAATGATGAAAGTGCCAGATACAAAGAAACCTGGGATGACTTGTGCATTATGAACACATGAAGAATAAAGGGAACAGAGCCAGGACAGCAATTTGTATAATAACTACAGCAATGTAAAGAAAAACAGCTTTAAAAGACATTGGAACACTGACCAATTCCATGATCAACTGCCACTCCAGACGACCAAGAAAAAAGAATGCTTCCCAGTTCCTACCTCTTGATAGAGAGGTGAAGGATTATAGGTACAGATTTAAGCATATATATTTGAATTTGACCAGTATATAGATTTTTTCATATCTATACAAACTTGTTATGAGAGGGAGTTGTTTTTGTTTTTCTTTAAATTGGGGGAAAGAATTGTGGCACTGGTGATAAAGAAAGAAAATTTTTAAAAAAAGCATTAATGAAGCACTTTGAAAAGTACTCAAAAGAGAATATAAGGAAGTTTTGAGGGAAACACAAACAAGTGGAATATGTTTTGGAAATAATGTGTTACGTTTAATGTATATGTTTAAACCCAATCTGCATGCAATAAATTCATGGCTTTCACATACTGTATTCTTTGTTTTTTGTCTGTGGAAATGATCAGGTTTGTCAGAGTTAAATTCCAAATAACAAAACTTTTTAAAAAACTAAAGTAAATAATTATCTTCTAAAAATTTAATCTGGAATCAGAAAATGGTATTTTTTTTTCAGAAAAGTGTCAAACTTACTTTCTTTAATATGAATGGGCTTTGTAAGTAAAAATATTAATAAAACTTTGGTTTTCTTTGGTTTGTTGACTGAAAAGTCAATAAACATTTATTAAGCACCTTCTACGTGCAAGGCACTGTGATAAACAATGGGGATAAATAGGAAATAATCAATAGATGGAAGATACTAGAATTAAGAGGAACCTGGAAAGGCTTCTTGCAGAAGGTAAGATTTTAGCTGGAAACTGAAGGAAACTTGGGAAGCCAGGAGGTAGAGATGAGGAGGGAGAGCATTCCGGGTATAAAGGACAGCCAGTGAAAATGCCTGGAGCTGAGAGATGGAGTGTGTTTTGAGAAACATTAAGGAAAGGTGATTCCAATTTGTATTGAAAATGGACTTTTTGTCACATTAATTTTCATTTGTTATCTATGCTTTATAGTTTCTTTAATTAGCTGTTAAATATAGCAAGAGGCCACTGGTAATGAATTTTTATATGTCTGAATTAATGTAGTGAAAATTCACATGTGCTCTTTTTGTTTTACTTGTTTTATGTAGACATGGTTAGCAAGAGATTGTCCCGCTCTTCGAATTATTTCTGTGGAGTATGACACCAACCTTAGTGATTGGAGAGCAAAGTGCCCTGTGGAAAGGTAATAGAAGAAAATTATGTAAACTGAAGAGAAAGAGTAAGGAAAACCAAGACATAACTGACTTCATTAACTGGGTGTTTTAGTGTTTGAGACAGGAGAATTTTTTCTTCGAAGGAAATGTTTTGACTTCACCTTCCTTTTATTAATGATTAGCTATAAGAAAATAGTAAAATTGTTTAAAGTTTAATATGTTCTAATGTGGAGCTTTTGACATGGATTTTTTTTTGTTTGATGTTTTAGGATTTTGATATAATACAATTTCCTTTTTCTGTTAGAAGTTATATTATTAGATGCATAATATACGGTAGGTCCTGGGTGCCCCATTTTGGGAGTAACATTGACAAGCTATAATGCTTCCAGAGAAGAATGACTAGAATAAACCACATCACATAAATAATAGTAGAAGAAACTAGAGGTGTGAGACTTGGAGAAAGAAGATGTAGGAAAGAAATTATATAGATGTCTTTAAATATTTGAAGGGCCTGAGAATGGAGCCAAGATGGCAGAGTATTAAGTATGAAGCAATACAGCTGACCTCTGAGCTTCCACAAAACTCCAAATAGATCTAGAAAATGCATCAGACCAAATCCTCATAGGGAAATCCATAAAAAGGAACAGCAAGTCAATTGTCCAGCCCAGCTAAGCTTAGAGAGACAGAGAAGTCTGCTGATACTGGGGACTTTTGGGTCCCATAACATGCAGTATGTAGGAGGACCCTAGCATCCTAAGAGAGGCAGTATACCAGAGCAAGAGGAAGTCCCAAACCTGTTCTTGGGAACCTGGATGGGACCAGTGCCAAGTGGCAGCTTTGCCATCCATTAATTACTTAATTCTGAGTCACATATCCAAGGTAGACTGAGAAGGGGACCTGTACACAGGAGTGGCATTCCTGGGTAGCCAGGGCCTGGGCCAAGTACTGAGAAAGGAGAAAGTTGAGAAGCAAGTAGCAGCTGTATTCTACATAATCAGGCTGTGCCAAGTAGACATCTATATAGATGAAAGAGTGGAGGGAATGGGTGATGCTTGAACCTCACTCATCTGAACTGACCAAAGGAAGGAAGAATATACACATACAGTTGGGTATGGAAGTATTTTTCACTCAGAACACTAATGCATTGTTGGTGGAGTTGTGAACTGATCCAGCTATTCTAGAGAGCAATTTGAGACTTTGTCCAAAGAGGTATAAAACTGTACATACCCTTTCACCCAGCAATACCACTTCTAGGTCTGTACCCCAAGAGATCATAAAAATGGGAAAAGAACCCACATGTACAAAAATATTTATAGCAGTGGTGGCCAAGAATTGAAAATTGAGGGGATGCCTATTAGTTGGGGAATGGCTGAACAAGTTGTGGTATATGAATGTAATGGAATACTATTGTGCTATAAGAAATAATGAACACGCTGGCTTCAGAAAAACCTGGAAACACTTGTACGGTCTGGTGCTGAGTGAAGTGAGCAGAACCAGAACATTTTGCACAGTAACAGCCACATTGTGTGATGACTAACTTTCATAGACTTGGCTCTTCTCAGCAATTCAAGGGTCTAAGACAACGCCAAAAGACGATGATGGAAAATGCTCTCCACATCCAGAGAAAGAACTGTGGAGTCTGGATGCAGATCGAAGCAGACTATTTGATCTCTTTTTTTCTTTTGTTGTTTTGTTTCTTCTTTCTTGCGGTTCCTCCAATTGCTCTTAATACTGCTTTACAACATGACTGATGTGAAAATATGTTTAATATGAATATATGTAGAGCCTATATCAGATGGCATGCGGTTGTGGGGAGGAAGACAGGGAGAGAAGGGGAAAAAATTTAAAACTCAGAAGCTTATGGGGGCAGCTAGTTGGCGCAGTGGCTAGAGTACCAGCCCTGGAGTCAGGAGGACCTGAGTTCAAATCCAGTCTCAGAGCAGACACTTGACACTTAATAGCTGTGTGACCCTAGGCAAGTCACTTAACTCCAATTACCACACACACACACACACACGCACATAGCTTATGGAAATAAATGATGAAAACTAAAAATAAATTAAGAAAAAATAAGTACAATTCACTCAATAAGGAAATAGGAGGAAAAAAAAGGGAAGAGGGAATTAGTGGGAAGTCTATAGCACACATCCAATTAATAGTTGAAGTGTCTGCTTTGAAAAATCTGGTCTTTTCTGCACATTCTCATGACTGTTTTATTTTTGTTCAGGAAGTCCATTGCTTACAGAAGTCATGAACTTCTTAGGAAACTCAGAGCTGCTGGTGTGGGAGATAGGCCAATGATCTGGGTGTCACATAGTATGGGAGGTATGTACACTTCTATTTCTTTTTTCCTTTCTTTTTTTTGAGCCATTTTTTGTTTGTTTGTTTTACTTAAAATTACAAATGAGTAACCTGGATCTTTGAACCCAAGTGCTTACTGGCATTCTTCTTGATCAGACATGTAAATTTGTGGTTGTCTTTATTTACATGTGAAAACCAGTCTGTCAGATCATGTAACAGAAACAACAATTAACAATAAAAATAAAAACAATAATAAATGTCTTTAAGTGGCTTGATCGAGTTCTTATTTTACTGGCATCGGTTGACTGAATCATGATGTTTTGCAAAACACATACAATTTTTTTTAGATTCCCAGAATATACAGTATTTTATAGCATTCCTTTCCATAACTTTGGTGAGGAGATTGAAGAAGCTGCTCATCCAAAAAGAAAGATCTCCATTGTGTTAGATATAAAATAGTTAAGCAGAATCAAACCAACATTGAACCCTCCCTACCCTATATCACCAATTTTTAGCTTTTTAATTTCATTCCTATTGGGAAGTATACATTTAATAGCATACATTGTCATAACAGCAAAAGACTGAACCTTCAATACAATACTAATTCTTTTTCTAAATAAGTTTTTATTGATGTCTTCTGTTTTTTACATCATCATAGTTATCCCCCAAATCTTTCCTCCACACTTCCCATTGAGTCCTCCCATGTGTCAAATAGTACTGAGACCATTCAACATGAGCTCCCTCTTCTTACTTCTTCCTCATCTCTTATCAGTCATATGCCTTCTTCTGCATTCAACTCCTTCACCCTGTTTCACATAACGAAAGGTGGCCTTACACCTTGTCAAGGCCAACTTCTCTACCTGCTCAAGTGATCCCATTCCATCCTTTCTCCAACAGATTGCCCCCTCTCTCATCCCCATGCTGTCACTAATTTTCAGTGTCTCCCTGTCTACTGGCTTCTTCCCTGCATCCCCATGTCTGTCCCTTCTTCAAAATATCTTCACTTGGTCCTTCCATTCCTGCTAATTATTGTCCTACATCTCTTCTGCCCTTTGTGACTAAACTCCTTGAAAAGGCCATGAACAATAAGTGCCTTCGTTTTCTCTCTTCTCACTCTTCTCTTTACCCCCTGCAGTCCAGTGTCTTCATCATTGCACCAGAAGCATTACCAGTATTCTCTTAATGACTAAGTCCAATGGCCTTATCTCAGTCCTCATTCTCCTCAACTTCTTTGCAGCTTTTGATACTGTTGATCTTCTCCTTCTTGATACTCTCTTCTTTCTGTCTTGAGACACCCCCTCACTTGGTTCTCTTCCTACCTATCTGACTGCTCCTTCTCAGTTTCCTTTGCTAGATCTTCATCAAGATGACACCCTCTAACCATAGGTGTCCCACAGGGTTCTGTCCTGGGTCCTCTTCTCTTCCCACTGTACATCAACTGCCATGGCTTTAATTACCATTCTCAAATCTACTTATCCTGCCCTAACCTTTCTGCTGACCAATCTCGCATTATCACCTGACTTTCAGAAATCTCAAACTGGATGTCTGGTAGACATCTTAAACTTAACATGTCCAAAACTAAACTCATTATCTTTTTCCCTAATTGCCTCCCCCTTTCTTTATTACTACAGAGGGTAATGCCATCTTCCCCATCCCTCAGGCTTGCAATCCAGGAGTTGTCCTGGAATCCTCACTCTCTTTCACACACACCTCCCCCCATATCCAATGTATTGCCAGAGCCTGTTGATTTCACATTTTCTAGATTTCTCAAATACACCCCTTTCTCGTTTCTGCCACTGCCACTACTCTGGTGTAGGCCTTCATCACCTCGTGCCTGAAGTATTGCAGTAGCCTGATACTGGGTCTTCCTGCCTCAAGTCTTTCCTCACTCCAATCCATTTTCCATTCAGCTGCTACCAGTCATGTCACCCTCTCTCCCCCTACTCAACTCCAGAGGCACTCTGTTGCCTCCATGTTCAAATACACAATGCCGTGTTTGCCATTTGAAGTCCATAACCAAGCCCCCTCCTACCTTTCCAGTCTTCTTATACCTTACTCCCCAACTCACATTCTACATTTCAGTGACACAGGCCTCCTAGCTGTTCCATGAACAAGACACTCTATCTCTTGGCTCCAGGCATTTTCTCTGGCAGTTCACCATGTCTATAATACTCTCCTTCCTCATCTCAGCCTACTACTGGGTTCCCTGGCTTCCTTTTAAGTCCCAACTAAAATCTCATCTTTTACAGGGAGCCTTATTTCTAGTTACCTTTTCCCTGTTGTTTCCTATTTTTCCTATATATAGCTTGTTCTGCTTGTTGTCTCCTCCATTAGATTGTGAACTCTTTGAGAGCAGGGACTGTCTTTTGCCTTTTTTTTTTTGTAGCCCCAACACTTAGCCAAGTGCTTGGCACATAGCAGGCTTAACAAACATTCATTGACTGACTAGTATCTTTTAAAAGCCAAAAAAAAAAAAGGAAAAATTAATGCATTGAAAAAGTCTGAAAACATGTGCAATGTATAATGCCTCTGGACCTCCCACCTCCATGAAGGGATAGGTTGGGGGTGTCTTTTCATACCTCTTCATCCAAGTTATGCTTAATATGTAGAATTTTGTCACACTCCCTTTTTATTTTTATGTGTGTGTGGTGATTCTTTCCATCTACATTTTTGTGGCCATCGTATATATTGTTTTCTTGACTCTGCTTATCTCATTCTGTATCAGTACGTGCAGATCTTGGCATATTTCTCTGTATTCATCACATTCATAATTTCTTACAGCAAAGTAATATTCCATTATATTGATGTACCACAATTTGTTTAGCCAATTCCCAATCAATGGGCATCTAATTTGTTTCCAATTCTTTGCTATAACAAAATGTGCTGCTATAAATATTATGGTGCATTTGTGAACTTTCTTGTATTGATGACTTTCTTGGCCCAGTAATGAAGTCTGTGGTTCAAAGGGTACAGATATTTTAGTCACTTTATTTGCGTGATACCACATTGCTTTCCAAAATGGATATAACCATTTCACAGTTCCACCAGTAATTTATTAGAGTTCCTATCATTCCACAACCCCTCTAACCTTGATTCTTGCCATTTTTTGTCATTTTTTTTTTTTACTATTTTGCAGGGTGTGAGGTGAAACCTCAGGGTTATTTTGATTTGCACTTCTCTTATTATTAGTGATTTACAGGTGAGGTATTTGTGAATGCTTTGCAGTTCCTCTTTTGGGATCTGTTCTTACCCTTTGACTATTTATTTACTAGGGAAGGGCTATTAGTTTTGTATGTATTTATTAATTGTTTATATATCTTAGACACCAAATCCTTAAGAGAGAAACTTGATATAAAGATTTTTTTCCCCATTCACCTTTCTTTTTTTCCCTTAAATCATTAATTTTGTCTGTGAAGTAGCTTTTCCATTTCATGTAATTAAAATCTATTTTATCTTTTGTAATTTCCTCTTTCTTGTTTTGTAATTTCCTCACTCTCATCTTACCTATAGCTGTGAGAGGTGTATGATCTACTTATCTTCTAATATTGTTATAGTATGATCTTAAATATTAAGGTTGCATGTCCATTTAGAATGTATTGTGGAATATAGTGTAAGGTGATAGTCTAAACCTAATTTCTCCCCAGCTGCTTTCCAGTTTTGCACTCAGTTTTAGTTAAATTAAGAAATTTTTCTCTAGGTAATTTGTGCTTTCCATTTTATTAAACACTGAGTTATCAAGTTCCATTGTTTCTGATTCTCCCATGTCTGCTCTGTTCCGTTGATCTATCTCTGTTCCATAAAACATCCTTTTGGTAATTTGATCAGTATTGCATTAAAAGTATAAATTAACTTTGGTAGTATTTTCATTGTTTTTCTTATTAGCACAGCCTAGCCACGAGCACTGATTATTCCTCTATTTATTTAAGTTGTTCTTTGTTTCTTTAAGGAGCATTGTGTAATTAAATCTATACAAATCTTTTGTATGCTTTCCTAGAACTATCCTCAGATAATTTTTGCATTTTGTAGTTATTTGGAATGGGATTTCCTTGTTATTGCTTCTTGAGATTTGTTATTATATAAACATGATATTGATTTTGTTTGTTGTAGAGGGATGGGGTCAAGAAAGATGGCTCAGGACAGGATGTATGACTTCACTGGTCTAGGGAATTCCCAAGTAAGGAAGTTTCTCTCTACCAATGTAGGTTGATGCCTTCTTTGTAACTTATAGACACGTTTAGAACACAGAAAGATTAAGTGATTTTATTAAGGTTCATAAGCCAGAGGTGAGACTTGAACCTAGGTCTTCCAGTCTTCAATGCCAGCTTCTACCTACTCTTGCCAGGCTGCCTCTCAAGGAAGATTTTGGATTTCTGGCATACCAGTTTGCCAGGGTTTGAGGAAGAAGTGAATGGTGAGCAAGTACCAGATATAGATGGCTTTTTCAAGAAATTTTATCATAAAGGAAGGAAAGAGAGGGGATCATAGCTGGATGAGGTTTAAGAGCCCGGGGAAGCCTCTTTTTTCATTGGTGAGATCCAGGCATATTTGTAAGCACTTGGGAAAGAATGAGTGGACAGCCAGAGACTGAAAATGCATGAGAGAAGGAGATGGTAGAAGAAGCAAGAGAGGATAGGATCAAGAGACTAGCTTTAGTGAGGAATAAAGACAGTAAAGATCACATAGGAGGGCCTTGAATATCATAGTGCCAGCTGTGTGCCCAGTGCTGTGCTGTACACTTTACAAATATATCATTTGATGCTCACAACAGTCCTGGAAGGTAGATCCTCATTTTACAGTTGTGGAAACTGAAGCAGACAAAGGTTAAGTGATTTGCCTAGGGCCACACAGCTGCTAAGTGTCTGAGGCTGGATTTGAACTCAAGTGTTTTGAGACTCTAGGCATGGTGCTCTATCAGTTGTGCCACCAGCTGCCTCAAAAACAGGAAATGATCCTACTATTAGGTGGTGCAGTGGATAGAGCACTGGTCTGACATCAGGAAGACTTGAGTTCCAATGTAGCCTCAGGTACTTACTAGCTGTGTGACCCTGGTTGAGTCTCTTCTTCTCAGTGTCCATTTTCTCATTTGTAAAATGGGGATAATCATAGCATCTCCTCACAGGATTGTTGTGGGGATAAAGTGAGATAATATTTGTGAAATGCTTAGCATAGTGCTTAATACACAGTAAGTGCTTAATAAATGCTTATTCCCTTCTCCTGAGCCAATCCATTTAGGTTGAAGTATGGAATGTGTGGAGGGAAAGAGTATGAGAAAGGTGGAAGGGTAGGATAGTACCAGTTTGTGGAAGCTCTACAATCCCAAAGAAAACTGTTTGAACTTTAATCAATAAGTAACCAATGAAGGTTTTTGAGCAGAAATGTGACCTGGTAATATTTATACATAAGGAAGATTCATCTGGCAGTGGTATGAGGATGGTTAAATAGTAGGAGAGAGCAGAAACAAGAGCACTTAGAATGAGGCTCTTGCAATAGTCCAATTCATTTATTAACCATTTATTAAGCTCCTACCATATGCCAACAGGCACTGTGCTAAATGACAAGGATGCAAAGCAAAAAGCAAAACTAGTCTTTTTCTTTAAGCAGAAATATCAGAGACAGAGGAAATGTTAAAGTACAAGTAGTAGTTACTTGTACTTTATGATTATTTTTCTAGATTTAGATTGCTGCCCCAAAAGGAACACAAAATTTCTAGCCTATTTGTCTACTTGCTTGACATGCATTCTTTCTTTTGTGTTTCTTAGGCCTTCTTGTCAAAAAGATGCTGGTCGATGCATCTAAGAAACCAGAACTTAATTCTGTAGTAAACAACACCCGGGGAATGATTTTTTATAGTGTACCTCACCATGGTTCCCATCTGGCCGAATATTCTGTTAATGTCAGATATCTGCTGTTTCCTTCTGTGGAGGTCAAAGAACTCAGCAAGGGTAATGCTTATTTTGTTACTTCTTGACAATAAGGATTTGATTACTTTGTCAGATTAACAAGTTATATCAGAGAAGTTAAGTTAACAGAGAAAATATTGTTTTCAATAAATGAGCAAAAATTGAATTTAAAGAATAACTCCTTCAGGTTATCTCATTTTATATATACTATATAGCTCCTAGCCTCCTGTGACTTTCTGGTAGTTTATTATTTGTTACCTTTTGCAAGTCAAAGAAAATAGCTATTAGAAAATTATCATAATGTAGCTTCACCTACGTTAAGGTCTTTTGTAGAATTATAGAGTGTAGTTTTTTGTTTGTTTTTTTGTTACAGTGCTCCTTATCTATGTATCTGTGCCTGTCTATTTAATTCCTGTTTACTTATATATGGATTATTGATTTAGTGGTTTATCCATGACAAAATCTTAGTTTTAGTAAGGTTTTTCTTGTCCTCAGCTAGGGTTTGTTCAAGGAATAACAATAATATCCTAAGCACAATTAGACAATTAGAAGGGAAAAACGAAAGTGATGTGTCTTAGCCACTTTTTTAGAGTACCTGTGTGTTAGAATTCTAAGAGTTTGAAGAATCACAAGTTCAGACATTTGTAAACTGGACTTTTTTTTCCCTTTAATATAAATTTATTTATTTTCAGTTTTCAACATTCACTTCCACAAGTTTTTGAGTTCCAAATTTTCACCCCATCTCACCCCTCCCCCCACCCCAAGATGGCATGCATTCTGAATATCCCCTCCCCTAGTCTGTTCTCTCTTCTATCTCTCCCCACTTCTCTTGTCCCCTTCCCCTTCTATTTTCCTGTAGGGCAGGATAGACTTCTGTACCCCATTTCCTGTATTTCTTATTTCCCAGTAGCATGTGAAAACATTTTTTTTAAACATATGTTTTTAAAACTTTAGGTTTCAAATTTTCTCTCTTCCTTCCTCCCCACCCACCCTCATTAAGAAGGCAAGCAACTCAATATAGGTTGTACATGTGCAGTTATGCAAAACACGTCCATAGTAGACATGTGAAAAACTGACTCTATTTCCCTTAATCCTATCCTGCCCTCCCATTTATTCTATTCTTTCTTTTGACCCTGTCCCTCCTCAGAAGTATTTACTTCTGATTACCCCTTTCCCAATCTGCCCTCCTCTCTATCACCCCTGCTCTCTTGTCCCCTTCTCCCCCTATTTTCCTGTAGGGTAAGACAGATTTCCATACCCAATTGAATGTGTATGTTATTCCCTCCTTAAGCCAAATCCTATGAGAATAAGATTCATCATTCCCTCTCACCTTCCCTGTTTCCCCTCCACTGTAAGAGACTTTTCTTTTCTGTTTTTTGTGAGATAATTTACCCCATTCTACCTCTCCCTTTCTTCTCCTAGTATAATCCTCTCTCATCCCTTAATTTTATTCTCCAGATATGACCCCTTAATCTTCAACTCACCCTGTGCCCTCTATCATCTATCTATCTATATACATATATACAATTTTTTCCTCAACTCCTAATACTGACAAAGGTCTCATGAGTTATAAATATCATCTTTCCATGCAGGAATGTAAACAGTTCAATCTTAATAAGTCTCTTATGATTTCTCTTTCCTGTTTACCTCTTCATGTTCCACTTGAGTCCTGTATTTGAAAGTCAAATTTTCTATTCAGCTCTGGTCTTTTCATCAAGAATGCTTGAAAGTCCTCTATTTCACTGAATGACCATTTTTTCCCCTGAAGGATTATACTCAGTTTTGCTGGGTAGGTGATTCTTGGTTGTAATCCTATCTCCTTTGCCCTCCGGAATATTATATTCCATGCCCTGTGGTCCTTTAATGTAGAAGCTGCTAAATCTTGTGTTACCTGATTGTGTTTCCACAGTACTTGAATTGTTTCCTTCTGGAAGCTTGTAAGATTTTCTCCTTGACCTGGGAACTCTGGAATTTGGCTATAATATTCCTAGGAGTTTTCCTTTGGGGATCTCTTTCAGGAGGAGATCTGTGGATTCTTTCAATTTCTATTTTGCCCTCTGGTTCTAATATATCAGGGCAGTTTTCCTTGATAATTTCTTGAAAGATGATGTCTAGGCTCTTTTTTTGATCATGGCTTTCAGATAGTCCAATAATTTTTAAATTCTCTCTCCTGGATCTATTTTCCAGGTCAGTTGTTTTTCCAATGAGATATTTCACATTGTTTTCTAATTTTTCATTCTTTTGGATTTGTTTTACAGTGTCTTGATTTCTCATAAAGTCACTAGCTTCCAATTGCTCTATTCTAATTTTTAAGGAAGTATTTTCTTCAGTAATCTTTTGGACTTCCTTTTCCATTTGGCCAATTTTTCTTTTTAGGGCATTTTTCTCCTCATTGGCTTTTTGGACCTTTTTTGCCATTTGGGTTAGGCTATTTTTTAAGGTGTTATTTTCTTCAGTATTTTTTTGGGTCTCCTTTAGCAAGCTGTTCACTTGTTTTTCGTGGTTTTCTTGCATCACTCATTTCTCTTCCCAGTTTTTCCTCTACTTCCCTTACTTGCTTCTCAAAATCCCTTTTGAGCTCTTCCAAGGCCTGGGACTGATTAGTATTTTTCTTTGAGGCTTTGGATGTAGGAGCTTTGACTTTGTTGTCTTCTTCTTCTTGTATATTTTGATCTTCTTTTTCACCAAAGTAAGATAATATAGTCTGACTCTTTTTGCGCTGCTTGCTCATGATCCTGGCCAATTACTTGAGTTTTAAACTCTTTGTTAAGGTAAGAGTCTGCTTCCAATGTGGAGAATGTACTGTCCTAAGCTTCGGGGGTTTGTACAACTGTTTTCAGAGATACTTGTAGGGACCTGTAAATTTTCAGTTCTTCCAAGGTGGTATGATAAGGGGCGAGGTTTCCTCCTTTCCTGGCCTGTGACCACAAGTATTTGTTTCTGTCCCGTAACTGTGAGAAGGGGTTCCTCTCCACAGTGACTACAAGCTCCATCACGCCAGTACTCCTCCTCACCCCAGCACCACCGCCCAGAACTGTGACCCAGATCCAAGCACGGGCAAAGCGAGAGATTCCTGCCTCAGCACTGGCAAAGAGATCCTTGCAATCCCTCCCCTGATGAGCCACTGGATTTCCCCTCAGTCTGTGGGCCGGAAGCTCGGGAAGCAGCTGCCCCCTTCATGGCTACACTCTTGGGGAATGGAGCTGAGATCCCGCCTTCCTGTCTCAGCACCGCAGAAACAGACTTTTCCCACTGACCTTTTAAGTTGTCTTTGGCATTCGTGGATTGAGGAGTTTGGAAACCGCCACAGCTGCCCACGATTCAGTCCTCTGAGGCCTGCTCCAGGTTCGCTGGGGCCTCCACACTCACACCGTGCTGGGCTTTCAGCCTGGCGCGATATACCTTTCTGATCAACTGTCCAGGTTGTGTTGGGCTGGAAATTTGTTTCACTCTTTCTTTTGTGGGTTCTGCTGCTTCAGAATTTGTCTAGAGCCATTTTTTATAGGTATTTGGAGTGGTTTGGGGAAGAGCTCAAGCAAGTCACTGCTTTCACTCTGCCATCTTGGCTCCGCCCCCTAAACTGGACTTTGACACTTTAAACATTCATTATAATATCAATATAATATCCAAAATATTATAATATCAGCAATATTTGTTATAATATTTTAGTGTTTACAACATTAGCTGGTAATTTTTTCAAGACTTCTACTGTGCACTTCAATTATGTGAGGTAATTTTCCTGATTGCCCCTCTTCCTTTTTCTCCTCTTCTCCCTTTCTGTTCTTCAAGATCATCAAAACATAACAGAACAATTCCCAGGCCCTCTTTGAGTTGAGGTGACACATTTGGCATCTCCCCATATTAGAACGAAAATGGTTCCTGGGAGGTTTCATTTGGGGGTTTCTTTCAGGAGATGACTGGTGGATTCTTTCTATTTTGTGGTCTGGTTCAAAGAGATCCGGGTAGTTTTGTATTTCTTGAACTATGAGGATTTCAAGTAGTCCAATGATTCCTAAATTATCTTTCCTTGAACTATTTTCTAGGTTTTTCTATCAGTCTTTTGACTTTGTTTTAATATTTCTTATCTAATAGAGTTCTATTTGGTTATCTTCTATTTGGTTCATTCTAATTTTAAGGTAGTATGTTACTTGGGTAACATTTTGTACCTCTTATTCCAAGTTATTAATTCTCTAAAATCTGGTTTCTTTTCAGTTTTTCCTCTGCCACTCTCATTTCATCTATAAAAACATTTTAAAGCTTTTTTGGAAAGAAAAAACTCTCATTGAACTGTGCCCAAACTGTGTCTTTTTCTGAAGTGGGACTTGTAGATATTTTGCAGTCATTCTTTTCTGGGTTTGTGTCTTGAGAGCTTCCGTGTCCCCATAGCTAGCTGTTTATACTGGAATTCCTTTTTTGTTTGCTCACTCTTCCAGCCTGCTTTTTTACTTTCTACTTTATATTAGGACTAGGCTATGTACCCTTTTGGAGGAAATGGGCTGAAATTGTGTCTTCTAGGTTCCTGCTGTTTCTTTCTTGGGTTATTGAGGGTTGTGTCATTTCAGGATCTCAGGGGCAGCTGAGTCTGAGGACCTGCAAGCTTTCAGTGTTCACATAGTAGTCTGATCCAGGACAAAGTATGATTGCTGGACCTTCCTTCCCTTCATCCCACTCTTCACCCCCTTGGTCTACGGACTCATGTACTATCTACCAACTAGAAAGCTCGACTGGTTAACTGACAAAACTGTGGTCTCCCCATTGATCTGGGACTCCCTGTTTTTTCACATCTCCCCAGCGCTTGTCATTTTACTTTTCAGTCATGTTAGCCAATAAGATAGGTGTGAGATTATACTTCAGAGTTGTTTTAATTTGCATTTCTCCAATCAATAGTGATTTAGAGCATTTTTTCCTATAACTATTGATAGCTTTGATTTCTTCTTCTGAAAACTGTCTGTTCATATACTTTGACCATTTATCAATTGGGGAATAGCTCTTTTTTTTAATAAATTTGACTCAGTACCCTATATATTTGAGAAATGATACCTTTGTCAGAGAAACTTAATGTAAAAATTCCCATTTTCCTACTTTTCTTCTAATTTTGACTACATTGGTTTTGTTTGTGTAAAAATTTTTTAATTTCATGTGATCAGAATTATCCCATTATACTTCCCATAATCTTCTCTGTCTCTTGTTTGGTCATAAACTCTTCCCTTATCCATAGATCTGACAGGTAAAATTTTCCATGGTACCCTAATTTGCTTATATCATTTTTTATGTTTAAATCATGTACTCATTTTGACCTTGTTTTGTCATACTGTGTGAGATGTTGGTCTACACTTAGTTTCTTCCAAACTATTTTCCAATTTTCCCAGCAGTTTTTATCAAACGGTGAGTTCCTACCCTAAAAGTTTGGATTTTGGGGTTTGTAAAACACTAAATTACTGTGGCCATTTACTATGTATTGTGTACCTGATCTATTCTGCTGATCCACCAATCTATTTCTTAGCCAGTACCAGATTGTTTTGATGATTATTACTTTGTAATATAGTTTGAGATCTTATCCTTAGGCTGCCTTCCTTCACATTTTTTTTCATTGATTCACTTGATATTCTTGATCTATGAAATAATTCTTTATTAGTTTAATTCGCATGGCACTGAATAAGTAAATAAGTGTAGGTTGAATTGTCATTTTTATCATATTGGCTCGACCTAACTATGAGCAGTTAATATTTCTCCAGTTGTTTAGATCTGTCTTTATTTGTATGAACCTCCATCTTGTAATTGTGGACATGTCATTCCTGGTTTTGTTTTGGCAGATAGACCCCCAAGTATTTTATATTGTCTGTTGTTATTTGAAATGTTATTTCTCTATCTCTTCCTGCTGGGTCTTGTTGGTAATTTACATAGAAATGTGACTTTTTGATTTAAAATAATAATAAATTTCAGATTGTTAAAGAGAATAAAACCTTTTAGAATAATATTTTATTTGCTTCAATACCCTTTTCTTATCTTTTTTGTCTTCTGTGTTTTTTAGATAATGGTACCTTTTTTAAAAGATTGGTGTAGTTTGTGTGTATGTCCTGTTTTCTGTGTTTTGTGTTACTTTATATAATTGGCTATTAATTTTCCAAGCATACATCAAATATATACTGCTGGTTAAATTTTAAAAGGTAAGTGGTCTTTTTTGTATATGAGATTAAGTAAGCATAATGGTCTGTTTTTATCTTGAATGTTCCTGCAGATTGTCCTGCACTTAAAGAACTTCATGATGACTTCCTGACATTTGCTAAGGACAAGAATTTCCAGGTGTTGAATTTTGTAGAAACACTGCCAACCTACATAGGCAGCATGATTAAGTTACATGTGGTGCCAGTGGAATCAGCAGGTGTGTGATCTTTTGAGTTACTGTTTATGTGCTAGGGATACAAAGTCCCAGCCTTTGAAGAGGTTCTATTCTATTGGGAAGACAACATGCATCTATATAAAAGAGATGGCTTCATGTAGAAGATGGGGCTACAGTTATCAAACCTGCATTTGGTGTCTATTTTTTAAAAAGGGTTATAAGGAAGATTCAAGAAAGAACTGTGCAAAGTTAAAAAAAATAGGGGTTAACACCATTTTTCTTGAACTTGAAATATAGAGACTAAAGTGGTGGATGTCAACATGATCTTTTCCGGTTGTCTGCTCCCGTATTTTTATTTCTTTCAGTTCTGTCACATTCCTTCTTCATCTTGTCAAGGTAGCACTTCTCCTTCCCTTTGTTTAATTCTTTTCTTATTTTCTGACCTCCCCAAACGAGGACTTGAAACAACCATCAAGAAGCTCTCCCTCCTAACCCAAGAAACATGCGGAAGGTTTTGTGTGTGCGGTGGAGGGGAGAATGAAGAGTGAGTCAAGTGAAAAAGTTTGAGAAAGCCTAGTTAAATTTTAAAGAAGCATTTAATTTAATCGGGGTCAGATGAAGACCTCAAAGATAGTGGCTTTAAGATACCACTAATTAATTAAGTTGCCAGAATTGCAGTATGAGGGATATTAAGGGAAAATAATTAATTTGTCTTGGGGAGGGAGGGGGAGAAAATTTAAAACTCAAAAGCTTATGGAAATGGATGTTGAAAACTAAAATAGTTTTTAAAAAAAATTAATTCATGGAGCCAGGATGGTATGGTAACATGAAGAAGTACAATGAGCTCCATCCATCTCCTTCCCCCACCCCAAATAAATCTTCCAAACCAAATTCTTTTTTTTAAGGTTTTTTTTTTTTTTTTAGGCAATTGGGGTTAAGTGACTTGCCCAGGGTCACACAGCTAGTAAGTGTCAAGTGTTTGGTCTGAGGCTGGATTTGAACTCAGGTCCTTCTGATTTCAGGGCCTGTGCTCTTTCCACTGCGCCACCTGGCTGCCCCAAACCAAATTCTTATGGGGAAATCTTAGAAAAAAAGTCACAGTGAGTCATTTGGCAAGTCCAGGTTGATGTAAGGAGAGAGAGGTATGTGAACACTGGGGACAGGAATATACCCTTTAGAGCGTGCCAATAAAAGGATGAGAAGGGTCTCAGATTCAGTATCTACAGCCTGGGTATGGGGCAGGGCCAAGTACAGTTCTGTCATTTTCTCTCCAGTTCCAAGTACCAATCCAGATCTGACATTTGGAAGCCTAGGACTCTTTCAGTATAGTATTCTTAAATTAGCCTCTTTCCTTAAAGTCTAAAGTATTTTCACTGTCTTGCTTTTCCTCAGATTTGGGCATTGGAGATCTAATTCCAGTAGCAGTGAATCATCTGAATATTTGCAAGCCAAAGAAGAAGGACACTTTCTTGTACCAACGTACATTACAGTTCATTCGCGAAACATTAGCTAAAGACCTTGAAAATTAATAGGTCTTGATTCTCGTTCTTGTCTGTCGTGTGGACATGATGCTGGGTATTTTTGGAGATCTGTGGAACTGAGAAGACCCAGTAGATAAGACACCAGGGCAGTCTAGACTACATTGAAGACAGCAGGAAGCTACTCAGAAATATATGAAAGGTAAAGCACACAAGCAGAGGTGGCAATAAAGACAAGTAGCTAGATTTTTCTTCCATTAAGGACATTTTCTGTGTATCAGTTTATAGTCCACACTTTAAGATGGTGGCATCTGAAAGAGAGCTGAAGTGTTCCTCATTTCTGATGTGACAGCCCTCTGACTCCCACCAGAAAAAGCATTAGTGGACCTCAAAGGGATTAAGTGCCATCATGCACTTCTTAACCAGAAAAATCTTCCACTTGGTGAATACTTGAAGTGGGGAGCAATTACCACTAAGGACCAAAATAGATTAGATTTTGATTTTATTCTAGGTTTCACAAGTGCAGCAGACTTTTAAAAATTAATAAACTTCACTCAGGCTGTCTGTATTTCAAAGCTGGTTTTTTCACATCTGAGTGACTGAACTGGCTTCACAGATACAAATTCATTGTATGCTTCTGTTGCTAGGATAAATAATTTTGTTGTGCATCACCTTAGGCTAACCTTTTAAATAATGTACTATTCTGCTATTAACTTATTCTCAGATAAGGAGTGAGGGTTGTTGATTTATCCAGTGTTTAAGTATCATAAACCTGTATTAAAAAAACCCCAAAACTGCACTTAAGTAACACTTAGAACTACTCAGTGATACTGTATGATACCTAGTTTGGATTCGGCAGACATTTCCTTTCACAAAATAGGAATTTTTTTTTAGAGTGGTGGAGGATGAATATATATGTAAGAAAACAAACAATGATTATTAGCCTACTCTTTGTAGACATTGGGCTATCTGAAGGTGGATTGAGAGGAATATGTTGCATCATGTAGCTGTGACAGATGGTTGAAAGTTCAACATATTTAAGTTACCCAGTTGTTTGGGAAAGAATGAAGACTAAAGCTCACAAAAGTAAACCTGTAGGTTTTTCTGGCCCATAGTTCTGTGACAATGGGATGTTTTTAGTATGGAACATTTCCTTTTTATCTTGTCAACTAATAACCCACAATTAAAAACAAATGGTTTTTAAAAGTACTTTTCATTAACTTGAAAGAATGGTATGCAACTGTTTCTGGAAATCTTAATGCAGTAGCTATTCCTCTTATTGAGAATAATGTTTGGGAAAGATGCCCAACTTTGCTTTGAACTTACCATAAGTTTGCAGGCAAATTATCTTACCTATATGGGGTAGTGTGTAGGCACACTGAATGTTGATGAAAATACTAATAATCTCATCAGATGCTATATAGCACTTTAAAATCTGCACTGTATTTTTAATGCCCTGTTTTATTTTGAGAATCACAATAGCTTTGTGAGATCAGTTTTATCTTGTGAAGATGAAATGACAATGAGTTTAGCTGCCATTGGCTTTTTAAAAAGGAGGTACATAAGTGGTGATGCAAAATAATAAAAATAATATAGATTTGAATCATTTTGGAAAACAGCCATTTTATTAATAGGTTGATTTCATTAATGGCTTGTTTTCAATGCATCTTCTAGAAAAGGATAATTTTGCCTTTTCTCCTCCAAAATAAATCACTCAGAGTTCCTGACCACATTTAAACATGATTGTTTAAATGATTCTGAGGATACCCATAATCATGATCATGTTTATGGACTGCTGGGCAGTTGCTAGGTACTATAGGTTCTGCTTTTTTAAAATAAGCTCTAATGAGACAGAAAGTTGCTATTTGTTATTATAAACCTTGATTCATCTCTCTTCCCTTAAAAACCACCAGGCACCTGCTTTATACTGCATATATATCTTGAGCAGAGGCAGAGCTTGAGTTTTTCTTCATCCTCAGGTATCCTAGCTGGGAATCAGACTGGAAAGTAGAATGTAAGAGTCCCCTTCTGTCTTGGACACCGAGCAGATCTGCAACTTTACAGTTACACCCAGAAGGAATGTTGATAAGTGTTTCTTTCTGCCACATGGAGTTAGACAGAATAACAGGTGCCAGCATTTCACGACTGGAAATTAGAGCACAATGCAACGATGTTTACAGTGTCTTCCCATTTGTGCTGTGTTCATACCTCACAGTGCCTCTGAAGTCCTTTTGTAATAACTGGAATTTGAGGCACAAACCCTAAAGTTTCATTTTTCTGTACTGTTGGTACATCAGTGTATACTTTTATTGTCATTTTGTGCCTGTGGGAAATGTTTAATAAAAATTTAAAAGTACCAAAAGAACTGATTGAGCTCTTGTTGGATCTTAAAGCAAAACAAGGATCTGCTAAATTGAAAGTGCCTAAAACTGTACTAGAAAATTGCTTTTTTAAAAAGGGTGGTATACTACTACAAAAATTATAAAAATAAGACTAAAAGCATTAAAAACCAGGCAGAATCTTCAGACTCAAGGATTGCCAAATGAGAATGGGCCACTTTCATAAAAATGTAAATGATGAACTATTTTAAGCACTGTCTTTCCACAACACAGTCAGTGGTGATTCTGAATTGGGGGGGGGAATACCAATAACCATAAATTTATTTATTCAGTATAATCAAAACTTCACTTCAGGAACTTTGTAATTGCTTCATAAGGCAGGTGAGTTAAACGGAAACACTGAGTCATAGAATGCACCCCTTTTAAATATGGCAATTTGATTTGAATAATCTTATTGGCTCCAAGCATAAAGTACTTTTGTCATAAATCAAAGTGAAAGGCAAACATGGTAGCATCAGAATGTTACTTAATCTGTTGATTAAAGTGGCAGCTAGGTGGCTCGGTGCATAGAGCACTGGGCTAGGAGTCAGAAAGACCTGAGTTCAAATCCAGCCTCAGACACTTACTAGCTGTGTGACCTTGGGCAAGTCACTTTGCCTCTGTTTGCCTTAATCCACCGGAGAAAGAAATGGCAAAGCACTCCAGTGTCTTTGCCAAGAAAATCCCAGTAGTGCTGTGCTTTGCTCCACGGGGTCGTGAAGAGTTGGACACGACTGGAACAACTTACAAAAGTATTTATTCTAGGCTACCCTTGTGTATTGTTCAAGAAGAATCAGCCATGAAGACGCTGGGGGGCTCCTGTTACTGAAATACAAGGGGCATTCACACATTCAGCCTGGGTGAACAGCATTAACTACCAGACAGACAGACACAGGACAGGAAAGTGAGCCTTTCCATTCCCCTCCTCTAGGCTGTAATGCACACTCAAACCATGTCTAGCCAACAACTTTATTTGGAAAGGATTTCCATTCTTGCTCTACTTAACCAGTAATTGCTAACTTAAGTTCTCCTGCTCTAGTGTCTGTGTAAGCTTGTCAAGGCAGTAGAAGTACTTGCTTCCTTTTCAGCTTTTTCTGAATAGGTTCTTGTCTCCTTTTATATTAAACTATTTGCCATATGGTTTGCAAATGGCTATGTTATCTGCTTGTTCAGGTTGGACTGGGACAGCCAAGGCTGACAACTGAAGATTTCCAAAGGTTCTTTTTCTGTCTGAAAATATGAATTATTCACCTGTTAGTTTTGTGGGTTTTTTTAAAAGAAACATTTAATAGACAATATTTACAACTTGAATACAAAAAAAAATCCACTTCAAACAAAACATCACAGATTTTCAACTGCTAAGTGGTTACAATTTACTCAGTAAATCATCTTCTTAATTCCTTTCTCAACACACGATGCATTATTATGGAGGAAATACTTTAATAAATTACCTGGGTTGGATGGATGTGCACGTCTGGCAGTGCTTTTATTAACAATGTTTCAGGAGCATCAACTATTCCAAAACCTTCACAGGAATAAATGGTCCTTATTTCAACTATATTTATGTGAGTCTTAGCAGAACAAAAAAAATAACATTGTACTGTGGAAAGACACACTGAATTTTGAGTCTGTAGACTTGGGTTTGAATCAAGGCTCTGCTCGTCCTTTGCCCCCGCAGTGAGACCTACCTTGGGAAAGTCAGTTCACCACTCTGCACTTCCATTTCTTCACATATAAAGGAGGTTTGACTATGTGGACTCTAGCTCTCTTTTAGCTCTAAATTGATCCTATGATGTATTTCAGAAGACAGCACCATAAACCAAGAGGCATCAGAGAATACAGACAGAGGCAAAGCTAAATTTTCATGGTACCTAAATAACTCTGTAGTAACCTGTAGCTTTTCACACTATCTGTATCACAAGTAGCAGACTAACAGTAATCAGGTTTCGTAGGACTATTTTAGTGGAAAAACTAAAAAGCAAAGTTGTAGAAGTAAATTCTCCATAGTGCAGCCTAGAATCAGGGGTTTTAAACTAGGCCCATGAATTTGGTAGAAAAAATTGTTACATCTTTATTTCAGTGTAATTGTTTTCCTTTGTAATCCTATGTAACATTATTCTAAGGTTTCACCAAACTACTGAAGGGCTCCATGACATACCAGAGACCAAGAACCTAGATTATCATTCAATTTCTGCTTCCAGTGCAGGGAAGACACCATTTATATATACATATACATAAACATATATATATATATGTGTGTGTGTGTGTATATACACACACATACATATCAACCAATTTATATATGAACCGCCAATTTTAAAAATGAAGCTGTAGAGTGGGATAACTTACCATTGTATATTCTATCAACTCACAATCTACTCTCTGCTAACACTTGCACAATTTCTATTTTCCTTTCATCTGTCAGTTCCATCTGCTATTCTTTATCTTAAAAAAAAATTTTTTCCCCTCTGTTTACAAGTAACTTAAGAAAAAAACCCCCAAACACATCCCATTCAACTTCTTCCAAACTTTAACTCCCTCAGCTTTTTCCTTCCCAGTTTTTCCTTAGCAGATTGCTGAGCTGAAAGATGATATACCCTTTTGGAAAGAACACTGAGCCAAGACTCAGAAGACTTGGATGCTGGCCAAGCCCTCATTTGTCCTGAGATGATTTAACTTTTCAGCCTCAATCTCCTAGCTGGTAACAAATGGAGATAATTTATATGTAGCCTGTCTGCTCCACAGCACAAAGTTGTAGCAAACACACATCAGAGTGCTTTCAACTTCCATATGGATATTATTTGATAAACTGGGGCTCCTAACATGTCCACTGCATCTAAAAACTGACTCAAGATAAAAGAGAGGTTGTCATTTTCAGGGAAGGGCTAATTTACTGGGTATTAAAGAGAGCCATTCTCAAAACTCAGAACCTGGCTGTGGTAAGAAGTAAAATGACATAGTTATGATCAGCCTAGTCCTAATCACCTTCACTACAGCCAAGTATTTGAGAAAGGGGGCAAAGGAAAGGGGAACTCCCTAAAAGAAAAATACAGGTAAAAGAGGACATTCTTGGCTATCCCTTGAATCCTGGCTCTGTAGATAACATAAAAGAATGATTAAATATTCAAGGCATCTCAAAGAACCAAAAGGCCAAAATTTTCTGCTTGAAAATAAATAGAATACTGTATTGTTTTATCCTCTTAACATACTACTTACCAGCTCTGGGTGTCCTGGAGCTAAAACATTCAGACTTTTGAGGACTGTAACATGATGCCATTGTTTGGTTTGAAGTTAACCTTCCCATAACTCCTTAAAGTGGTGTAACACCATGTTTATTCTTTAAAACTTAAAATGAATTAAAATGAAGAATTTTGGGAAACTCAGTAATGTTTGAGAACGAAGGTCACTAGCAACTGCTGTCATTCTAAACTGTGTCTTATTCCTGTATCATCTCTAAAGTAGGGTTTAACCTTACTTGTAAGTCATCTAGGCTGAGCCTGAGTAAACAAGTGGTGTTCATTTGTATCTCTGTACATGTGCTTAGGGTTCTCCTGCTATTTATCCCGAGTGGCCAATAGATTCCACATGAGGAAAATCTGATCAGCTCCAAGTGAAAAGCAAGTAACTCAGGCCTAACAATTAAAAAACAGAAACACTCCTACCACATTCAGTATTGTTTAGAGAGCCAGAAATCAATGTAATCTTGGAGCTGGAGGGAAAAAAGCTAGAACGAACACACACACACACACACACACACACACACACACACACACACACACACACACACACACACAAAAAGACACCTAAAAGAACAAAGAACTTTTGTCTTAGAGACTGTTTGATGATGGGGCATGTGGTACTGCCCCTCTAGAAAAGTCTGGGTAGAAAGCTCAGGAAAACATGGACTTTCAATTGTGCGCAATCACTAAACAAAGCTATTCATTTTGTGCTTATTCGTGTGTGGAATATATGAGAAAAAGATTAGTGAGGTTTTATGTGGTATACTAGATATGTAGTGTAAAGACAATTTAAAAACACATGCCAAGGATCTGCAGCAGTTTGACGAATATACATCACATAGGACATGGTACAAGTTTTGGTTTTTTTTAAAGTCAATTTGAGCTAGTGTTAAAACACTAGCTGTAGGCTCAATATAAATCTACACTCTTATGCATGTGGACAAGAATCTTAGGAACACAGGATCAACAGAATGCATATTTGGGCATTTGGTTCACTTTTGCTTACCTCTTCCAACACTGCCTTTGACATGTTTTCAACCACTTTGATCTCATGGCTTTTCAACAAATCAGTTGACTGAAGGCTGACAGTTTAGGCAAGGCCAGTTTAAAGGTACTGGTGAGCAATCTGGTACCATTATGTCAGCTAATTTATACAGAAAACATACAAGTATCTTGTGACTTGTAACATGCAGTTCAAATTCAAGGAGAGAAATCATAAGATGGGGCAAAATACCCATTAGATTTGCACTTTCCCTCTCCCTAAAAAAATACACGCAATGAAACATTTTTTTTAGGGGGTGGAGAAGTCAAGAGTGAGAAAAGAGGAAAATTCACAAAAAGAAACAGAACCCAACATGCCCAAACCTGCAACAAAGCATTTTCTCAGTGGCTAAGGTGGAGAAATGATAATTGATCCTACTGATTAAAGATAAACTATTTTCAGAAAACTGTATAAGACCAAATAAACACTTACATTTTCTCCAATGTACTGTTTAAACAGAAGAGGAAGAAGTCCCCATTTGACATAGAGGGAGTTTCTTATTGATGGGATTTACAATGAATGATATGTTGAGGGGGGAAGGGACACACAACTTTACAAGGCAGTGAGTATCTGTAAAGGTCTTTCTGTCATGTTTCTGCCAGTGGATCAAACAGCTGCAATGCTGTCCTCTTGTCTTCCTCATCACTGAATATGACCCAGTGTCCAAAGTCTTTGTGTCCGTGGGCTGGCGAAGGTCCCACCTTAGCAGCCGGAACACTCACTTGTGCTGGGCTGGGGGATTCCCTTTCCAGATTTGGGGTGACTGCACCCAAAGGCTCAGCACTCTTAGTAAGCCAGCCAGTGTTCAATATCTTTGGGTGGTGGAGGAGGCTCAGGAAGGGGTCCTGATGCTCACCGAGAAGGGTGGCTGCCTCTGTCTTCACTGCCTTTGTATTGTCGGCAAGTAGGCTGGGCCCAGGTGAAGTGCTGAGAAGGTCTGCTTGTGAAGCAAGCGGGCTCGAGTCAGGCTGGTCGCCGGCCTGGGAGTGAGAGTAATGGTGGTGGTTGTTCCCGCTACAGCAAGTCACATCCTGGAGGAGCAAATTGTTACCCTGCAGAACCTGCAGGTGAAAAGCTGCTGGGGCCGACTTCTTTCTCCTGGGGGGAGCCTTGGGAACAAGGGAAGCAGTTTCCAAAGGTGGGGGCACCAGGGCATCTCCTTCGGCAGGCACTTCCCCGCTCAGTCTTCTCTCGACAGCTCTCCCAGGCTGCAATGTTCTTGGTTTGGGGACAGGAGCAACTCGGGGGGGCGCCACTAGAGTGGTGCTTTCAATGCTAGGCTCTGGGGACCCAATTGTAAACTGGATGACTTGTTGCTCAAACTGTTCTTCTGGGGATAAAGACTGAGAAAAACACAATGGAGATTAGTAAGCAAATATGTAAATCAAACTTAGCAATTCAGAGTCACAGGACACTTGCAGGGAGAAAAGAACAGAGGTGGGAACTAACATTCTAACATCAAAATGTTGAGAATGACTGGCATGCCGGAAACGGGGATGGGAATGAGCCAAACAAGAAAGAATTGGGCGGGGAAACAAAAGTGGCAGCTACCTAGGAGGAAGGGCAGGTTCAGTTCATCCAGCAGGAATAGAAATGATGAAACCAAAGGTCATGCTGAATGGACGGGGGCAAACTTTTCCAGTGTGCCACACTAGGGAATCACAGACTTGTTGCTAAAAATAAATATTTCTGCAACCATTCCTCTTTTTTGGTGGATATTTTCTCTTTACTCTGCACAACATTAAGATTCTATTATTGGTTTAATATTACAGCTGAGTAGGATGGCACTAAGCAGGTTGAAGGATTTTACTCATCTCATTGATGTCACAGCTATTTGAGTCATGCATGTGTTTTAAAAAAGATCATGAATATATAAACTTTACATGTCAATTTTACCTCCTGGCTTATGCTTCAAAATAATCACACACACATTATACAGGCTATTTGTGCTAAACAAGTCATTCTTTCCACTGTGAATGCCTCTGTCACACAGTCGAGTTGGCATTTCCTTTGGACCCTTAGTAGAAAAAAACTCACAACTTTTCTGAGAGTATTTTATTGCAACTCCCATGTGGCAGCCTGGATATGTGGACACAATGCTGAATTTTTTTTTAAAAAGAAGAGAATACAGACATCTCAGGAAGAGGATGAGCAAGAAAGAAGGACAAAAGAACAGATGATGAGCAAAAGCACAGCACAACTAGTGACCAAGGAAGGAGGTGGCAAGCTGAAGTATATGGCACCAAAATCACTTCTACTCTCTACAAAGGTGAAGAGATGGCAGAGGGTGATGGATGGATTCCAATGATGGCTAGGCCGGTGTTTACCAAATGTCTGGTTAACTAGCACATTCTGAGATCAAACAGGGGATCCGGATGACTCTATGGGTGCAAGTCTTTGTGCTGCTACTGTCCTTACAAATTCATTTCTCTGAAGCAGCAAGCAAGGTGGAGAAGCTCGGGAGTGAGAGCAAAAGACAATCTGCAAGAGAAGTGGCAGTAAGAGCTGTCTGACCAGTATCCCCAAACCACAGCCCAGAGCTTGCCCGGGAACATTCCTATCCATGATAAATCATTTTGCAATCAAGAAATGAAATTTGTGCACGTCAACACTCAGGCATGTGCATGCTGAGAATACAGGAAACTGAGGAACTCAGGACTGTCCACAACTTCCTTCGTTTTGAGGCGCTTGAGGACCCTTATAAAACTCATCTCATTATAGCTGTGGATTATTGGAAGAGAGTACACTATATGTTTTTTGAGTTGGTTTTTTTTTTTGACTCATCTAGAGAAAGATGGGGCATGGAGGGAGTCACCCAGGATAGAAATGACAATATTGTGAAAACTTTTCCCTGGAGGTCTGCTTATGTCTTGGATTCCTGAATTGGATAATGGAGGAAGACTCAAATTCAACTGGTTTGTGATGAAAAAATATATCCCTAACCAAATAAATAAATCCACCTTCCCCCATTTCTACCCTCTAACAACCTAAGGGAAGGAATAACAAGTTTCTTTTGTCAGCATCTTACTTTTCCTGTCCTTCGAAGAGCTGGCTTCTTAATCACCGGAACTCTGGGTGCGGGTCGGTGGGGGAGGAGCTGAGTTGTCTGAGAAGACTCTGGCTTGGATACATTAGATAAGGGCTCTGGTTTGGTGGACACTTGGTTCCTTAAGAAAACTCCATTCAGTGCCTCTTCTTGTGCTCCTGAAACAAAACAACAGCATGTTTGAACAAATGAAGGTCTCTCTCCTGAGCAGTCAGGGACAGGAGATTCAGCCAGATCCATTTCCAACCTGGGCCATGTGGCCCCTCCTCAAGCAGCATGGTGGTTCCCAACTCCCTGAGGCTCACCATCCTAGTCGAAGATTTAGTATAGACACGTGATCAGCTCGGCCCACTACAACTCAGTACTTTGGGTTTTTTATTTTTTTTTTTAAAAATTATTTTTTATTTTTTTATTTTTTCCATATGCTTTTGAGTTGAAAATTTTTCTCCCTTTTCCTCCCCGCCACCCTCCCCAAGACAGCTCACAATCTGATATAGGCTTTACATTTACATACCCATTAAACATATTTTCACATTAGTGAAGCTGTAAGTAAAAATTAAAACCAATAGGAGGAACTATCAGAAAGAGGAAACAAAACTCAACAGAAGGTAAAAATAAGTGATAGCAATTTGACTTCCATAGTTTTCTTTGGATGTGGACAGCATTTTCCATCCTGAGGCCTCTGGAGATGTCTTAGATCCTCGTAATGCTGAGAAGGGTTCAGTTTAACAATCTTAGTCATTGTATAATGTGGCTGTTATTGTGTACAAAGTCCTCTTGGTTCTGCTCACTTCACTCAGCATCAGACCATATAAGTCTTTCCAGGTTTTTCTGAAGTCAGCCTGTTCATCATTTCTTATAGCACAATAGTATTCCATTACATTCATATACCACAGCTTGCTCAGCCATTCCCCAATTGATGGGCATCCTCTCAATTTCCAATTCTTTGCCACCACAAAAAGAGCTGCGATGAATATTTTTGTACATGTGGGTCCTTTTCCCATTTGTTTGATCTCTTTGGGATATAGCCCTAGAAGTGCTGTTGCTGGATCAAAGGGTATGCACATTTTTGTAGCCCTTTGGGCATAGTTCCAAATTGTTCTCCAAAATGGTTGGATCATTTCACAACTCCACCAACAATGTATTAGCGTTCCAATTTTCCCACATCCTCTCCAACACTTATCATTTTCCTGTTTTGTCATGTTGGCCAATCTGATAGGTGTGATGTGGTACCTCAGAGTACAACTCAGTACTTTGGAGATCCAGTAGCATAACCCTCACTGCTAGAAAGGATTCTAAGCATTTGCTCTTGGCCTAAAGCTTGGCCTCAGCTGTTTACACCAATCTCCTAGAACAGAGGCAGATATGAAGGTACTAGGAAAGATTTCTATCTCCTGTGAATGGAATTACTTCCACACAACATCAACTTTTAAAAGGGTTTTTCTTGTTGTTTTACAACAAAACATTTCTTTGTGGATTTTGTACATCTAGATGGTAAAAGTAAACTGAACGCACAAGGAAGAATGAAATCAGAGACACCAGTGTAAAATGTAACCATTTCAGTCTGAGAATAACAAAATACAATTAATGGGAAAAAGTGATGGTGAAACTCCAGGTGGGATTATAGACCTAGGAAAAGACTGATGAGAGTCTGTGTTGTCCAGTTATTCTCGGGGTGACCCAAAAGAGCAGCTTTATGTCTTAAACGTCAAATGGAACCACCAGTACCTGATGACTACAGAACTAGCAGAATGAATTAACTGCCTTGCATCACCAACTATTCTTAAATTCATTTTTGTTTATTTGAAGCTCTCCCTCCCATACTGCTATTATGAAGGCTTCATGCTATATACTAGGATTTTTGAGTGCTGTATATTCTTTTCAAGAGAGAAAGAGACCAGAAAATGGTCAAATCACAAACTCAGTAGCACCAAAAGTGGAATCTCTTGAGTGGAATTTTAGAGAAGACCAAGGACATTAGGGAATACTTAATTTCATATCCGAAAGGGAAATGCAATTTTCTCAGACCATACAGTTTTTGGTTGGAGGGAGAAAAAGGAAACTGAAGCCTTGTGGCTGGCTGAAGATTTAAAAACTTAGTGGGCTACTCAACTCACCTCCTTTTGCTTCCATGAGGCACCGAATGGCTTCCTCGGCTTCCTGAGCATTGGTGGTTTTGATCTGTTTGACATTATATGGTTTACTTATCCCAGTCCTGGCTTTAGGCTTCCGGATAAACAGAAAAGAAAAAGGAGATAAGTAATCCTTGCATATAAAATCTCCACAGCAGAACACAATGAGTGCTGCCTATTAAACCTGAACAGATTCAGTTACCATATACAGCATAAAAGGTTATCCCAAGTCCTTATTGATGATTCTTTCAAGAAAAAAAAAGATTTCCTTATACATAAATCTGAACATGTTATACCTCTGCTTAAAATCTTTCCCCTTCAGTAGCTCCTCGACTGCCTGTAGAATAAAGCTGGAATGTCTTAGCCTGACACTCAGGCCCTTCCACAAGTTGGTGCCCCCTTTCCTTGTCTCACACTATTCTCCATGTACATTATACAGCATCCAAACTGGCCTACTCATCATCCTCCATGCACACCCCACGCTTTGCAACGCTGAGATTGTTGCCAGGATTGCCCCTGCCCACTTCTTCCCGCCTACTGAAATCCTACTCAGCTGAAAACCAAATTCAAATGCAACCTCCATGAAGCATTCCAACATAGCACTACCAATAATTGCCTTTCTCTACCTTGTAACTGTTTTTTTTGCATTTAGCACATATTATTAGTCATCTGTATATGTATGCTATCTCTCTCACCCCCCCCACTTGACTTTATAAATTCTATATGGACATAGGTATGTGTTATCTGATCTTTATGTCTTCTCCAGCCCCTAGATAGGATGGTGCTCTACACACAGTGGGCATTTAATGTTTGTTGAATGAATATAAAAGAAAACATTTGCCAGATTTCTAGATTTTGCTGTTGTTGGGCTCTGCTCTAAAATGCTAGGCATCCATGAATAAGACAAATGAAGGGGTAACAGCTAGAGCTGATGCCAAATCACTCCAAAATTGAGTGAATGTGGGGTTTTGAAGCAATCAGCCCTCCATTTTTATGTCAATTAGTAGAAGAGAAGCAGCAATGGGTTTGCAAAAACTACAAAGTGATTATACACATGGCAGCCTTGAATTAACTTAGCATTCTAGGGTATATTTTTCTCTTTAGAAGCAAACAAGAAACAACTTTTTAAACTCTGGAATGGGTTGGGTTTGGGGTTTTGGTTTTTTTTTTTTTTTGGAAGAGGTAGGGGAGAAAATACGTCTTTGCTTTTAAAATCTGACATAGTACCTTGCATCAAGGAGGTATCTAACATGTTTATCGAATTGAAAAGATAAGAATTTTAAACTTTCATTAACTAAAGATAATCTCATCTCAGCCCAGGAGTGGGAAACAAGGTATAAAGAACCTTGGGAACTGGAATTTTACCATATTGGACCGAGAAAAAGGAAGAACTCACTGGCTGCTGAGGAGCTCCTGGAAGAAGCTTAGCTGTCTGTAAGATGGAATATTGCCCATGAGTGCCACAGGAAATAGATGCATCGGAAGCAGACTTTTTCACCATTAAACCAGCTGCAAGAAAAAAAAAAAGGCACAACCTCAAACCTCGGTCAATGTCCCAGTGGCTGATGAAAGATCCAATGAGCCATCAAGAGAAGTTCCTAACAAGGGTGATGCCTAGAAAACTAGAAACAAGATATTTTGGGGTAATACTACTTATTTGGCACTTAAAAAGCATTCAGAGATATCGAATGTATCCCAGTCACTTGACAGTGATGTCCCCCTTTTCATTCAGTCATAGATTACTATAATTCAGCTAGAATGGGTACTAACTACCTACTGGAAAGTTTAACTTCTTAATGTATGGTTTGAATTTTTTTAAAACAGAAGTATGTTGGTTTGGGTGACTTTTATATTATCATTTTGAATTTGTTGAATTGATTTTGAATTTAAATTGAGAACTTCATTTTTTTTAAAGTCTTGTGCTCAGTTTCTTTTTGCAACTGAGATTGCTTTGGGGTAAACTAAGGCCAGTGGGAACCCAATAATGAAGTCAGAGGATATGAAAGTCTATGTCTTATTTTTTAAAAAGGACACAGACCAAAGTGACACTGTCTCCCTCAAAAAAATCAGAAGAGGAGAAACATAAGACAGAAAAAGGCAAGGCAAAATTGTATTTTCAGAAAGCAAAAAGTAGTATTATGGGCAAAGGAGTCATTTTAGAAAGCCAAAGAAGAACACTAGAACCATATCAAGTGACATGTTTTTCTAGTCTTAACTAGAGGATATTAGCAGCCACTTCTCTACTAGAATACTATTGTTGGAGGACAATGACAATAGCTGAATTATAGGCTGTCTTGTCACAAGTGTGAGCGTACAGTACTACTTGTGTAAATGACATAGGACCATACATGATGAATTGGGCGGTGTGTTAGAGGTTGTCTAATCCACTCCCTTCCTTTAACAGATGAGGAAACTGAAGCTTGGAGACTGCCCATGTGACACAAATAGTACCAGGGCCCGGATTACCTGACCTATTTTACAATGTGACACTACTAAATATGGAACTCTCCGAGTGATTTCCTTCTTTACCAGGACTACACAGTTTTAACAAAGTGAAGAGAGGACTAGGTGTGCAGCGAGCAAGTCTGACCTTCTTTGATGAGATGGGTGGGGAAAGATAATGAATTAGTTGGAACTTTAAGCAGAAGGAAATTCTCTGCTGGTTGTGATTCCTGCTTAAAAGCGAAAAAGGTTAGAATGAATAACAGTTCTGAAAAATCAATCCCTTCAAGTTCCTCCTGGAAATGCCTTGTGCTATCCCAGAGGTAGCTAAAGTGGCATTGGCTTCAACAGCAATACTCTTTAGTAGTTTCAGAATAGGGGTGGAGAAGGTGGCACAGTGGATAGAGCACTGGCCCTGAAGTCAGGAGGACCTGAGTTCAAATCTGGTCTCAGACCAAACACTTGACACTTACTAGCTGTGTGACCCTGGGCAAGTCACTTAACCCCAACTGCCCAAAAAAACCCAAAACCAAAAAACAAAACAGAATAGAGGTGGAGAAGGAAAATAAGCCAACTGATTGTGCAAAAACACATAGTTTGAAAGATACCTGGATTCAGTGGGGTTTTTTTTCAGTGATAGCATGGAGGCAAGTATTCCCAGCAGGCATTGTGGCAAACTAAAAACAAGTGAAGTCTTACTTGGAGGGGGGGGTCTCTGTGGTGGGTGAGGTGGCCGAGGCCTGTTAGGAACAGACAGAGACCTGCTTGGAGAACGATGGCGGAAGTCCCCAACAGCTTCCAGCTCCTGCTTTAACTCTGCCAGGTCGGCATCATCTGGAGGACACGGCGGAATACGAAGAAGACGGGTATTCAAAAACGCAAGAAGGTCAAAAGGGTCAAAATGGCAGCTCCTTTTACAAGCGGGGTGATGGAGGTTGGAGAAAAGGGAGAGTGAGGTCGTTTGGAGAAAAGGCTTAATCTGACATAGAGAAAGCCAGCTAGTGACTGTACCTATCCTTTTCCCCATTTGGGGCGAGAGGGGACAGAGAAGGGAAGGAGGGAGGAAGGGAGGGAAGGTGGCATGGAGATGAGTAGCAATGCCTGCTTGGAACATTCAGTGAACCAAGGATGAAGTTAGTTTGGCACATACACCAGAGAGTCAAGAGTTTTAGAAAGGCAGCTGTTGCAGTTTGGAAGGAACAGTAGTTCACCACAAAGAAGAGTGTTGCAAAAACTGCTGAAAACCAGGCCTCACCCCCAGAATGGTCATTTTCAAGAGGCTAAAGAAATTCTCAGTCATTTGCCAGTGGAAATGTTGAATGCTCCTGCTCTCTCTGTTGGGTCTAAGCCAGTAACTTACAGTTTTCATCAGGGCTTGGTATGTGGAATTTAGACACTTGACTGAGCTAAGACAATATGGGAGAGATACCCCTTCTGCCTCATTACATAGGACATAAAATCCAAAATAAATTTAAGCTCCTTTCCTCCACACAGGGAAGGAACAAGAACTTACATGGTACCTACTACTATGTGCCAGGCATTGTACCAATATCTCATTTAATCCTCACAACAACTTTGGGAAGGAGTTGTTATTATTCCCATTTTACAACTGAGGAAACTGAGGCAGGCAGAGGTTAAGTGACTTGCCTAGGATCACAGAGCTATTAAGTCTGAGGCTGGATTTGAACTCAGGGCTTCCTCACTCCAGGACCAATGCTCTAACCACTGTGCAACCTAACTGCCTCTCATATTGCGAGGCTCTTGAACAGGACAGCTTAATTTTGAACTCTATGTACCTCATACCAAAGCTGGAGAAAGAAGCTCAATTTCTTTATCTAGAGGAGCGCTGTAATTAGATACACAAAAGTCCCTATTTTCCCATTAAACAGTAAACACTCAGCAGCATCAAGGTAATAGTATAGACAGTTTCACCAGATGGCAGCCTACCTAACAGGATCAAGATCTCAACAGCCCCCTCCACCTGAATACTGTTCTGCATCTGACAGAGAAACATTCCAAAAAAAACCCCAAAAACCGATGTGCTCTTGGATAAATAATGTTACATTGAGAAAAAATGTAATTACATGTTTCCAGTAATGTCTGTATCTCCAGTTAAGGGTGCAAAAGTCCTGCTGAATGGAAAATGGGCAGAATTCCCTACAAGTTTATGAAATCTGAAAGAGTCCACAAGGACCCCCTGCTGCTCCTCTGGGGAGGTGCGAACATCTCTTTACACCTACTGCAGAAACTTCCCTTAAGAAGTAATAGAATGGGGCAGCTAGGTGGTGCAGTGGATAGAGCACCAGCCCTGGACTCAGGAGGACCTGAGCTCAAATCCAGTCTCAGACACATGACACTTATTAGCTGTGTGCCCACTTAGCCCCATTGCCTAGCCAAAAAAAAAAAAAAAGAAGTAACATCACCTTGACTATGCCTCTGTGGACAGTTTTCAGCACCTCCCACAAAGGAATTCTGATACACAATGACCATTACAATAACTAAACATATATACTCATCCTTTAGGGCTCACCACTGTCAATGCTCTTATTACTGTGACAGCTAATGCTGTTCATGAAATTATTTCAAATAGTCTGAACGCTAAAACCTGAACTTTATGAAATTATCTGATTCCTCTCTACTCCAAATGTGGACATGCACACTCAAGATTATACATAAACAATATATACATATGAGGACAGCATAACAGCATTTATCTACTATGATTTCGACATTATGTATTAAGTGGGAAACGGTTTGGGAAGAGTTATTTTGGCATAGGTACTCTCTGAAATTAGGAGATGCCTGCCCGAGATAGGGAAACTATAACCCAAGACCAGACCAAAGGTGCAAGCTACCTTTGTACGGGCAAGATTTCTTTTTAGTCAGTGCTGGAGACTTGCTGGGAGGTGCGCCTGCCGGGGCAGAGCCTGGGGCTTCCAAATCGTCACCCGCCGACAGTTCTGTGTCAGTGAGGAAGGTGGGGTGTTGTTCATCAATCAAATAGTCCTCGTCCTCATCAAGAATGTCTCCTGCAAAGAGAAAACAAAGCAGTCTCTAAGATGAAAGAAGCTCATTACCCTCTTTGCTCTAGAGCTCATTTCAACATTAAGGCAGGTTTTCTAGGTGCGTGCAGTTTGAGGAAACCTCCAGAACACACACCGCATTTGAAACGGGTACAATATTGACTGCTGTGACCATCGAATTCTCAGACATCCTTCCTACAGCTCCAAACAAGAGGATCTCAACATGGCTTTTGGAATCCTCCAACGCGGGTCCATGCATGTGACCCAGTTCCTACACATGGACAGTGACCGTGTCTATCACTAAGGAATTAAGAATGACACCCCCAAGAGAGAACTTTTCAAAAAAACTCTTTACTTCTCGACTCTATTCTAACTTCGAATTCTAAAGTTGGGATTGTTTACTTTTCCTTTTCCACCCCTACCTAAGAGGAGGCTCACAGGATAGCTGCTAACCTTCTGATTCATAGTCCAAACTGGAGAAGTCAAAGTTTTCTTCTAACAGACAGGAATTGGCAGTGGGGGACATGGATACAATGCTATCCCGTTTTCGTACGATTTCTTCTTGAAGACCTTTTAGCCAATCCTTTGTTTTCGGTCTGATCTTCACTGCTCTGCCTTTAACCTGAAAAATCGGGAGATTTTAAACATGTTCCTTTCACAGAAAGCAGGAAGAGAATAACAATTTATTAAGTGCCTACTCTGTGTCAGGCACTGTGCTAAGTGCTTTGCAAATATCTCCTTTTTATCCTTACAACAACCCTAAATGAAAACTGTTTAAATTAGCCCATTTTCTAGCTGAGGAAACTGGGACAGATAGAGGTTAAGTAATTTTATCACAAATGTATCATACTAAATCAGGGTTCTTTTTGATTATTTATGTAGTATTTTATTTTTCCCCAATTACACATAGAAACAATTTTTAACTTTTTAAAAAAATTTTGAGTTCCAAATTCTCTCTTTCCATTCCTCCTGAGATAGTAAGCAATCTGATATGTTATACATGTGCAATCATGTTAAACATTTCCATATTTGTTATTTTGTGGAAGAAAACCTGAGCCAAAAGAAAGAAAGTGAAAAATAGTATGAATCAGTCTGTATTCAGACTCCATCAGTTCTTTCTTTGGAGGCAGATAGCATTTTTCATCATGAGTCCTTTGGCATTGTGAACAGCTAAGTCATTCACAATTGATCACTGTACAATTTTGCAGTTACTATGTACAATGTTTTCCTTGTTCGACTCACTTCACTCTGCATCAGTTCATGCAAGTCTTTCCAGGTTTTTCTAAAATCATCCTGTAGAGCAAGGATTCTTTTTTTCTAAAATTAATTTATTTTGAATTATCAACAATCACTTCCATAAGCTTTTGAGTTTTAAATTTTTCTCCCCCTCCCTCCCCAAGAAGGCACGCAATGTGATATAGGCTATGTATATACATTCCTATTAAACCTATTTTCACATTAGTGATGTTGTAAGTAAGAATTAGAACCAATAGCAGGAACCACCAGAAAGAGGAAACAAAAAAAAACAGAAGAAAAAAATAGTAAATAGTATGTTTCGATCTGCATTCAAACTCCATAGTTCTTTCTTATTTGTGGATAGCATTTTCCATCATGAGGCCTTTGGAGATGTCTTAGATCCTTGTATTGCTGAGAAGGGTTACCGTGTACAAGGTCAGAGCAAGGATTCTTAACCTTTCTTGTGTCGTGGACTCTTTTGGTCATCTGGTGAAACCTATATACTCCTTTTCAGAACAATTTCTTAACTGCATAAAGCGCGTAGATAATGTTAAAAAACTGTCATTTAAGAAAACACCAAGGGGCAGCTAGGTGGCGCAGCGGATAGAGCACCGGCCCTGAAGTCAGGAGGACCTGAGTTCAAATCCAGCCTCAGACCAAACACTTGATACTTACTAGCTATGTGACCCTGGGGCAAGTCACTTAACCCCAATTGCCAAAAAAATAAACAAATAAATAAATAGAAATAAAAACCAAGTTTACAGATCCCAGGGTTAGGAACCCTGATTTACACTATTGTTTGGAGAAATGCAGATTAAAACAATTTCTGAGGTACCACTTCACACCTATCAGATTGACTAACAAGGCAGAAAAGAAAAATAACAAATGTTGGAGGGGATATGGGAAAATTGGAACAGTAATGCACTGTTAGTGGAGTTGTGAACTGATTCAACCATTCTGTAGACCACTCTGGAACTATGCACAAAGGGATATAAAACCATGCATACTCTTTGACCTAGCAATACCACTATCAGGTCTGTATCCCAAAGAGATCAAAACAAAAACGAAAAGGACCTACACATACAAAAATATTTATAGCAGCTCTTTTCTGGTGGCAAAGAGTTGAAAATTGAGGGAATTCCCATCATTTGGGGAATGGCTAAACAAGTTGTGGTATATGACTATAATGCAATACTATTGTGCTATAAGAAATGATGAGTAAGATGCTCTCAGAAAAATCTGGAACAACTTAATACCAACTGATACAAAGTGAAATGAGCAGAACCAGAACACTGTACACAGTAACAGCAATACTGTAGGATAATCAACTATGAATGACGTAGCAATTCTCAGAAACATAATGATACAAGATAACTCTGAAGGACTTATGATGAAAAATGTTTTCCATCCCCAGAGAAAGAACTGATGGAATCTGCATATAGATCTTAGCATACTTTTTTTTTTTACTTTCCCTATTTTTCTTGGGATTTTTTTTGGGGGGAGGGGGTCTATGTTTTCCTTCATATGACTAATATGGAAGTATGTTTTGCATGACTACTGCTCTGGGCCACTAGGGGGCACAATGGCTAAAGTGCCAGGCAGGCCTAGAGTCAGAAAGACTTTTCTTCCCGAGTTCAAATCTATCCTCAGACATTTACCAGCTGCATGACCCTAGGCAAGTCACTACACCCTGTTTGCCTCAGTTTCCTCATCTGTCAAATGAGCTAGAGAAGGAAATGGCAAACCACTCTAGTATCTTTGCCAAGAAAACCCCAAATGGGGTCATGAAGAGTAAGACACGATTGAGAACGACTGAACAAGAGACTGCTATTAGGAACTCGCATTCCCCATGTCAGATTTGGTTAGTTTATGAATCCTGCCCTGAATCAGCATCACCTCTTGTTTTCCCTCTTGGGTCAAGAATTAACCACCTCAAGCCTCAGTTTGCTCTCCTGTTAAGATGGCAGCAACAAATGAGGAGACTAGACTAGATGCTTTCTCTCCCATCCCTGCATCTACGATCCCCCGACCTCAAAGAATTTTTTGTGACAACCAAATGAGATAATGTACGTACAGTGCGTGGCAGACCTTGCGGTACAATATGAATGCATGTTACTGCTGCTGTTGCCTGTCACTCCTGATCCACTAGTTGTCAAGCACATGAAAGGGGAGTTCTTTACTTCACCCCTACACAACCTCACCAGCTCACAGGATAATTCAGAACTCTTATCTCAAAGGTCAGCAGTGTCTTTCTCATAGCCAAATGCCTGTTTCTCCATCTCAGCCATCTTTGTCTTCTTCAACCCATGACATCACTGACCACTTCCTTCTTCTGGCTTCTTTTTTCATTTCAGAGAAACCAAACTCCTGGATCCTCCCCAATATCTCTATCTAACCACTCCTCTGTCTCCACCACCTGCCTCTCTTCCCCTCCACACATGTGGACTTAAATGAGTACACAAGATTTCGATCTCTGTCCTGTTTTCTTCTTCCCACTACACTCTCTCCTTTCATAATCTCGTTTATTACCGTATCTGGGAGCAGTATGTCTGTGGAAGTGATTGCCAAATATTTATCTCCAGTCCTGGCCTCATCCCCGAGCTTCAGACCTGCGCCTCAGACTGTATACTGGACAGTTTCCCTTGGATATTCTATTAACCAGTGGGTCAGCGTGTCTCAAAATGGAAACTCTCTTTCCACAAAAGCCTTCTTCTTCAATGACTTTCCTATCTGTGTCCATGGCACCACCATTTAGTTTCCCATGGTTGATATTTGGTGTTATCTTTGATTTTTCTCTCACTTAGCATACCCGGTCTGTTGTTGAATTTTATCATCTTTACTTTGCCAATTTTTCTAGCACCTTTCTCTATACCCTCCATCCCCCCTCCCCTGCCTCCCCGCTCTGTCCAGATCCTCATGACCACCTACTTGGACCATTGAAATAGCCTTCTATTTAGTCTCAACTTCTTTAATCCCTCCTACATACAGCTGCCAAAATGATCTTCCTAAATCACAGGCCTAACCCTGCTCAAAAAAGCTTCAATGGCTTCCTGTTGCCTTTAAGATAAAAAAAAAATGCAAATTCCTCTGTTGGACATTTAAAGCCCTTCACAATCTGCCTCCATACTATCTTTAAAGATTTATGACCTATTCCTCCATGTCACTTAGTCTAAGGTCCAGTCAAAATGGGCCAGAGGTATCCCTCACATTGCATCTTCCTTCTCCATTCCTCTCTTCTCCTGTTGGCCTCTTGGCATCCCCAGATTCCTTCAATTCTCAGCTCAGCTAACTCCTACATGAGGACTTTGAACCCATGTGAGATTCAAAAGAGGGTCAGCTAATAATAGTGCACCCTCCCTGAAATTACCCTGTTATCACTTCATCTGAGTACATTCTCTGATAGAATGTGAAGTCCTTGAATAGAGATCGTTTCATTTCTCTTTGTATCCCCTGCCTCTCATATGGTGCCTGGCACAGGCTAAGTGGTTAATAAATGCTTATCAAGTTGACTGCTCAACAGATCTCAATTGATTGAGTAAAGTTTAAGTTTCTACTCGAGAAGTGCAAAGCTCTCCAAAATGTAGGCACCACCCAATTTTTCCAATATTCTCTCACACAGCTCCTCTGTCACTGTGCTCTAGGCTGGCCAAACTGGAACTTTACATCTCTCCATATACTGCATGGCGTGCCCCGCTTAAGGAACTGTGTGAACAAAGGCATGTAAGTGAGGCCTTCACATGGTTCCTTATGTCTGGATTGCTGTCCCCTGTTCTTACCCAACAAATTCCTACCATTCCATATATACCACATTCATCAAAAGTAACCTCAGAAGAATCCCATGTGGAGAAATGTAGGTGAGGGTCACATAGGTGGCTCAGTGGAAAATATATGTCTTAGTAATCTGACCTGGGGTAAGTCATTTAATCTCAGCAAATAAACCTTGGTTAAGTATTAGTTCTCAAATAGAAAGAAGTCAGGGCCATTGTTCATAAGGAAACAAGGAAACATCTACCACTTACACATAAGCCCAAAAGGTAGAAAGGAAAATGGGAGGAAATAGCACACACAGAAACCCAACATGGCTACAGACCCTATCCAGGGAGACTTACCTTCATACCATCTACATCCAAGACATTAAGGGCTGACCGGCTATCTGCAAAAGTCACCAACATTTGCCCTCGATTGATCCTAAAAAGAAGAGAGACAAAGAGCAGTAGCTTCGAGGATGGAAAAAGAAAAGACAGCAGAGCTCTCCTGAATCAGGAGGTAGGTTGATCTCTGCCCTCATGAGTGGGGAAAATTTTCTATCAATTTGTACTATCAGTTCAAGAGTTTCTTTCTCTAGGACAAGCCTTGATTGTTACAGCAAGATGGTGTAGGGGATAGAGAAACAGCCTCAGAGTAGAGATGACCTGGGTTTGCAGTCTTGCCTCTGTCTGCATGACCTTGATCAAATCACTTAACCATTCAGTGCTCCAGATAATTCTCTAGATTTTGTTAGGTTTACAGAGTAGGTACCAACCTGTACTGGTAAAGGAAATCTCTTCATCTAGAAATTGTCCTACAACAATGAAATCACATATCTGGCCCAAGCCTGGATTCCAGAGGATCATTTCTCAGGGAAGAGATGATACATGGGAGAGAATGAGGCAGAAAGGGAAAGAGCAGTAGAGAGGGGAGGGAGAGAAGGAAACTAGGAATGAGGGGAAAAGGAAAGTGGGGGGGCAGAAAAAGGAGGGGAAAAGGCAGAGAACAAGGAGGAGAGGGCTGGAGGAAAGAGAAGGAAGAAGAGGAAGCATACAGGAGATAGGAAAGGAGAATTTCCAGGGATATTGAAATTTTTAGAACAAAAATGTGGGATGCACAAAGACCCAAAGCCTATGGAAGAGATAACTTTAAAAGGTTAGCAAGGAAAAAGTCTCTTTAATATGGTCACCAAGGCCAGGAAGGAGTACAGGAATGGGGAGGAAGATCTATGCCATAGGTCCATGGTATTTCAGTCTGGCATAAGGGAGGCACACAGCCTGAGGCCCACAATAAAAAAAAGGTACTCATTCCTACATCATAGGTTCTCCTATGCCCAGAAAGGACTGGGGGGGAAATGAAGATTACAGAAGGCAAATATACCAAATATCAGACAAAATCTTCCAGGTAGAAACTAAAGCAAATTTAAAAAACCACCTAACATTTAAGGATAAGTAACAGCTGGCATATGAGTTAAATCAGGAAAAAGAAGCTAAAGAACAGAAGGTCTATATTCTTCTCTACAGGCAGCATGTATGGCCACAATTTCTTAAGACCACAGCAAGCTTGTAAACACCCTGTTTACATTGTTGTAGAACTTATTAACCTTATTTCTTATAAACCTTTTTTTAAGCCTCAAGAAGGGTCATATGCTACTTTTGGGAGGAGAAATGGGAAAAAAGATAATGACCCTGTTTTCTCCCTTAATCCTAGGTTGAATGGCAAAGGAGAAGGCAGAAAACAAGACAACAATGGAAAGAGAAGAAAAAAATCAATAAGAGGTACCAGCATGTCAAGTCCTGCCTTTGCCAAGAAAAAAAATGAGTGGTCCTCTACTGAGGCCTAGGATGTCCTGGCAACACACATAGATAAGCCTCCATCAGTATTTACCTGACAAGAATTATGGTCCCATAATTCCCTAAGGTTTGCATAAGCTCAGTCCGCAGATCCTCAGGGAACTCATTTTTTTCTTCTAGGGTTGGTGACTGTAGGTTTACCACCACTGTAGCATCTAAGGGTCCTTGGAAAGACGACACTTCCTGGAAGACTTTCTCCCGGGCATCTACATCCACTTCCTGGACCTCCACTTCTACAACTGCCAACACAGGCCTGTTAAACACGCAGACAAGACAATACAAAGGTAACTTCAAGGCAAGAAGCTCGCTGAACAGAATCCTATCATTTGCATCCTCCCACTGCTTTCCTGGCTAATTTTTATCCCAACAATTAGTCCAGGAGATAGGGGTACCACTTGCCCTATCTATTTCACACACAACTGAGGTTTTTTTGTTTTCATTTTTTGGTGGAAGAAGTCCTGGGAGAGGAATATTGCTGCTCTTTAATTATCTTAGTCAGCACTTAGAAAATAATCATCTCAGCTGGATCTTAATGACTGCTTAATTATTGAGGACTAAAACTAAAGAGTTATAAGTCAACCTAGTGTTTAGCAGCTTATGGATAAGGTGAGGGGATTACATTTGGATAGTGAAGGAAAGATATACCCACTCATTCTCAATTAGGAAATAAATTGGTGATGCTTAACTGAGAGATGGCAGGTAGGCCTGGAGTCAGGAAGACTCATCTTCCTGAGTTCAAGACGCCTCAGATACTTACTAGCTGTGTGACCCTGGGTAAGTCACTTAACTCTGTTTGCCTCAGTTTCCTCACCTGTCAAATGAGCTGGAGAAGGAAAGGGCAAACCACTCCAGTATTTTTGCCAAGAAAACCCCAAATGGTGTCACAAAGAGTTGGACATGACTGAAACGACTGAACAAGAATAACATCTGAGGGACAGAGATCATCTATCATTTACAGCCTATGTGACCTTGGAGAAGTCATTCATCCCTTTAGACTCTAGCTTCCTCATCTGTAAAAATGATGGATGGGTGTGTGTGTGTGTGTGTGTGTGTGTGTGTGTGTGTGTGTGTGTGTGTGTTTTGGATTCTATGGCCTCTGAGGTCCCGTCTAGCCCTAAACCTATAATCCCCTGATCTAGTCCAATAGTCTTGTTTTACATATAGGAGAAGCTAAGACCTGGAGAGGTTAAATAACTTGAACATGTTGGTATAGTTTTATAGGGATAGGCCTGGGGTTTGAACCTGGCTCTCTGACTCTAAATCCAGGACTCCTTTTCATCACTTAGCACAGTGCCTGGCACATAGTAGGAGCTTCATAAATACTTGCTGACTTGTTAACTCTACTATACTCAGGATTCCTCATACCCAGACCTACTCCCCCCACCCCCAAAACCTACCCAATTCTCACTAGAAAGCACCTTCTTGAATTATGCTAAATGTCAAAGAACTGTTATTTAGTGTTGATTGGACTGAATGTCTAAAGTCAACTAATTACTATTATATTATTATTTTAATTGATCCAAGACTATATTGGATACTACTCTCCCCACACAATCGGCAACCCCTGTACCCTCTAAACCTTTTCCCCCACAGGACTTCTCATCTTGTGGGATCCTTAGGCATCTCTCAAAAAGCCTCCATAGAGGATCTTCCCAAGATGTTATAGCCATTCTCCATTTTCAGAAAAGCATTTCCAGGAATATGAATATACTGCATGTGTGGTATATTTCTCATGTTGCATTCCAATTCAATAAACTCAAGGAACTTTTGCACTTAAATTTTATAATGATGAAAAATTCAGAAAAGGCTATTTAAAATAATATTTATGATATCACATTCAGGAAACAGCACAACCATCCTTTATTTTTACTTGTAGCTTTGAAATTAGTAAGTTTAATGAAGCTTGTAAATAATTTGGATGCCACTAATTCAGAACATGTTATATGTTTGGTTTCAATAAGATTTTAAAGGGTAAGGATGAGCTTACAACAAAAATCAGAATGTTCCCAAACATAGGGCCATAGATCAGAGTCGGAAGCTAACTCAAAGGCCATCTAGCCCAACATTGCCGTTTTATAGATGAGGAAACTGAAGCCCAGGGAGTAGAAGAGACTTGCCCATGTTCATCCAGTAACTAAGCATCAGAGACAGGATTTAAACTCATGTCTTCTAACCCTACATCTGATTTCTTTCCACTATATTATTCTAAAACCACTTTAGCAGCACCCAAATAATTTAGTAATTTTATCTTTTTATCAGAGCAGGTACAAACCTCTTTGGCATTAGTTTTAAGTATGTGAAAGCAAGAAAACAAAATTTTTAAAAAGGGAGGGGAGGGAATAAGTTCAAAAAAGGTAGGTGTAAATAGGATATGCTACATTAAATAATTCAGATTGTCCTTGTCCCATGTTAGTCTGAATTGCTGAGGCTTTAAAATATCTTCCAACTGAAAGAAAAAATCATCTGTTCTAGGAAACACGACAAGTTCCTTATCATAAATTTTAGGCTCCAGCTTCTTTGCTCCTTCAGACAATTAGCATTACCTCTAAATTATACTATCATTGACAGACAAAGGAATCAAAGGAAAATATAAAGAAGGTCGACTGAGCAGGCAACTGGAGATGGGGAAGAGATCACTGCATGCAAAGGAAATTACTACTAACAAAAGCCGCCCAAAGTATATATATCAAAAGGCTTACATTCTATTTCAAGGCAGTTGAAATAATAAGTGTCTGACAAGGGTGGCCTCAGAATACTTTAACCCCACTGATGGACAACACTTTTTTTTTAAATCCCCAACTCCTTTCTTTTTTGACTCCAATCCTTGTAAAGCAGGGGTTCTTAATTGAGGATCTTGAACTTGAATGGGTGAAAAATTATTAACATCTTTATATTTTCATTGACCTCTACATGATATTTATAATTTCCTTCAATTATGAATGTAGACCATTATTTTGAGAAAGGGTTAACAGCCTTCACCTGGACTGCCAGAGGTGCCTAAGACACAAAAATGGTTAAGAACCCTTAGCACAGAGGGTGATGCTGCTCCAGCAGAATACTGTTTCTGTTACATTTCTAAGAATTTCTACTCTTCCCTTCTCATTTGCCTTCACCAGCTATCTCCATTGTACCAAAAACAAAAGACAAAAGAGTGCACAAAAGACACTTTTCAGTGTGTCTCATCAATATCCTCACATGTCCAACACAGAACAATGTTCTATTCTCTACGCATAAGGCCTCCAGGTCTGCGACAGCTGGCAAAGAGGTAGGAGATCAGAACCGGCATTTTCAAATCATACAAAAAACTCTGAGGGTAAAATATTTTGAGGCACCTGAGTCCCAAGAAGGACATTACCTGTGATCAGAAGCCTGAAGTTCTGCTCGGCCGTAGTACATAAGAGCACCAGGAGACCAGGTGTGCTTGATTTTGGTGTCAACGTTTAAATCGTTGTCTAGAAGGTTGAGCTCTCCCGCTAAAAGGAGATTCCATTTGTGGGATGCACAATTTAAAAAAAAATACACACATTAAAATGTAACATTTAAAAATAAAAGTTCAAAATGAAGAAGACAAGTAAATTGTATTTATGAATCCTTTTACTGTTTCCAAAGTACTAGATGAGTTTCTCATTTAATCTTCACTCAGGAAATGAAACTATTATCGTTCCCATTTTATGGGGCAGAAACAAGCTTAGGATATGTGTATGACTATGGCAGAAGATGGGACTTGCACTTCAGTCTTCTGACTCTTATATGCCTTTACACTCATGATTATTTCCCTTATTTTAAAGTATTTATTATTTATTTATTTATTATTTATAGTATACATTATATATATTATATTATATATTATTATATTATATTATATATTATTATATATTACATTTATATTATATGTTATTTATTATTTAAAATCCCAATTATTTCCCTTATTTTAGGAGGGCACTTCCGAAAACATTAGTTCTCTTAGTATCCTCCGCTTCCCTTGTAAAGCTATATGTAACCCTACCCTCTCAAGCTCTAGTTCTCTTTCTTCCTTTCACTGCTACCATCTTCACTTTCTTATCTAACATCTTAGGTGTGGCTCAGAACCCTATGAGTGTCTTCCTTCAAAGCCTCCAATAAGTAAATTTCTAAATCACTAGAATACAAGCTCCCACATATATTGTGCTCAACATGTCCAAAATGGAATTAATCTGCCCCATAAAACCCACCCCTCCTTTTAACTTTCCAGTTTTAGTGATGATGTCTCCATCCATTCAGACACAAAGGCAAGAAGGCTTAGCATCATCTTCATCATTCTTTCTCCTACATTCCCTAAATCTGATTAGTCATCAAAACCTTTTGATTCTACTTCTCTTTTAACTTTTTTTTTTTAGGCAATTGGGGTTAAGTGACTTGCCCAGGGTCACACAGCTAGTAAGTGTCAAGTGTTTGGTCTGAGGCTGCATTTGAACTCAGGTCCTCCTGACTTCAGGGCCGTACTCTATCCACTGTGCCACCTAGCTGCCCTTTGATTCTACTTCTTGATACCCACCTTGTGACCACCCTGATTCAAGCCCTTACACCTCTTCTCTTGCCTGGACTACTATAACAGCCTACAAAATGGTCTCCCTTCTTCCTGTGCCCTGCTTCCCAAATCTATCCCAAAAACAGCTGCCAAAATAACTAACACATGGGTTTAACATGACTTCCCTGGTTAAAAATCTTCAGTGGCTCTTGATTGTCTATGGGATAAAATACAAATTATTAAAGCACTGACTACTGACATTTAAGACCTCTCATAGTCTGGCTCCAAGCTCTTTTTACTGACATTACTTCACTCCTTCCTTTTATGCACTCACTCACACTGGACTACAATTATCCCCTCATCTGCTCCTGTCTATGTCTGCATTTGTGCAGGCTGCCCTCATACCAGGTAAGCATTCTCTCCACACCTCTGCCTATGGAAATCTTTCTCTTCCTTTAAGGCCCCCCTAAGAAGTTGCCTTCTCCAAGACACCTTGTCTGACACCCTTAGCAGAAAGCAATCTCTCCCTCCCTTCTAATGTCATTAACTGCATTTTGGCTAGACCCTTGCCCTTCGCAAAAATGACATTCTTCCTTGTGGGATAATTATTTCTGTATCTATCCTCTTCCTTATTAAAGTGTAGCCTCCTATAAGGTAGGGGCTGTCACTTTTCATGTGCCCGGCACAGCATCTTGTTTAATACATATTTGTTTAATTGCACATGGTAAAAACTAAGCTAACATCACCTCAAACCATTCACCCTGGAATACAAGTTCAAATTTGGGAGGTGCTGGCTTACAGGGCACTATGAATTTCAGTAATGCCTGCATTTCTTTGTAGTATAAGTGGAATAAAATCCTTTCTAGGCCCATCAAGCTTATCATTCAAGTTTGATGGCACTCTTCACTGGATCAAGAGATGAAGCATTTTGCTTAGGGAATAAACTTGGGAATGAAATTGCCCTGTGGGTCTGAGAATACTTATTCTGACAGGCCCCACTTCAAAGAGCCTGGCATGGTGACATATAACACACAACTGCTGAGTAAATATTAACTGAAAGAAAATGGTTTTTTTTTTTAATCTGCCTGAGTGTACTCATTTCCTAGCCTTGAATTCTAGCATATTTCCCATGGGAGAAGCTTAGTTTGAGTATCCTGCTTGTTGAAAAGCATGTCCAGTTTTCACAATTTTTAGTCATCCTGACTGCCCGGCAGGGCAGACAAGAAATATTTGTTGGGTGCTAAAATGGTAAACTCTATCTACCCAGCTAAGTCTTGACTTATGCTCATTTTTTCACTTCTAAATTAGCATAATTTGGCCAAACAGAGTAAGATGATAGTAGAAGGCAAGTGATTTGAATAAGCTAGACAAAGGACACATGTGTATATGCATGTGAAGGGATAAAATTATAGTGCCAGGGAGGGAGAAAGATGACAAGTCGCATCTTTTGAAATTAGCATCCTCTTCCCTTGGCCAGAACTAAAAGGTGATGGTAGAACAGTGAGAGGTAGAGGGTGGCAGCAAATCTTATGCCTTTAACATAGCCCAAGTAGAGATGGTCTGAAGAACATGATCTCCCAAAACTTGCTGCCCAACTTAGAGGCTTTGGGTATTCTAGGCATGCTTATGTATCTTTCATAACAAGAATCTGGTATGATTTTAGGATACAACCTGTGAGGAATCAAGAACCTTAATAAGAGCACTGTGTCAGTACATATGAAAAGTTTGTTGCTGTTGGGTTGTGTTTTTTTTTAAACTGTACTCATTCTAATTTGCCCAATTTGCTAAGTCTTTCATTTTCACTGACCTGTTTTGTCAAGAGGATGTTTCTTCCTCCACCATAGTATCCTGTCAGTCCAGGCTGGGGTTCGACACTTATCACTTGTATCATAAGCTTCTGAGCCAACATCATATTTGTATGTGGGTCCAAAATTAATGGCACCTTCATGGAAATCCTTAAAAATCTACCAAGAAAAAAAATCAAATTACCATCTCAATTCTTCCAGATTTACTGTGTCAAATTCAAAAATACGCACATTACCAAAATACCATGTGAATACATCTTAACATAATCTTAATCCTATATTTATAAATGCTTAAAAACAATTTTGAAATTGGTACTGAGGGCTTTAGAAAAAATAAAAGAGCAAAGGGTATTGGCCACTGGGTCAACCATCTTCATAAACAGAAATCCATAATTAAAGTAAGTAGGCAATATGACACAGTAGAAGGAGTGCTGCTTTTGAAATCAGGAGATGTGGGTTTGAATCCCAACCATGCCATTTTCTACCTAGGTAACCTTGGACAAGTCACTAAACGTTTCTGTACCTCAGTTTCGTCATCTGCAAAATGAAGATATCAGACAGATCTCTAAGATCCCTTCCAGCTCTAAATTCATGGTCCTACGATCCTATTCTCTATCTCTCTGCCTCTCTTCAACACAAAGTTTCTAGCAACAACATCAATGCTTGGGATGTGGCGAGAGATGCCCAGGTGACATTCTGACTTTCAGAGTTTACCAGACATGGAAATGGGAAAGTAAAAAGTATCATAGGGTACTATGTACTCATTCTAGGTAGATTTCTTTACACATACAGCTTTTCCTATTAGTGCTGCTGGTCAGGACAAACACAACATAGGAGAAAATTTCAGAGAAACCACTATCTCATTAGAGTCAAGAAAGTCAGTCTTCCTTTTGAAAAATAGTTATTGGGGGCCATTATCAGATGCTTCCTGCTTTAGCCTATCCTTCTAGAACAACAGTAATAATAAAGGCTAACACACAGCACTGTAAGATTTGCAGAACATTTTACATATACTATCTCTTTTGATCCTCTCCACATCCCTACTTTACAGATAAGGAAACAGAGACTGAAGGTCATATAGATGGCAAATAACTGAGGCCAGATTCAAACTCCAAGTCTAGCACTCTATCCACTGTGCAACTTAGCTGCTTCAATGAAAACTACTATATACTGAAAGGGTGAAAAGAAGAAAGGTACTGCATGATACAGAATTAACAGCCCCTACATAATTCAGAATAGTTACAGAATTTCTTACTGATATTCATGATTTAAGGATCCCTTGAAGGGAAATGTATACAGTCTGATAAGTCAGGAAACAGGAAAAGATTCAAATTATCATAGGATTGTAGATTGAGAGATAGAAGGGAACCCTGAGGTCTCTTACTATAACCCCTTCATTTTGCAGATGCAAAAAGTGAGGTCCAGAGACATTAACTGACTTGGCAGTAAAATGGTAGAGCCATGATTCAAACTTTGGTCTTCTGACTCCCAATGTAGCATTCTTTCCATCATGCTACACTGATTCCTCTGAGTCAAATCTCCAGGCAAATGTATTTTGAAAACTGTTAGAAATATAATGCAGCATTTTACGTCCTACGAGTGGAAACAGACCGGCCCATCAATAAAATATCCCCTGTGTTTAATGCATTGTAAATGTACATGAAGTCTTATTTATGAATGTATTCAGCCTCTACACATACATACAGATGACAATCTTAATCAAGGCTCTCCAAACCACACTGTCTATTTTATGACCCTTGTGCAGACGCATTCCTAGCCCAAGTATGGAAAATCATTTAAGGTCATTCTGATAGTTACAACTGACTTTAATAAAGTAGAACAAAATTCCATGCTGTGCTGTGCCTGTTATTGAGACTTGTAAGCATTATGAACTTTATTTTACTGGCAGCCAAAGCTAGTTTCCACTTGGGCAAGAATTTCCCTGCTTAGCTGGAGTCAGAGGTAACTTTATATTAGTGTAATTGTCAACCCTTTTTCAAAGTTCTCCAAAATGTATCCCATCATATGAGACTACTCTTTTTGATCTGGAAATAAACACATTTTTTTTTTGCCTATGAGTCATATTATACTTCGGCGAGAAGGGGCAGGGTAGGAGAAGAATATGTATTTGTGAGTATATGTGTGTACACATAAACACACACACTACATACACTCTTTTTTGTAGTTCAGTCATTTTTAGTCGTGTCTGACTCTTCCTCACCCTATTTGGGGTTTTCTTAGCAAAGATACTGAAGGGCTTTACCATTTCCTTCTCCAGCTCATTTTTTACAGATAAGAAGCTGAGGCAAGCAGGATTAAGTGACTTGCCCAGGGTCCCACAGATAGTAAGTGTCTAAGCTGGATTTGAACTCAGGAAAATGAGTCTTCCTGACTCCAAGCCTGGAGCTCTATCCATCATGCCACCCAGCTGCCCATATATACTCTCTACATGATTAGAAATACTTAGGATCATAGGGTTTAGGGATAGAAGAATTATCATCATTTCAAAAATGAGGAAGCTGAAATTCAAATAGATTAACATCACATTCCTTCATTCCTCCCTTGGCTACATTCTTCACTCTCCTGGTCTTTCTCTGTAACGCCCCAGAATCCTCTTCACTCTGGAGGCTCACTCTACACCTGAACCTGCACCCTGGAAGCAACCTCCTGGCTTGAGGTCTCTCCCTCAGATTGGCTGGTCCCTCTTACAGACTTATTCTACAAAGTTCAGGAACAAATACCTTTGTCTCTTTCCACCCTTACCCCCTTTCAATTCTCTTTTATAAGTAGTCTTCCACCATTAGAATGTAAGCTCCTTGAGGCCAGGAACCATCCTATTTGTATTACCAGAGCTTAAATGCTTGTTGGCTTGATATCACAGAGATAATAGGAGACGAATGCAGGATCTGACCTTAGTTTCTCAGATTCCAAAGCCAGCATTATGCAATTTCCTATCTGATTACTCATTGCAATGAGCCAGTCCAAGCCAGCTTTCAGGAATAAGTGTTCCAAAATAAAGCAGCTACCCCAAAAGTGACTTACTTTTCCACTGGATTTCTGTAGTTGTAGTTGATCAAATTCTAGAAGTTTCTTCCAGTCTTGTCGCTTAACAAAATAGAAGACTTCTTCATAAGTAAGATCAATTCGGTAATTGAAATCCCCACACCAGAATACATAGTCATGAGAAAAGACACTTCTTCCCTGGTTGTGTGAAAACAAACAAGAAAAACAAACGATTAAGAAAAGCTTATTTTAGGGCAGCTAGGTGGCACATTGGAAAGAGCACCGGCCCTGGATTCAAGAGGACCTGAGTTCAAATCCGGCCTCACACATATAACCCTTACTAGCTGTGTGACCCTGGGCAAGTCATTTAACCCTGTTGCCTAAACCAAAAACAAAACAAAACAAAAAAACAAAGAAAAGCTTATTTTAATATAGGTTGATACTGAAAGGAAGACAGATGCAGGATCACATTATAAAATTGCTTAACTGAAATGGCACATAGAATGAGTCTCTTTAAAAACAAACAAAAATAAAAATGTTATTACTTCAAAACCTAAACTTCCTTCCTGGACATTTTCAACTAAATGCTCTATTTTGTACTATTTATTATTAAGTGGTTTAGAAATGGATTTTAATTGCAAATGGAAAGTATATCTACAGTAATTTTTAAAAGAAAGACAAGTGATTGGTAACCACTTTTTAAGAAGTTCAACTTCACCAAAATTAAAAAAGAAACAAATTAAACTTTGAGGTATTATTTCATAGCCATCAAATTAGCAAACATATAAAGAAACAATGAAGTTACATGCACGTAGAGTTGTGGAGAAACAGGTACACTCATTCACTGGTGGGAGAACTGCAAACTTGCTGAGTTTTTTAGGAGAGTGATCAACACGCAGTATCAGCTCAAAGATTTTCAAAGCAGCCCCTATCTGTAAGTGCAAAAACTGGAAGCAACTTACATGATCAACAATAGGAGGATGGCTAAATAAATGGCAAAGGAAGGGCAGCTAGGTAGTATAGTGGATAGAGCACCAGGCCTGGAGTCAGGAGGATGTAAGTTCAAATCCAGCCTTGGACACCTACTAGCTGTGTGACCCTAGGCAAGACACTGAACCCTGTTTGCCTCAGTTTCTTCATCTATAAAATAAACTGGAGAAGGAAATGGCAAACCATTCCAACATCTTTGCCAAGAAAACCCCAAATGGGGTCACAAAGAATCAGACAGGACTCAAACGACTGAACAATGCTTCTTTAGAGGAGGCAGCTGTCTTAGTGGATGCAGCAGTGAACACGGAATGAGGGCAATCCGAGTTTGAATTCTGCTGTTGTCCTGTGTTGTCCTCTACTTTAGTAATATGCATCACATTCTAACGTGCAGGTTAACCCAAGCACTTAGCATTACTTAGTAAAATTAAGTTTAAGGAAATTGTTACAAACTTCCATGTGATGCCACTTGGTTCTTAAGCACTGGTCTCATCATTACCTGTATGGCATATTCCTCTATAGACACAGCTCCCCCCAGCAGACAGGTAGACAACCTGATGGAGCTTGGACAGCAATGGGCTAAGACCAATCTTCATCTAAAGTTTCTCTCTCATGCGCCATTTTGCACAGTGGTCTGCACAAACTATGTCACAGGTGTTTGTTGGATCAAATCCCTTGACCCTCTGGAATAGTGGCTTCTAAACTGCAGGCTGTAGAGTTATTTTAAGGGGTTCCTAAGTTCATACGGGCACCAAGAAAGGTCATGTGGCTCTTTACTTTTGCCACTATAAATTTTCTCAATCCAAACAGTGTATTAGCTGAACTAACAGTATTGCTGTCGCATCCCACTACCAAGCCCCATCCAGTCCTCACCCCCAAATAAAAATAAGCTAATAGTTATTCTTGAGTGTACATCCACATCACCTAAAAACAGTGATTTAAGGCTCTGTAGGTCTATTCTCTGCGATCCTCTGCACCTTCTCCCCAGGGGAATCCCAACCTTAGTTTTTAAAAAATATAGTCAAGTTAGGCAGTACAAATATAAACCATATGAGATGCATATGCATATGTATGTGTGTGTATAAACTAGTTACTTGTAACTATATATAGTTACATGATAAAAATAAGTTTTGTATGTACATAAAACTGTATCTGTTATATAACTATATATAGCTATAAGTCACTATATATAGTTACATATAGTATATCTACATATATACATACACACATTTATTCTGTTAAGAGGGATATTATGCCATAGCTCCCCTGGGGGAAGGCTAGGTTGTTCAGTGGATAGAGTGCAGAATTTGAAAGTAGGGAAGACTTGAGTTTAAATTCTACCTCAATCATTTAGTAGCTATGTGGTTCTGAGCAAGTCACTTAACCTCTTCAGCCTCAGTTTCCTCATCTATAAAACAAGGATAATAATAGCACCTACTTCACAGGGCTGTTGTGAGGAGCAAATGAGACAAAATAAATGAAGAAATTCACAAACATTTAAAGCACTACATAAACGCTAGTTATGGGAGAAAATTATATGTGTGTGTGTGTGCCATTAATAACAACTGCTATCCATCTATATATACACATACACACTATATTATATATATAGTATATGTATATATATACAATGATAAATAACTATATTATATGTATATATTAAATGTTAACTACACAACTATAAATAAACCAAAAGCTTTTTTTTAAAAGGATTTTTAAAAATCTGACACCTTCGGATATAAGATGGACCATTAAAGATGTTGGTTTGTTGTTTGTTTGTTTTTTTTAAAGCTCAGCAAGAAATAAAATCATGCATTTTTAAAAAACCACTGCGATAAAAGCACAAAGCACATGCCAAACTATAACGTAAATTAACTTGTATTTTTCCTTTTTTAATGCAGCCAATACAACAAAAGTCATGGCACAAAATAATGAAGAGAAATTTCAGCACTGATATTTTATATGCAACATACAACCCCGTTAGAGTACAGATGGAGTCAGTAAAGTCACTGTCAGGCTCAATATGAACATGATTCAATTTCATCCATGTTATTTGGTCATAAGAACCATCAGGGAAATATGTGGATGGATAAGTGCAAAACCCAACCCTACTGGGAACCATCCAGGATTCTTATAAAAGAAAGAAAAAGTACAATCCCAAGTCAAATAGCAAAGTATCTGCTTCCTTAGGAAAACACCATGGACCTCCGTACCATCACTAGAGGGCAACACTGTGCATGTTATGTGCAGCTTCTCACAGCTGTCTCCTCATTAGGGACTTCTTTGGGGTGAGAGGATTCTTAAACATGAATTCAATCAACTTTTATAGTAGGTGTTCCTATCTGAGCTCCACAGGAATAGCAGCCATACTAACAGATGCTGAGATGCATCATAACACATAAAAATTTTGAAGTTTGGGGAAAATTGTACTTTATTCTAATTAGACTCAAGGGTTCTTTGCTAAGTTGCCCAAAATATCAGCACAAACCACTGATGTATTTTGGCAGTATTTCTTCCCTTCCCAGAATTTTATCTCCTGTAAGTGAATGATGCATGAAAAAACTTACAAAAGGAGAGACATAAAAAGGATGGACACGTACAAAGATAGAAGGAGCTGAGTGGACAGAAATGATAGGAAAGTCACATAAAATGGATGCCACTCCCTCCCCTACCACTACCACCATTACCACACTCCACCAGACACCAGACACTCCATGCTAATTTCAACGGTTTGCTCACCAAATTCCAATTTCTTAGACATGGAATTTCTCACCATGGGGAAACTGAGCTTCTGTGTAATCTCCTTATAGTCTTCATTCCTCTCTTTCACCTGTGACTGTCCAGCAGTCAAATGACTACAAATAAAACAGAAGCTAGTGCTGTGGAACTGGAATCGGATGCCAACAGCGCCTTTGTTCCCAGCTTTTCCTCCCATGCCGGTCTTCACCGTGTCAATTGCTACATCCCTGGGACCCAAGAACAGCAAGGAAAAAAGTTAGTTTGATTTTTCTATATCCAGGAAGGAAAACCCAAACCACCTACTTGGCATAGGCAATTTATTATAAAGAAAGAATGCAAAAATTCCTTTGTACCACTTTCCCAATTATATCCTCAGTAACCAAGCAATACTTTACTATACCCTTGTGAAGACTTTCCATTTGTATTATCCTATTATAAAGAAATGTCTTTTCTTTCACCTGATGATTGGTTTCCATGTGGAAATGATAAAGTAACCTTTGGGACAGTAGGATTTCAGATATCTTCATATGAGGCTCACTTTGAACCAAGCCCTATGTCACAAAAGGTATATCATAAAAATGAGGAAGCTAAGAATTCATTCATCCTTACTTTGTACCTGCTTTTTATTGTCTGATCCCACTCTATTCTGCCCCCAGCAAAATATGAATTCATAGTGCTGGGAACACTCAATCTGAATAGCATTATTGTGACCCAGAGGCGGCCATGACTATAAAATACTGAAGAGTGTCTATCTAAAAACATGGCATATTTGGAGAATTAGAAAAATGACGGCTACTTGCAAAGGTCTCCAGACCAGCCTTTGTTGAGTGAGGATTCTTGTTTTCAGTAACCTGAGCATGAGAGAGAGTGGGCAAATCTATGCTACTTCAAGTATGTTAACTCTTAACATTTCAATGGAAAAAGCCATTGACTGAGAGAGCCCCTGGTATAACAAAAACTCAACTGTCAGTCCCTCCATAGTTATTACTCAGATGATAACTTGACAATGATATCTGGGAGAACAGGTGTGCTTACTCAACAAGCCAAAGGCCAAAGGGACTATTTTATTCACTGAGGGCACCAGTATCTATGATCTTATGCCATGTTTCTAAAATGCACAGCCACTAATCATCTATGCTTTGTGCTTTGTCACCAAGACCCTTTGCTTTCAGATAAGAACACTAAACCTGCCAACTTGGTCACGTTAAAAATTATTGCCATCACATAAGATATCCAGGTAGAGGGAAATATTAAAAGTTTAGTCTCTTGAAATCCTTTACCACGGAAAAGGATTAGAAAGCTTGAGGAACAGGCTATGGATGTTCAGAAATAAGTGTGCTATTTAATGCTGCTATGGTTTGTGTCCTTAGGGTCCCCTAGGGATGCTGACTGAGGCGTTCAACAAGGTACAAACATATTAGGGAAGAAAATCCTTAGTTCCAACCCTTTGGGGCCATAAACCACATTAACCAGGAGAGACTGGAGAAGACGCAAATGATGTGCTTGGGGCTAAGACTCAATCAAAAATTAGGTAGATGCCTTGAATGAAATCAAGGGTGGGTTCATCTGACGTAAGAGAACAATGCATGCTTCTGTTTAGAATAATTCAGCAAGGATTCTTTAAGTGTGCCTACTATGCATTAGTACTTGGGTTGCCAAAATAAAAAGGTAATAATCCCTGTTCTGAAGGAGATTATAGTCTATGGGGGTGGGGAGGTGGTATTGTCTGCTAGGAAGAGGAACTTCCTAAAACTTCTATTTTCAGAAATTTAGAAGATTTTTCACTTTCAGGAAATAATAATGGATGACAGTTGCAGAAGCTTTCCAGCTACAAAACATACTTTGAACTCTATTAAAGAGAGATGAAAGAACTGATGTCTCCAGCTTGGATACTCAACTCTCCTGGTCACAGAGTCTACGTAAAAAAAAAAAAAGAGATCCCTTTTGTTTTCCAAAATTAATGTTATGATTTTAAGTATCAATGGAAATTTATTAAGTTTCATTCCAAATCCAAAGTCAGCTGCCCGAGGAAGTGAAGTCTCATTCTCCCATCTAGCACCACACCATCTAATCTTTTAGTTAGCAGGTTTATATAACTTCATATCAAAAAACAGTCAATCCTGGTGAAGGTTATAAGATGGGGAAAGCCATCATCAAATAGAGTACAAATATTTGCAACCAACTCCTGGCTCCTAACTACAAAAAAGCCATTCTGTAGGTAAATCCACTTTCTTACCTGATAAATGGAACATGGTAAGGGCGTACAAAGATATAAAGGCAGACGCCTACAAGCTGGGCAGAAGTCAACAGAATGTATCTATGAGACCTTGAATAGCCTTCTGAAGCTGCTCTCCCCACATTTTTCTATTGGTAGTACTAGAAGAAAAGAAAATACAAAAAAAAGAGCGATCACGTCATAGTTAATTAGCTGTACGAGAGCTCTTGTTCCTCCAGGTCCTAAAACACTATTTTCTCTTTCCCTCCTAAACTCATGCTGATTTATATTAAACTATATAAGCAAAAGGCTTATCTCCCCAATTAGTCAAGTCTTTTCAGGGCAGAGTATGGTAATTAAAAAAAAAACAACCCCAAAGCCCACCACAATGTTTTATTGAGCATTTAAAGCTCTTGGTAACCAGGCCCCTTCCTACCTTTAGCCTTACACTTTGCTCCTTGCCATGCATTCTATTATCCAGATATCCAGGCCAACTTGCTGCTCCTTGACCCACAAGGCTCCGCTTACCTTCTCCAGCTCTCCTCAGCCACTTGCCTTCCCCGGCTTCCATCACATCCCCCCTTCTGCAGGAGGCCTTCCTTGGTGACCTCTCCAGTCACTGGCTTTCCTACCAAGATTCCCTTCCAGCTACTCTCTTGAATCTACCTTGGATAAACTTAGTAAATGCTTAATCAATTAATTCTTGTTGTCTGGCTGTTGACTTTAGTTTTTATATCATATTTCCCCCTCCCTGAATATACCCCTCTTCTATCCAGAAAGCTGTCATATTTATTCATCTCAATATCTTCCTCCATCCCATCCTAGCCTCACCATCATGCTGGGCATGCTAACTTGTAGAAGGCAGATGGGGATGGGGGTTTCAATAAACGTTTGCTGAATGAAGAAACTTAGTCAATAAATACTCTGATATCAAATATGACCACTAAAGTAAAGTAAGGATTCCAATTCTATGACTCTCTGATGTTTTCCAGAACTCTTCTTTTCTCCCAGGGGAAAAATCAATCAGCCAATTTTTCCTTAAAGTAAATTTAGATGGGGCCAGCTTCCCACTTTGTCTGGGTGTCTGGATGTTAAAGTGAATTTCTCCTCAATACGTGTCATGTGCAATATGACCTATATAAACACATACAGCATTTCTCATCATTTTCTCCTCCTCAGCCCTTTGGGGACAATTACTTTGGTTTGGGGGAAGCTTAACCAAGTATATCCTATCAGTTCAGAGTCAGGATTACTTCAATATATGTTAAGTAGGTTCCTAAAAAATTCTGATGAGCAATTTAAGAGGGAATGACTAAAACATTATACCTTATGCACTAAAATTAATTAATTTAAATGTGAAGTTAATAATACATTTCAGTTGGTCATGATAATGTTTAATGTCTATGTCTTCAGAAATGTGATTCATTTCATGTGACTCACAACACAGTCCCACTCACCCCACCACAGAAATTTCTTACCTACCTAGCATTGACAATATTTCCTGCACTCAATTCCACCATCTCTTCAAATCCCACTGCAAATATGTCAGCTGGGCTGCTGTCATCTGGGGAGTGGAAGTTGCGGGAGAAAGACATGAAAGAAATAATAAGTTCAGGGTCTGTGAACCCCAAATTACTTAGAATTGCAGGGTGTCAGAACTGGAAAGGATAATAATAATAGTTAACATTTTAAAAGTGATTAATGTATTCCAACCACTGTGCCAAGTACCTTACAATTTTTATTTCATTCGATTCTCACAACAACCCTGGCAGGTGGGTACTATTATTGTCCCCATTTTATAGATGAGGAAACTGAGAAACACAGGTTGAGTGACCGGCCATGTGTGACAGTACATACATCATTCCACCCCTGTTAGTAAAACTCTGGTAAGAATCTTGGACTGGATTTGAACTCAGGATTTCCTGACCATAGGTCTGGTATTCCACTTAGCTGACCCCTTTAGAGACCACCTCATCCAAACCCCTCTTTTTTTATGGATGAGTAAACAAGATCACACAACTACTATTTTATAGGGTTTTTTTCCCTTAATTATTTCTAATATTCATCTTCTCTCCCTAACTAGATTAGCTCTTCGTGTCAAAGGCTCTGATTTTTCATGGCCCTCAGGCTACTTGAGTGCTTAGCCCTATATAGGTACAAAGTGCGTTTAATACATATTTGATTAATTTGGAAGACTTTTTCTCCTTTTCCTCTCTACTAAAGCATCAGTCCGGTATAAACACTACCAGGGAAAGACAGGTGCTGCAACTAAAAATCAGTCAATTCTGCTACTTCTGAAAAGCTTGGGCAAAAGGAACTCTACTGGAATTATTGTTTGTATGCCTCACAGCAATGAGGTAGTGGTTGACAGAGGTAGAATGATGCATGTATTGTCAGACACAGTCAAAGCGCTGGTTTTGTCTTTCTTTACTGTACTTCTCGATCAAGGGGCAGATAGGTGGCAAAGTAGATAGAGTGCCAGGCCTGAAGTCAAGAAGACTCATCTTCCAGAGTTCAAATCTGGCCTCAGACACTTACTTGGCTATGTGACCCTGAACAAGTCACTTAACCCTGCTTGCCTCAGTTTCCTCATCTTTAAAATGAGCTAGAGAGGGAAATGGCAAACCATTCTAGTATCTGTGCCAAGAAAACCCCAAATGGGATTGCAAAGAATTGGACACAATTGAACAACAATGCTTCTCTACTGAGAGGCAGGATGGTGTAATAAATACTGTTGGCCTCAGTGTCAGAAAAACCTGAGTTCATGTTTTGCCTCTGAACATGGCTGTGTGACCCTAGGTAAGTCACTTAACTTTTTCTGCCCCAGACAACTCTCTTAAGACAAGAAAGAGGTGGGGGGGCACCTATGTGGCACAGTGTATAAAGGACTGGCCCTGAAGTCAGGAGGACCTGAGTTCAAATCCAGCCTCAGATGAAACACTTGACACTTACTAGCTATGTGACCCTGGGCAAGTCACTTAACCCCAATTGCCTAAAAAAAAAAAAGACAAGAAAGAGGTGCCAGACCAAGTGCAGCCCTTCATTAGGAAAGAATGTTCCCTACACTCATGAATCTAAAGAGGCTTTTAAAAAAAAAAAGGCAAAACAGAAAAAAAAATACCAAAAGCATTAATAAAAATTTTTTTAAAGAAGAAAAAGCACAAAAAGGAAGCCATAGTTATCAAGCTAATAAGTTCACAAACCTCAGGTTTGCAGGAGAGAGGAGAAAGGAGAGAAGAAACAGAAGGGAGGGGGAAAGGAGGGGAGGATGGTGAGACCTGGGGGTCCTAGGAGTGTCCTATAGGATCCATCCTATCCTTGTTCTCCAGAGCCAAAAACAATTAAGAGGCAATTACAAGCCCTTCAGCAATTCACTGAACTTTATCCAGCTTGCTCATGTCATTCCAGCATCAGGCAGTTGGCTCCTGGTCTGTGGGCAGAAAACACACCTCCCCCTACTCTAGTCCTTCCCACATCACTCTTAAGTGCTTAGGGAAGACCTCTGCTAGAGTGATCTCAACCATCTCCAAATGTACTTTTTTTTAAAAAACTGCTTATTCATCCAACAGGTCAGTCACGGAGTTAACTGGCTTAAAGTTTCCATGTCTTTAGAGAGTGACTTGGCAGTACTAACCAACATTTCTTCATTTTCTTAAACCAAGGCTTCAGAAGGAAAACTGGAAAGCTTTTACTCACTTCAAAATGATTTCAATTCCATAAAAGGCAACAATTTTACTAAACCTTAGAGGAGAATAAAGAGGGTCTATTTCACTTCATTGGAAGTTTGTCAGTGAAAATCTAACTGGTTTCATTGACTTGATGTTCTAAAGTCTCATAGGTAGGGCTCTGTTTTCCAACACATTCAAAATTATTTATTGGTGCATTATTTACTCCCACACAAACTCCCACTTACATATAGTACTCAAGTAACTTCAACTTCCTATAACTTTCCAGATCAAACTGTCCCCGTTTGCATGCAAAAAAGAAACAGGTCTATACTGTGTATGTGCAAAATTTCAAGAATGGGCCTGGTAATGCAGCCCTGAAAGGCTGCCAAGGAAGCAGCTGTCTGTAATGTAAATAATCACAGGGCAAGTATGCTCATGGGATCCACAAAAATATAGCAATGTAATATTGCTAACCCCTTCTAGAATTATAAAGGCAATTGAAAATGGACCCACTCACGAGGGAGGTGTAAGAGGGGGTTGGGGGAGAAAGGAGAAATGCATTTTTCCACTCCTAAATGGAGTCTAGGTTATGGACTGGCATGTCAAGGCAATGAGTCAAAGGTTTAGAGCTGCAAAATGCTGTCAGTCTGAGGGATTTTTAATCTGGGGTTTGTGAACTTTTTTGTTATTTTGATAACTATTTCAATGAAATTGGTTTCCTTTATGCACTTTATTTTATGCATTTAAAAACATTATTTTGAGAAGAGTTCCTTCACCAGGCTTTGACAGACTGCCAAAGGCAGGTCCATAACACCAATGAGGCCAAAACCCTGGATAGTCAAACTCCTTCACTTTACAGATGAGGAAACTGAGGCCCAGAGAGGTCACATGATTTGTCCAAGATCAGAAAGTAGCAAGACTAGGATCTGAGCATGGGTTCCCTGACTCCAAATTCAATCTTTCCACAAGTTGGAACAACTAAAAAGGCAAATTGTGTATCAATTTAGAATTATTTTAATTTTGGAGAAATGCAAATGTTTATTGCTTGTTTTAGCAAAAACCTGGTTAATTTGATTTGCCAGAGAAATCCCAACCATCACCATAAGCTAATTTCCAGAGACAGCAACATTTACTGTTTGTCCAGTGTAGCAGAACAGAAAGGGAAGCAGGAGAGAAACTTAAGATGACAACAAGGTTTTTAAAACATTCTGAAGAGTCCAAATGCCAAATACCAAACTCTGTGGCAGCAGTAACTTCTCAAGAAAGCTCAGATCTGGGGATTAGTCAGAAGAGTAAGGGAACTGGAAGGTCAGCACTCCGTTTTTACCTTGAAATTCAGTAGCCCCTGAAAGCTTGGGAGAATCCAGCAGCCAGTCAGTTAATTCTCCAGTGCCGAGAAGGTTGGTTCTGAATTGTTTTCCTCCATTTACGTTCCAGGTTCCCATGGCAATCCGAATCCGTTTGAAATTGGTGAATTCCAACTGACGCTCTGACATGGCTTTCAAGATCCTTGGAGTCACTGTGAACAATACGCAAGGAAAGAACGTTCTTGTGCGATCCCAAACCCACAAAACATGAAAGGCAAATCAAGTCATCATAGTTATTACCCTCAACCAAATTAGATTCTTATGAAAACGATGGGAAAGGAAAACAACCTGAAACCATAATTTAAAAAAATCCCTAAACTTTGCATATTCTTTGACCCCATGATATAACTACTAAGCTTCTACCACAAAGGGAGTAAAGACAAGAAAGGACCCATATATGCCAAAATATTTATGGCAGCATTTTTTACTGTAGCAAAGAACTGCAACCAAAATGGGCATAGATCAAATAGGGAAGAGATGAACAAATTATGTATGTGAACATAATGGAAAATTACTGGGCTATAAGAAATGATGAAAGGGACAGAATTAAGAGAATCCTGGAAGGACTTGTATGAGCTGAGTAGAACAAACAGCTTTGAAAGACTTCAGAACTCTGAGGGACAGCTAGGAGGCGAAGTAGATAGAGCACTGAAGTCAGGAGGACCTGAGTTCAAATCTGGCCTCAGACCAAATACTTAACACTTACTAGTGACCCTGGGCAAGTCATTTAACCCCAATTGCCTAAAAAAAAAAAAGACTTCAGAACTCTGATCAATGCAATGACCGGTCACGAGGACTTCACAGACTGTTAATGAAACTTTCCATGCTTCCATCTCTTAAAGACAGATAATAGACTAGTGGTCCTGAGTGAGACATACATTTTCAGATGTGGCCAGTAGGTTGATATGCTTTGCTTGACCATATCTGTTACTGGGAGGTCTTCCCGTGAGGAGGGAGGGGGATATAGTGGGTAGTTATATTGATATAAAAAAAAATCAGGAAAGAGAAAAAAGAGTCATCAATAAAGATTTTTAAAATATAGGGAAGAGAGCAGGGGATATTCAGAAGGGGCCACAGACAGGGCTGTTCGTTACTACTGTATTCAACTGAATTTACATTAAAAAGCCTGTATGTAACAAAAGTGCTCAGTTCCATGGACAATCCTCTTTTTGATTCTTTGCATGGTGAAATGTTCATATTTGTTGATGTTTGCTTACACAAAAGAATTTTATAAAAAATTATGGGGAAGTTACTATTATATTTTTTCCACTTCAGTGGTACCATTAAGAATTTTCTACAACTAATGTCATAGAAACTCAGGACTAGAAAATGACCCCACCCAGCAAAATCACCAGGGCTCAATGAAAGCGGAATATGTATATGCACATGCCTTTCCTGGAAATCTCCCAAGAGATCACCTAGTTCACAAAACTGTGGTATATTTTTAAGAAGGATTTTCTTAGTATGGTCAGATATTAATGATCCACTTTTATTAACATTCACTGTACTGGACTGGAGTCAGGAAAACTTGAATACAAATCCTGCCTCAGATACTTACTATCTGTGTGAGGCTAGGCAAGTCACTGACCCACTTTGTGCCTCAGTTTCCTCATCTGTAAGAAAGGGATAATAGCAAATGCCTTACAGAGTTGTTATAAGAATTAAAGGTGATAATATGTGCAAAGAGCTTTACTAATCTTAAAGTGTTATATAAATGGTATAGCCATATAGCAATTTTTTTTAACCAGACTGGGGATTTCATGGGTGTAGGGGAGCTCCCCCATTGAAAAAACTCCCTATACCCATACAGGTCAGCACATTCTCTGCAACTTAAACTCTTAAACAGTCACCTAGGTCACGGAGAGGTTCATTGATTTACCCCGAGTAACACAGCCAATTATCAGTGAAAGGACTTGAACCCAGGTCTTTGTCTGCAAAGTCAGCCCTCATTGGCCTGTTACACACTGCCCCTGAGACCAAGAGAGTGTTGGCAGATAGAGTCTTCACCTTGCGTTTATGGGCCTCAAATACCAAAATTCTTATATTGTATATGCAGAGAACACATTCTTAATTGGCTGGAGAGAATTCAGTAAAGGAGCCTTCTTCAGGAGTTTTATTTTCTTTTTTCTCAATTGTGCCAAATATTTAAGGGATATAGAATATGTTAAGGAGGAAGTCATTTACATTTATGACCTCAGCACTTGAGAGTGATCCAACTTGAAGCTCTGTTTTAACTGTGAGAGCACATGTTTCACCAGAGGACCAATGATGGAGCACGCTCACAGCCTCCTGATACAGTGGAGATGGATTCCAGATGCAGAATGAGGCCGGGCCAATGTGGAAATTTGTTTTGTTTAACTATGCAGATTTGTTACCAGGGTTTTCATTTTCTTTTCTCTTTTTTTTCCCCCAGTGTGAAAGGGGAAGGAGAAAAATAAATGCTTGTTAACTGAAAAAATAATAAATTCAAAAGTTTTTTTAAAAAAAATCTAATAGATTGAATAGTATGTGACAGATTCGATATCTGAATATGATCTGACAGAATATTCATATAACTAACAACTGAGTCGTTAGGTGGCTGCAGTTTACCATCCTAATGGTAGCTACTGGAAATGGGCAAGAGACAGTGAGAAGGGATGAAGAAGAGGCAGGCACCATTTCTAGGCTGAAAATACTCTCCACCCTTGTTTTCTTTCACTTTTCTTTTCCCTTCTTTCCTTTAGGGTTTAGTGATTGAACTTCCTTAAAAAACCTAAATGATTTTCATGATCATCTAAGCCAAAATTAAAGAAATCCAGAGTCAGTCCTATGTCTGATTTTAAAATTTGGCCTATCTTTTTGCATTGTTCAACAATTATCCCGTATACATTGTGTTTCTATATAGTTTTTGCATGTTGTTTCCCCTATTATATTGTGAGCTCCATGAGGGCAGGGACTGAACTTTTGCCTTTCTTTGTATCCCCAGCACTTAGTGAGCACAGTGCCTGCCACACAGTAGGAGCTTAATAAATGTTTATTGACTGCTGACTTCCTTATTGGAATATGGGCTCTTTGTATCCCCAGCACTTAACACAGGGCTTATTAGCAGGTGCTTAATTAATAAAGGTTTGTTTACTGTTGTGGCTCGTGGTGTTGAACTCTTCATGACCCCTTGTGGGGTTTTCTCCGCAAAGATACTGGAGTGCTTTACCATTTCCTTCTCCAGTTCATTTGACAGAGGAGGAAACTAAGGCAAACAGGGTTAAGTGACCTGCCCAGGCTCACACAGCTAGTAAGTATCTGAGGCCATATTTGAACTCAGGAAGATGAGTCTTCCTGACTCCAGGCCCACACTCTACTATGCCACCTAGCTGCCATTCCTGACTGACAGATCTATAAAAATAAAGGAGCTAGCTAGTCACTAGATGATTAATTAAGGAGTTAGCTAGTCACTGGATGATTTTTAAGACCCCTTCCAGCTTTCAAAAACTTCTTTATTCTCAGATTTCCTTCAGTCAGATGAAAAGAGCCAGAATGCACTTGGAGCCCTTCCATTCATCCCATTTGTGAGAAATAAAACCGAGTTCCTCCCTTTCCAAGGTGGTCTGTTATAGGAAATCATGATCCTGTTGGGACATTATAAATTAAGCACGTGGTAAAATTATAACACTAGATACTAAGGAATTATGAATGCAAGATAGCAGGAAAGGCCTAGGTCTTGGCCTTCACCACCAGATCTAAAAGATGATGAGGGCAATGGAGGAGAGCTAATGTGAGAAATCTTTAGTCAACCAGGAGGAAGAGCACAAAAATACAAGTAACAAGTCACATTTTGGAAGGAATGTAAATCTGAAAGTCTCACCAAGAGAATATCCCCCTTTAAAAATATTTTTCTCTGCCCCATATCCTACATGCCTTTGACCCCAGCTTTAAAATAGTCTTAAAAGGTCAACTTCTTTAGACAACAATACTTCCTTTCTCCTATGACTGAGTTAGTCTAGAAACTAAATCATCTCTACTTTGTTAGTAAACAAACCTCAACAGACGTGCAATTACTTAGAGATGCTTTCAAAACTTCCTTCACTGCACTGGGATTGTGCCCAGAGTAGAAATCAAATATTGTGTTGGCTTCTGAAAGCAAAGTTAGAATACACTAGGAAACGAGGTTAGATGGGGGAAGGAAGAAGAGGAAGGATGAATAAATCACATTTTTTTTCAGGTATAGACAAATTAGGGGAGAGGGAATGGGCCTGTGATTTCATTTGTAGAGGGAATTCCTTCTACCAAAGCAGGTTAGCAGCCTTTCCACACATCCCCGACTCCAACTTACAGAGAGTCCCTATACGGCACTGAGAGGTGAAATTATCTGTCCAGGGACATATAGTATATTTTGGAGACCAGCTTTGAGCTCAGATCAGTTAGTGGTAGAGTGGGGACCAGAACCCACATATCCTGGTTCTAGGTCCAAGTCTGTGAGAGGCAGCTAGGTGGTGCCATAGTGCACAGAGTCAGGAAGACTGAGTTCAAATCCAGCCACAGACACTTACTAGCTGTCACTTCACCCTGTCTGCTTCAGTTTCCTCATCTGTGCAATGAGCTGGAGGAGGAAATGGCAAACCTCTCCAGGATCTCTGCCAAGAAAAGCCCAAATGGGGTCACAGAGAGTCGTCAGACCAGATGGACGCCCCGAACAGGGCATAAGCTTAAAAGTTTAAGGCCTGGCCCTGCTGCCAACATTCCATGTGACATGGAATAAATTATTCAGCCTCTGTCTACCTCAATTTCCTCATGTGAGATCAAAGATTTTCAAGCTCCCTTGCAACTCTAAATCTTATGATCTTAGGATATTAAAAGCCTAACCATTTACATGTACTCAAACAGTCACTAAATGGATGAACTCTGTTTAGCAAGGGCGTTTGCAAGTGCCAGGGAAGAAAGGGAACGTGTCACAATAGAATGAGCAATAGATCTGGAGTCAAGGACGTGCAGTTCCAACATGTTTCTTCATCTATAAAATGACATAAACTATAGGGCTTTTATGACCTATTCCAACCCTATGGCTGCCATCTTACAGGCCACAAGACCTTGCCATCCATCCTGATGTAACACTCCCCACGCCAAAGTTCAGGCCCTGGGGGACTTAACCCTCTCAGCTCTGGAACTCCCATCCTGGCGACTGGCCTGTCCTGATAGGTGAATGTGTCACGTACACCCTGTATACATCACGTATTACATCTTTAGAGCAAGCATTGTCACTATTGTAGCCCTAGCTCTTAGCACAGTACTTTGTACACAGTAAATGCTAAATAAATGCTCATTCATTCATTCAGTCTCTTTCCACCTCCAGTTATACTTCATCTTCCACCCTAGGTCACCATCTCTTCCCTCTCCACCCAGATCCCACCCTCTAAATCTGCTTTTCAGCTCCGCAACAGAAGTCAAATCAATATTGCCACTGCTACTGAAAAAGTCGTGCAGATCCACTCTGGCTCTACCCCCCATCCCCACAGCTTCCCAAGCAAGCTAGCCTCCCAGGTCACCGCTGGTGCTGTCCTTTTAAGCACTGCCTCCTCCCTGCTTTTGTCCTGGTATCCCTAGGGCCTGGCAGGTGCCTGGCCCATAGCAGGTACTTCACAAATACTTTTGATTAATGTTGCATAAGAAAAGGCATCCTCAAAGACTTGTAGGGACCAGAAGCAGCCTAGTCCTGTAGGGAGCATTAAAGACAACTGAGAGAGGATCCTCCTGGCGCTCTGGTACTTCTAGAATGTGGAAAAAGACAAGACAAAGCCCTCTGGCAAATCTCTGAGTAAATCCTCTGTGAAGACTGACAGTTAATGTGTGGACAGGAGTTGAAAAGGGCTGCCGTATCTTAACACATGAAATAATGGATTGGGGGGGGCAGCTAGGTGGCGCAGTGGATAGAGCACTGGCCCTGGAGTCAGGAGGACCTGAGTCCAAATTTGACCTCAGACACATGATACACACTAGCTGTGTGACCCTGGGCAAGTCACTTAACCGCAATTGCTTTGCCAAAAAAAAAAGGGAAAAAAAAGAAAAAAAATTAAAAAAAAATAGATTCAGTGAAACATGCCTAATTAATCACATTTATAGAATTCAACTGAAAAAACAAACAAAAACCAAACCCAAGAAAACACATGAACAGCGACAGGTCCTATTAGATGTTCTAGTCTCTACAATATAACAAAGGAATCCAAGCCAAGAGAGTAGCAATAAAGAGTGCTTCAGGAAGCTATCAATTATCCTAGTTAGAAGAATCCAGGATTTTAGAGGCATGCTTACACCCTTTTATTTATTTTGGGGGAAGCAGTGTGGCATAACAGATGCCAAAGCTGACCTTGGAAGAGGCAGCTAGGTGGTGCAGTGGACAGAGTACCGGCCCTGATGTCAGGAGGAGCTGAGCTCAAATCCGGCCTCAGACCAAACACTTGACACTTACTAGCTGTGTGACCCTGGGCAAGTCACTTAACCACATTGCCTAGCCAAAAGAAAAAAAAAGAATGATTAAATGGGGGAAAATAAAAACACCAACCATCAACTATTATTTAGGCAGCTCAGCAAACTCTCTGCAGCTTATTGCCTTTTTTTAAATTTAGTATTTCATTTTTCCCCAATTACATGTAAAAACAATTTTCAACATTCATTTTAAAAATTTCTAGTTTCAAATTTTTTCCCTCCCCACCCCCCCTCACTGAGAAGGCAAGCAGTTGGATATAGATTATACATGTGTAGTCATGCAAAACATTTCCATATTAGTCATGTTGTAAAAGAAAACATAGATCAAAATGAAAACCTAAGAAAAATAAAGTAAAAATTATACTTTGATCTGTGTTCAGGCTCCATCAGTTCTTTGCAGCTTTACTGTCTTACAAGATCGTCCGGGGGGTAAGGAGAGTTTTATTGACTTGCCCAATTGTAAATATTGCCATCTTGTTTCAGAGGCAGGTTTTGAACCCAAGTCTCTCTGACTTCAAGGCCAGCTTTGCTATATACATACATATATATATATACACACACATACATATATATTTTTATTTTTATTTATTTATTTTTTTGGTAATAGGGGTTAAGTGACTTGCCCAGGGTCACACAGCTAGTAAGTGTCAAGTGTCTGAGGCCACATTTGAACTCAGGTCCTCCTGACTCCAGGGCTAGTGCTCTATTCACTGAGCCACCTAACTGTCCCTTAATCATTCATTGTTGTAAGAATTTTTCCTACAGGAATTTCCTATGGAGATCACAGATCTGGACCAAAAACAACCCCCAAACTACAGTACATTATCTGAAGTCATTGTTGCAACTCAGCCTAATCTCTTGCTGCTCAGTGCTGGGCCCAGTTACTAACACTGAGTAACTGAACCCCTTAAACCAGATTGCTCATGAGGCCTGGATCCAGGGGGGTTTTTTTTCCCTCAAGAAGCCTGCTGGTTTTGCTTACCATCCTCCATTTCATTTAGTCACAAGGAGAAGAGTGAGAGGGAACAGAGCAGTACGAATCATTAGCAATGCTGGGGAAAGAATTCAAAGGCAAATACTTTCCTTGCCATCTGCGTGTATATGTAGGAAGGCAAGTGACCGGTTACCTAAGAGCGCGGTGCTGTCCATAAGCATCCTCCCTTTGTCGGCATACTCGTCCTTGTAGACGTCACCAACCAGTAGCAGTCTGATGGCTTCTTGCTTCACTCCATCAAAGAAATTGGACTGGATGGTTCTAGACACAGACCGGGCCCCATCCTTGAGTTTCCCGACCTGCAACAAACAAGGGCCCTGAGGAGACATGTCACGCATTCCCTGCAGGCTTTGCACTCATTACAAGCAAGGTCCTGCTGAGCTCTGAGATCACTTCTCACCTTGGCCTTTCCTTCCAGCACCCGGCTGCCTGTAAAGACTTTGCTCAGGTTGTGCCCGTTAAGAGACCACATGGCTTTGTATGACTCCACAAAGCGTTCAGTGACTGGCTTTGAATTCAGTCCCAGGCTCTCCAGTTGTAAGTGAAGAACCTTAATGAGAGATGAATCAAAGGCGAGTGAGAGGGTGGCTTCAATGCAATTCAGCAAATATTTATTAAGTGCCTATTACAGGCAGAGCATCAATTGAGGGGTTAGGAGATACACACATTTCACTCATAATGCATGTACAGAGATAACTCTAACACAGGAAGGAAGAACAAAAGGGATTCAGGAAGTGGGATTCATAGAACTTTTTTGTAATATAAGGTCTGAGCAGAGAAGTCATTACTTACAGGAGGGATCAGGGAAGCTTCATAGAGATGGTAGCCTGGGTTGAACTTTAAAGGATAGGGAGCTAGGTGGTATAGTGGACAGAATGCCCGACCCTGAATCAGAAAGACCTGGGTTCAAATCCAAGTTCAGACAATTACTAGCTTAGCTGCATGACCCTGGCTAAGTCACCTAACTCTGTTTGCCTGAGTTCCTTATCGGTAAAATGAGCTGTAGAAGGAAGTGACACACCACTCCAGTATCTCTGCCAAGAAAACCCCAAACGGAGTCACAGACAGTTAACAAGACTGAAACAACTCAACAACGACAACAACAAGGAATTCAATAGGTAAGAAAGGTTAGGGTTGGGCACCAAAGGAATGGAGGCAGGCAAGCATAAGGTGTGGGAATGGTTGGGTCTGGTTAGAGTACAAAGTACATGGAAGGAAGTAGCATGAGACAAGGCTGGAAAGGTAGGGTGTTGCCAAACTGGGGAGATCCTTGAATATCAGATGATTTTGAAATTTATTTGGTAGGTAATAGCAAACCACTGATGATTCCTGAGCAAAAGTTTGACATGACCCCAAACTATCCTCGGAGAAGATGAGACTGGCAATGATATGAAGGAGGGGAAACAGGAAAGAGCAGTTACAAGGCTGCTGAAACAGTCTGGCTGGGTGGAACTGCCAGAAATTGAGGAGGGCAGTAGACGTGAAAGAGACTCAGGAAGCGGAATTGACAGGACTTGGTAAATAAGGCAGGTGGGGGGAAAAGAAAGGCAATAATACAATTTCAAACATGGAAGCCTAGAAAATGGCAGAGCCATAAACAGAAAGTTTAGTCAGAAAGGAGAATGGGTTTAGAGGGAAAATAACAAACTCTGGTCTTGACAATTTGACCAAGGTCACATTTATGTGGGTGGAATGAAACAGGAAGAAGATTCCAGTTTTCTGGTTCCAGGATATTTGGTCAGCTTAGGCAGACACATTTCCTGTACTTTACACAACTCAGCAAAATAAAAGCTTAGCCAGTTACTCATTCTCAAGTCCATCTGAAAGTGACTGCAATTGGGAGGTGCTGGGCTCAAAGTGGAGAGTAAGACACACCTTTTCAGACACAGCCCATGTGGGAATTTGCATTTGACTACGCATGCGTTTACAATGCATCTTTTGGTTTTTCTTTTTTCTTTTTCCTCAACTGGGAGGAAGGGGACAGACAAAGGGCAAGTGGGACAGAAATAGGGTAGCCAAAAAAAACAGAAAAGAAAGAAAAAAGGATTAGCGAAACATGTTTTGTTTTGTTTTTCAAATGTACAGAAAAGAACTAAAAACAAAAGGCCAAAAATAATCACGGATGAGCAGGATATCTTTGAAAGTTACATGTTGAATTCAGCATATATTTTAAGACAAAAACAAGTTGTACATAATAGAGATTAAGTTACAAATCTCTTTTTTCTGTTCTACTAGATAGAAATTCCCATGTTATGTGGTTTGTTCAGAAGAAAGAAAAAGAATGAAGAAAGAAAGATGGATCGATAGATAAGAGACAGCAATAAAACCACAGCCGGACACAGGACTATCCTCCAGTTCACAGATGACACAGAAGGTCCTCTCTTTAAGTATCATCGGTCCCTTCCCCCACCACTTAGCTCACCCCACCCCTTGCAGTTAGCCACTCCTTACAATTAGCCAAAGAACCCTCTAAATTGGCTTATCTTTACTCTGGTTCCAAGGAGCCCAAGAAAGGCTGCCTTTTGGCTAGAAGCAAAAAACACACACAGGGCACAACATCTTGTAACAAGAGGAGACTGACCTCAAGGCCTATAAAGCACTGTACGGTGTTTGTCCGATCCAAGCAGTCCAGACAGTTCATTCGCAAGGTACCTTTTTGGAAACTTTGAACAAATGACGAAAAAAAAAAACCAAACCACAATGGTTACCAAGTTCAGTTTATAGCAGCAGCACACTTAGCAAAGTGTCCTAAATTTGAATGGAAAAAAAAAAAAGACAATCCCCTGCAGCCTCATCATCCCAAACCAGACCCTTGGAAAGCATTCCAGTAAGGCCTACTGATATGCTTGAGTAATAGCTAAAGCATATGAATTAACAACTGATTCTACAGAACCAGTCAAAACTTGGGGTTTCTAGAAAGGAGGATTTCCATTCCTTACTGAGGAGAACAGTGCTGGATTCAGCCCTGTGCTTTAATCTAATGAACTCTAATTGCTAAACCTGTTCTGCCATATGTTAGAATTGGGGTCAGACAATCTATGATTCAACACTTGCAAATCAAAAGTACACATCTATCAAAAAGCTGGCCATATGCTATTGTATTAAATGTGTTCTAGACTTTTCTAAAAAACCCACAAAGCTGCATGCGATAGAAATTCATGATTTCATATGTAATCCTCTTTTTCTGTTCTTCTTTGTATATGGATATGTTCCTGTTCATTATATGTCAAAAGTCATAATTTTAAAAAAGATATGTATTTTATATATTATATGTATCTTATATGCTTATAAACATAATATATTTTGCATACTGCATATGTACATATACAAATATGCATTTTCACATATACTATGTCTTTTTTTTTTAAGTCATGCAGAAGCTAAAAGAGAAAACTGGAACCCAAAATGCGCTTGTGTTCCCATACCAAATTCTAGGCAATACAATTGGTATGGAGAAGGAAACCATTTTGAAAGCAAATGGCCCAGAAAACCAAAAGGGCCTTGCTACAAGGTAAACAGGATGTCAATAATCTCTAGCTATAAATCTACTCCCCAACCTATAAAAACGAAGCAAACATCGGAACACTTACCGTGGACTCACATTCTCGCCCTTGGTGAAAACATCAAATTCATCCCAGTGCAACTTTAGCTGGGGCCTCAGCAGATTCTCTAATTTTTCTATCTTCCCTCCTTTGGCAAATTGATGGAAGTCAAAATTTATCATAGGTGTGTCTCCAACATGGAAAGAGGCCCAAAGCAACTTCTGAGGAAGGGAAGTGGAGGGGAGAGGGGAAAAGAAAAAAAGAGAGATGACTGCGTATTTCCATTTACTCAGGGTTTTCATTGGTTAGATTAGGCTGGGCTTAAAGCTCACCACAGATAAAGTAGTTTATCAGTCCAGATCTTGAGAAGTACAGAAGGAAAATATCAAAGAAAAAGACAACAGCACAGGAAAAGCACACTTCCTGAAAGAGGGCAAAGGGATCATTTAAAGCAAGAAAGAGGCAAAGCCAGATGCGACACTCACCCCTCCCTCGGCCACCATCTGCAGCCCATGGGCAGTAATGAACATCATGTTCTCCCCCACATCTCTACGGCAATACATAAAGTAAGCGAGAAAGGGAGCTATTGCTCTAGTCTTCAAATAGCACAAGGGCTGCAGGTCCACCAAGTAAAGATGAGTTGCAGCTCTATTCATAACAGCTGTTTCCTTGGGAACCATTCACATCTTGACTTAAGGAGGAAGTGTGACAAGCGTCTCTGTACATTGTGGAGCTGCAAGTCCTAGTTACTCTCTGGGTATCTCCGGGAGGTGGTCACACAATGACAACCCAGGAAGGTGGTCCAACAGGAAGAGGTTGGACAGGGGGGACAGCAGTACAGGTGGTGATAACAAAGGCTCAGGTCCTAGTCAAGGACCACGAGCCCTAACGTTCCTCATACACCATCTCCCTTCCCTAGCCCAGCTCCTGACTCCAGACACACTGACTCATAGCAAATGGATAGGCTGTGCTAGGTAGCCACAGATCCAGGATGACAAGAAGCTCATGTATGATCCCTAGGCCACTGGGGCCTTCCTCTAGACCTTGTATGTCTCCATGACAGGCTGATATTTAGCATATGGCTAGTCAAGGAATTATAGAAAGTCAGAGCTGAAAGGCACCTTGGAGAATCACTGATTCAATCCTTCATTTTACAGATGAAGAAAATGAAGTTGAAGAGAGGCAAACTGCCTGAGCTAAGGCAGCCACACCTAATTATTAGCAAAGTGGAGACAAGAACCCAGGTCCTCCTGACCCCTAGACCAGTGTTCTTGGTGCAGCATTGCGTCAGCACCTTCACTGTCCAATAGTAGGCCTCTACAACATTTCTACCTCTCTCTCACTCAACGTTTACTAAAAGGAGGGTTGATATCTGAAAAGGACTGGTGTCTGGACATCCTTGGATCTAAGGAATACTTATACCAGCTGATAAATGCCATGGGTCAAAAATACCACCACTTTCCATGTGGGAGGAAAAAAAAAAGAGATGGGCTGTTTTTTTCCTTTTTCTATAAAAGTAGTGTTGCCAATAAAAAAAAAAAGGAAGAGAAAAAAAAACCATTAGCAACAAACCAGACAGGAAAAGCAGGTCTGGCCAAAGACAATTGGCTACCAGAAAGTCTTTTCGCCATAGAATTCACAGAACATTGGAGCTGGAGGAGATCTTAGAAATCACTTAATCCACCCCCTTCATTTTACAGGTGAAGAAACTGAGGCTCAAACAGATTAAGGAATTTGCCTCGGTCATACAGCTAGTAAACTTGAACTTGAGTTACCCCACTCCCAGGCTAGTGCTAATAACACAGCCAGCCCTCAGGCGTGGAGTTTGCAAACAAACCAGGGCGAGCATTCAGCCTGGAGTCTGCTCCTGCTCCCCAGATGTTATGATGCCTGTGGTTTCCTTAGAGCTCTATCTTTCTTCTGCTCCCTAATAGAGATTTATTGTCTATCTTTTCACTGTGAAAAGCTTTCTGCTCGGGTCAACAGCGATTTGTCTTTGGTTTAAAATAAGCTCTGGATTTTTCTTCTCTAGGGAAGAAATATCTACAAGTAACAGAAGAGGAAGCTGTGTGGTGGACTGAAAAGAGCATATTGAAGTCAAAGGATCTGGCTTCTTGCTACCTGTAAGGGCCTAGGTTTCTTCACCTGTAAAATGAGGTGGTGGAACTAGACGAACATAAGAGTCCCTTCCAACTTTTAAATCCCATGATCCTATAACTGGATGGGAAGGTTGTAAGGCAGTAATAGACGGTCAGAGAGTAACTAACAATCTTTAAGCATTCCTTTTCCTCCAAGGACCACAACAGCCCCGTGAGGATATAAGAGCCAAAAGGTCTTGATCTTCATCTTATGCCAATAGAAAGCAGGGGGTTAGGAGGAGGGAACTCATCTGTCATGGTCACATAATGTGGCTTATCCAAGGCTGCCTCCTATTGTCTGTCCTGAAAATGAAGCGTGAGCAACCCAAGATAGCTTTATACGAGAGAAGTACCACTAGTCAAGGGACTAGTGACAAAAAGATGTTTGTTAGGCACGGGATAAGTGTGAAGGTTTTAGAGCTGCAGAAAGCAATAGGCAAGTAAGTCATTTAACTTTATTGCTGAGCCAAGCCAAGATGGACTATCTCAAATACACAAATACACACTTAGTAACTGTCAAGTGAGGGGACTATCCTGGACTGGCCCAGGAGATGAAAGAAGGAAAGCAGCCACACTGTTGAAGGCAGGACATAAGCCACCTAACAGAAGGAGAGAACAGTTAGGCATTCCCCAACACACTGGAAGAGAGGCCAATGTGCAGAGTGACATCTTCTTCCCCCTCCCCACTCTGTCTCGGGATTTTTATTTTGGAAAATGACTCTGTGAGAAAGCAGTGGGAAGGACACTGTCACCTCTAGCTGGGTGACCTGGCTCAGGGTGAAACTGGAGATAGGGAAAGGCTCTCTTGTGATATCAGTTCAGAAAATTTAGTTTAAATACACTAGTTGACTGGAGAGAGAACTATTAAGGGAATACATAGCAATGTATATTACAAGCAGCTTTGGGTCCCATCTACAGAAACATAAAATCAGCTCAGGTTTTACCAAGCCTCTGGAAAAAAAAATGAAAGTTTGAGATTACAGAGCCATTTATGGTATTCTAGAAAAATACACATTGTGGAAAAACTCACAAAACAAAATCATTCCCACCCCGAGTTAGGGATGGTTTCATTTTTGTCTCTGCATTCTTAGTTTAGCCCATCTTTGCATGGCAGTCTTGGCAGCTTAATAAATGCTTGATAAATGGATAGTTAGATAAGAGTTACCTCTTTCCAGGCTCATGGGAGAGAGGTAAAATCCAAGGGATAAAACCATCTACCTTGCTGGAAGTATTGTTCCCGCCATCAACTGGAGGGCTGTCTGCCAAATCCCTTTCCCTGGTCCACCCACCCACTCGAGCCCCAAAGTTTGGAGGAGCAGAAGGGGAAGCCTTGAGAAGCCAGCAGCTAAACAAAAGTTTTACCTTGAAGGCTCTGTTCAGCACCTCCTCTCCTCCTCTGCTTCCCAACAGGTTAACGATCACTTGTTTTCCATACTGCTCTTTCAGAAGCATCATATGCCTGTAAGAGCAGCAGCAGCAGCAGCATGATGATGCCATTTCACCAATGAAACGAGACTGACTGCCCTGGTGGGGCACTGCTTTCCTGTGGTTGCAGAGCAAGAATGCTCCCGGACAGAGGACATCCCCCAAGGCTCAAGATGGGAAGAGAGGGTCCAATGAGGGCAAACAAGCTCCTCAAAGCAACCCTCAGTGTTACTGGGGTTCCATTTCACTCTAGAACATGTATGCCATATTTGTAAAAAAGTGTACTAAATCTAATTTTTTAAAAATACTACCTTAACTAAATCACCACACGGCAGTAATTGGTGGGTGATTAGACTTGATATTAGTGAGGTGGTGCTTTTTTTTTAAATTGGTACTACTAATTTACTAATCTTTTGCAAGTGAAGTAGAAGTAGTTGCCTTGACTCTTAATGACTAGTAATGACATAAATGCCATAAATGCCAAGCTCATATTCCATCCCCCATTACTGGTGTTATGAACACAAAATTAGATCAGCATTGAAATCTTTTCAAATTGAAGTCCCATCACTTATCCTGCCTGATGTATGCATTCTTCTCAATTTAGAAAATGGAGAGAGAAAAAAAGACTATAATCCATAAGTTTAATGAGTCTGATTATGCTTTAGGTTCATCATCTCCAAGGAAGAGAGGCAGCATGGACTATAGAATGGGTTTTTAACCCAGGGTCCACAGAGCCCATGGATAGATTTTTGAGAGTCAGTGAATTTAAATTAGAAAAAAAAAATTACAGCTCTATTTTCACTAACATCTAACTAAAATTTTGCACTTCCTTTTATGATGAATGTTGCCAAAAACCATTATTTTGAGAAGGGGTCCACAGGCTTCAGCAGACTGCTTAAGAGATCCATGACACGAAAGAGGTGAAGAAGCCCTGATAAAGTGGATAGAGAGCTGATCTTGAAGCCAGACAGAGTTGAATTCAAATTCTGCCTCTGATCCATCCTACCTGTACAATCCCAGGACCAGGACCTAAGCTCTCCTTTCGGTGCTCTGGAGAAGGACAAGCTACATTGCTTGAGGCAATCTCCTTACCTGGGAGTTCCTTATACAAATAGGAGTTCCCTATTTCAATGAATTCATCAGTTTAGGACCCTATCCCTATAATCTAGAAAAGTACTGAATTTAGCCCAAAAAAGGTACCAGTGAAACTTTCAACCAGACAGTGAAAACAATCAGCTACTAAGGTATTAAACACAAATATGTCCTTTGTCCTTTACTATTGGCTTTCTTTTATAAAAAAAAATAACAACTGAAATTTTAATAACATTGTCAGGAACGTTTTTATACCAATAGGAAAAAAAATAAATGCTTCCTTTATTCTAGAGCACTTCAAAGAATACAAATGACTGCAAAGCAAGTCATAGTTAAACAGACCTTCCTCCCTTTCTTCTTTCCTTCCTTCTTCCTTTCCTTCATGCCTTCTTCCCTTCCTCCTTTCTTTCCTCCCTTATTCCTTTCTTTCTTTCCTTCCTTCCTTCCTCCCTTGCAAACAGCACTGGTGTTCAGATTTTTTTCTTTGGGAGGATGAGGGACAGCACTGTGTGTGTACCTTGATTACATAAAGTTGTTTAGTGGACCTGGAGATTTTAGGAAATGCTTATCAGTCATATTTCTATTCTATGCACTAGGGCATAATTACCATGATCAATAGCTAAATACATATTCTAGTATCCAGACCTAAAAGACATTGAGGCAATGACTTTCAAAGCATTTCCACATACAAACACCTCTTCTGATCTTCATGGCAACCATTTGTAGCAGCCAAGGCAGATGATCTTATCCTCATTTTACAGATGGAAAAACCCAGGCTCTGAGAGATTAAGGGATTTGCCTATGGTCATACAGCTAATAAGGTACAGACTAGGAACCCGAAGGCATAGACACTGACTCCTAATGTATTATTCTTTCTATTAGGCAATGCTTGCTGCCTTCCAACTGAGGAATTGCAATTAAAGGAATAAAATGAGCTAAACAGAATAAAGGTTAACTATGTGAATGTAACCAGGTTTAGCCCCTTCTTAACTCATACCAAACCCTAGTAACAACCTTTCCCTTTCCACCAAAAAAAAACACCAAAACTCAACAGAGTTCAGTAACACTGATGGCCTTGCCTTAGCAAAACATTCCCCAGCCCCCACAACTTTTAAATTTTTTTTGGGCAGCGTAGGCCTATTCTCATAGCCTTAATATGTTTGGCATGAATCAAATATCAACATACATGGAACACACACAAAAAAACCAAGAGTTTGGTCATGTGAACTTCAAAAGAGATTAAAAAAAAAACACTCTCTAAATCAGCACAGATTTTTAAAAATTCTGTTCTCAGCTCTAAAAACATCAAAAGACTGAAAAATTAACAGATCCTGGTCACGCCACAGCAAAGAGTAAATCTGGGGACATCTTGTAACAATATGCTTAGTAAGGTCTGTAACATTCCAAATGAAAGATGATGGCATAAGGAACAACACAACTCCTCCAGAAATTTGAGAATATCACAGATTTAGAGTTGGAAGGGACCATGGAGGGTACTGGGTCAAACCTCCTCATTTTACTGATAAGGAAACTGAGATCCAGGGAGGTTATGAGACTTTCCTAAAGTCATAAAGGTAACAAGTGTCTGCAGTGAGGATTTGAGCCTACCCAGGTCTTCATAACTCCAAGTGCAATGCTGATAGGATGAAATGTCTCTTATTAAAAATCCAAGCTTCCCTGTGAGAATGCTGATATTTGCTTAGCTCTCTTCAAAAAATTGTAGGGCTTTTGTTTAACAGTTTACATGAAATTGGCACTGATTTGTTACCAATGGGATTAATTAAGGCAAATTCCTCATTCCTCCACTTAAAAAATGTTAATTCAAAATGAGGAACACCTCAATATAGCAAGGATTTAAATGAATAGTGCTATAAAACTGATTGCATAAAGAAAATGACAATCTCACATTTCATACCCTAAAGGGAAAATAGGACATTTAGAAAACTCTTCATATGAGCTACACTTTCAATAGCAACTGCTAACAAATAAATAAATAAAGCCATGAATGAGGGAGGTTTGATTACCATTAACACGTATACCCATGAATGTCTGGGGCAGAAGAAAGACTGTTCATTCTTGCTGAAGACCCCACACACATTTATCAGAGCAGTACCACGAACTAGAGAATTTTAAAGGTCACAAAAAGGTAACGAAAATATAAAATGCTGATCCTTAAGCAGGCTTTGTGAAATAGGCCTCTTTCTCTTGAGATACTCAGTACCTGCCACAATGTCTTAGACAGAGGAGGCTCTAAATGTGTGTTTTTTGTTAGCTATTTCCCCAGCTAACTATAAAACTCCATTTCCTTAAGACATAATTCCTATAATTTAGATTGTCTTTTTCTTTAATTAGCCCATATGGGTGAGACTTTACCCATTAGAAAGCACATACTAATATTTGCAAAGTATTACTTTATCATTATCATCTCTGGTCTGGGCAATCCTTTGGCAAATAAAACAGTCATTTTGAAAAAAAATGAAAACTGAGTCACAAAATAACGAACTACTCAAAGTGTCCCTCTGACTCAGTGATAAATCCTGATTCAAGGCACATAGTCCAGTGCTGTGTTCACTGAGTCACTGTCTTTCTGAATGAAAAGGATTTTGCTGATTTTGCTAAAAGATAACGCGATTAAAAAAAAAAAGTCCTACCTGTCAAAAGCAGGGGCATTTGCTTCTAGACCTCGGTTAAGTTTCAGATGATGAGAGCCAACCTAGTGGAGAAAAAAAGCAAATATGAGTCCCAAAGACAATAATTCCTTTGTAAGCCTTGCTTCTGGGTGTTTCAATTAAATATCCCATAAAATTCAAGTCTGGGAGACCACAGCACTTCTCCTCATGTCCATCTGCCAAAGATGAATTTAGCAGCTCCCCTAGATGTCCCTGGTAGGGCAAGAGGAGTGGAGGTCGTGGAGAATATTTGACTCATTCTGTATACATAGTACCCTAAGTGTCAAAGGTGCTTGAAACTCAAGTCCTGATGTCCCATTTGCTGTAGCTTTATCATCACACACAAAGAGCCCACTTACATGAGATGTATGATGTAAATGAAATGAGAAAAGCTGCATTTGCAAAATTTATAATTTCCAACTGTATTATCTCTTCCTTAGGGCAGAACAAAAATGCCTAGACAATAATCTTAAAGCCAGGTCTCCAAATGTGGGAATTTCCAACCCATTATTAGATAAGGAGAAACTGTGGTCAAGGTATTCACTTGAAATCAAGCTAAGAAATCCTGCTTAAGGAAGAGAAATTGCTTATGCAGGTTAGTTGCCCATTTTTGTTCTAATAAGGATGGCCAAACTTCCCTGGAAATTCTAATTAGCATAATGTGTTCAACCAATTACTGAGCACCCACAGTATGAAAGGCATAGAGTTGGGTGCTGTGGAGGACGCAAAGCTATTCCTTACCATGAAGGAATTTATAAAAGTTTATAACGCAGAAATGCATCGATAACTATAATAAAAATATAATAAAATATTTATTATATATAATACAATATAATAAATAGAATAATAAATATTCTATTACAATAGAATGTAAAGGTTCAATAAGGATGTTAATTCCTTGAGGGAGAGCCTCTTTTTATTTTTCTTTGTATCCCTGGTGCTGGCACAGAGAGAGTGTTCACTAAATGACCTGACTGACTGACTGCTTGAAAAAATACTATGAAAATCCAGAGGGGAACAGGCAAAGAAGAAACAAAGCTATCACTCTTTGCAGATGACATGATGATATACTTAGAGAATCCTAGAGAATCAAGTAAAAAACTACTTGAAATAATAAACAACTTTAGCAAAGTTGCAGGCTATAAAATAAACCCACATAAATCATCGGCATTTCTATACATTACCAACAAAGCCCAATGGCAAGACATAGAAAGAGAAATTCCATTTAAACTTACTGTAGACATTATAAAATATTTAGGAGTCTACCTCCCGAAACAAACCCAGGAACTCTATGAACACAATTACAAAACACTTTTCACACAAATAAAATCAGATCTAAATAATTGGAAAAACATCAGTTGCTCATGGGTAGGCGAGCTAATATAATAAAAATGACAATCCTACCTAAGCTAATTTACTTATTCAGTGCCATACCAATCAAACTACCAAAAATTATTTTATAGAGTTAGAAAAAATAATAACAAGATTCATTTGGAAAACAAAAGGTCCAGAATATCAAAGGAACTAATGAAAAGAAATGCAGGGGAAGGTGGCCTAGCAATTCCAGATCTTAAATTGTATTATAAAGCAGCAATCATCAAAACTGCTTGGTACTGGCTAAGAAATAGAGGTGGATCAGTGGAATAGGTTAAATATGCAAGACACAGTAGTCAATGACTATAGTAATCTATTATTTGATAAACCCAAAGACCCCAGCTTCTGGGATAAGAACCCACTCTTTGAAAAAAACTGCTGGGAAAACTGGAAAAGAGTATGGCAGAAACTAGGCATAGACCCAAATCTCACACCATATACCAAAATAAAGTCAAAATGGGTTCATGACTTAGATATAAAGGCTGACACCATAAGTAAACTGGGAGAACAAGGAATAGTTTACCTATCAGATCTATGGAGAACAGAAGAATTCATGACCAAACAGGAGATAGAGAACATTATGAAAAGCAAAATGGATAATTTTGATTACATTAAATTGAAAAGTTTTTGCACAAACAAAGCCAATGCAACTAAGATTAGAAGGAAGGTAGAAAATTGGGAAAGAATTTTTACAACCAGTCTCTCTGATAAAGGCCTCATTTCTAAAATATATAGAGAATTAAAACAAATTTATAAGAACACAAGCCATTCCCCAATTGATAAATGGTCAAAGGATATGAACAGACAGTTCTCAGATGAAGAAATTAAAGCCATCTATAGTCATATGAAAAAATGCTCTAAATCATTATTGATTAGAGAAATGCAAATCAAAACAACTCTGAGGTACCACATCACACCTATCAGATTGGCCAACATGACAAAACAGGAAAATGATAAATGTTGGAGAAGATGTGGGAAAATTGGAACACTAATGCATTGTTGGTGGAGTTGTGAAATGATCCAACCATTTTGGAGAACAATTTGGAACTATGCCCAAAGGGCTATAAAAATGTGCATACCCTTTGATCCAGCAATAGCACTTCTAGGGCTATATCCCAAAGAGATCAGACAAATGGGAAAAGGACCCACATGTACAAAAATATTCATAGCAGCTCTTTTTGTGGTGGCAAAGAATTGGAAATTGAGAGGATGCCCATCAATTGGGGAATGGCTGAGCAAGTTGTGGTATATGAATGTAATGGAATACTATTGTGCTATAAGAAATGATGAACAGGCTGACTTCAGAAAAACCTGGAAAGACTTGTATGGTCTGATGCTGAGTGAAGTGAGCAGAACCAAGAGAACTTTGTACACAATAACAGCCATGTTGTGCGATGACTAATATTGATAAACTTAACCCTTCTCAGCAATACAAGGATCTAAGACATCCCCAGAGGCCTTGTGATGGAAAATGCTATCCACATCCAAAGAAAGAACTAGAATTGAATCACTATCATTTTTTTCTCTTCTGTTGAGTTTTGTTTCTCTTTCTGATGGTTCCTCCTATTGGTTTTAATTTTTACTTACAACTTCACTAATGTGAAGATATGTTTAATAGGAATGTAAATGTATAGCCCATATGAGATTGTGCACCGTCTTGGGGAGGGAGGGTGGTGGGGAGGAAGGGGGAGAAAAATTTTAAACTCAAAAGCATATGGAAGTGATTGTTGATAAATCAAAATAAATTAATAAAATTTAAAAAAAAAAAAAGAAAATCTAGAGGGGAGAAAGATTACCTCTGGTGTGGGTAGAAGAGTGGCGATTCAAGGGAGACCCCAAGTAGAGGGGACAGCATAAGCAAAAGAATGGAATAAGGAAAACTCAAGGCAGTGGTTTGGGGGAGGGGGAGAGAGAGGGGAAGAGGACCAGAAAGTAATTGGGTTTGTCTAGAGCAAAGAACAGTCCTAACAGACCATCAGGAAGACTGGAAAGGCAGATTAGGGGACCAAATCATGGAGGGTTTCAGTGACAGGCTAAGTTATTTAAACATTATTTAATCTTTTGTGGCTAAGAACTAAAGGTTTTGAACAGAAGGGGGTGATATGATCAAGGTAGCACTTTAGAAGAAGTAATCTGAAAGCTTAAGCATAAATGGGAGGAAGGAGAGATTAGAGGTAGGGAAGACCATTTTTACTGCAATAGTCCAGGAGAAAGGCACTTGGCAGTGATGGCAGCAAGAAACAAGCAGAAGGGACAGATGAAAGAAAAAATTGTGTGCCTATCAATCAGGAAACGGCTAAACAAAATTATGGTATATGAATGTGATGGAATACTATTATGCCACAGGAAATAATAAATCAATCAACAAACATTTATTAAGTATTTATTAGATGCCAGTGATCATGCTAAGCACTGGGGATATAAAATGAGGCAAAAAAAAACCAGTCCCTGCCCTCAAGGACCTTACAATCTAAAGGGGGTCATTTCAGACAAGCCTGAGAAGACTTGTGTGAACTGATACAGACTGAAGTGAGCAAAACCAGAACAATTTATACAATAATGACAACAGTGAATAAAGCACTGACCTTAGAGTCAGGAGGACTTGAGTTCAAATACAGCCTCAGAAACTTACCATCTGTGTGACCCTGGGGGAGTCACTTAACCCCAGTTCCCTCAAAAATAATTGATTTCAAAAGATATTGTAGAGATGGGATTTTATAAGTCTTAGTAACAAACTGGATGAGGAGAGTGAAGGAAAGGAAGAAGTCAAGGAGGACATTAAGGATTTTAAGCCTTTTTGTGAACAGAGATGGAACAGAAATGATACTCTTTTATTCCTGACTTTGCCTAAAGGAATCCTTACCGAAAAAAAAACCACACCACATAATAGAGCTGTCTCCTCCATGTTTTTGGAAAAAGCAAGCTAGAAAATTATTTTCAGATCAATAGATTTAGAAATTATTAAGGGAAGTTCTACATGTTCCCTGTTCATAAAGGTGCCATAAGTCACCATTCCCAGAATGCCACTGAGTACAAAGACAGATGGTGGCTATGGTAACTGGGCTGTGAACAGAAATATTTCTGGGCCAAAGGTGAGAACTTGAAGAAGGCAAGGCCAAAATTATCTAATTGCCTATAACTATCATGTTTTTGTTTTCTGAATACCAACAATACCTGGCTGAGGAAATGAATTAATAGTTATCCCCAAATTCAAGTCTTTAATTTCAAAGTCTTTTATGGTTAACGTAGAAAAGAGAAATCCTATTCCATTACGCAATCCAAGAGTTGCTTCATGTCTCTAGAGCTTAGAGTAAGAAATCCTATCAGTACCTTGGGCCAAAGCATTCTCACTCCTTCCTTTCCCCTTTCCCCCACCTTCGAGGGACACTACAAGAGATCATTCACAGAGATTCAAAGAAAAGAACTGTAGTTTCACGTTGGTCTGTCAGATCTCTAGTTCTCTCCTAGGATGGAGGCTTAGGTTGTTTAACATTTTTAAGAGTCTTTCTCATGGGGGCATGGTAAGAAACAAGTCTTTAAAAACGAATCAGGGTTTCAACGACTAGGATGGGTGTCTAAGTATTAATATGACAGGTCATACATTTTTACTTTATGAAACAAATACCTCTTTTTTCATTCAAGAAAAATCTTAAGTATTTGACAAAGGTAG